AGGGACACATCTGTAAGATTCACAGCTGATTTATCCGTGTGGAAGAGACAACAAGCTGTGTAAAGCACACTGGTTTGTGCGGAAGAACGCATTTGTGCAGGCCTGGTGTGGCTGCCCCAGTAGTTTCCAACATTACTGGGCCCAGACTGGGTAATGTTGGACAGGATTAGAATCATAGAACTTTAAAGTTGGAAGGGACACCAAGGGACATCTAGTCCAACCCCCTGCAATGCAGGTATCTTAACTCAAGCATCCATGACAGAGGGCCATCCAACCTCTGCTTAAGAACCTCCAAGGAAAGAGAGCCCACCACCTCCCGAGGGAGACCGTTCCACTCTTGAACAGCTCTTACCATCAGAAAGTTCTTCCTAAGCTTTCGTCTGAATCTCCTTTATTGTAACTTGAATCTATTGGTTTCGGTCCTACCCTCCAGAGCAGGAGAAAGAAAAGCTTGCTCCATCTTCCATGTCACAGCAGTTTAGATCCTTCTTAAATTGTGGTGCCCAGAATTGGACACAGTATTCCAGATGTGGTCTGACCAAGGCAAAATAGAGTGCTACTATGACTTCCCTGGATCTGGACACTAGACTTCTGTTGATGCAGCCTAGAATAGCATTGGCCTTTTTTTTGCATCACACTGCAGACTCATGTTCAGTTTGTGGTCCACCAAGGCTCCTAGAGCCTTTTCACATGTCCTGCTAGTGAGCCAGGTATCCCCCATTCTATATTTATGCATCTTGTTCTTCCTGCTGATTTAATAAACTCATGGGAATGGAGCCACAGGGTTGCTGTTATTTTTAATCTTAGAATATTCTAAAAACCTATACAGTCATACCTTGGTTTTTGAACAGCTTAGTTCTCGAACATTTTGGCTCTCAAACACCGCAAACCCGGAAGCGGCTGTTCCGGTTTGTGAACTATTTTTGGAAGGCGAACCTCCGACGGGGCTTCCATGGCTTCCGATTGGCTGATTGGAGCTTTCTGCAGCCAATCGGAAGCCATGCTTTGGTTTTCGAACGTTTTGGAAGTCAAATGGACTTCCGGAACGGCTTCCGTTCGATTTCCAAGGTATGACTGTATTAGGGAAATATCTTGATTAAACCACCCAAAAGATTAAAGGAAGAATGCCCAAGTTTTGGGGTTCTGCAGAACTCTTTGTGGATTAAAAAAAAAGGCTGATGGTGAAGCCACAGAATCTGCACCAGGATGGAGAAGTTGGCTGTGGAGGTGGGAGAGAGAGAGAGAGAGAGTTTAGGCGCAGTGGTAGCCCAATGCACTTTATGTTGATCCCTCAAGTGACTGTGGGCTTAGGGTGCTCATATCAATGAGCTATGTGTGCCAGAATCTCCCTGCAGATTGAGTCTGCTGCTAATTAGTATGTGTGCAGAGTGTGGGGGTGTGTGGGGGGAAGAGATTTTTCATTCCCGGCACCAAAAAATGTATTCTGTCGGCCTTGCTCCTGGAGCAGGAGCAAAGTCACACAGCAAGGGAGTGAGAAGGCGGCTGTGGAGCCTCAAGCCTGACTCATACTTTCTGGCAGGTGCCAATCACACAGCTGGGCATGACTCACTGCCATGGCAACAGAATTTGTGTCTGTGTGCACACCGGCCTTTGCCAACCTGGTGCGCCAACCCAGATGTTTTCGGACTACAACTCCCGCTCGGCCTTTCACGGCCAGCCAGAGTTGCGGTGCGGAACATCTGGAGGGTACAGGTGCGCGAGCTTGGGCTGATGGGAGTTGTAGTCCCAAACCATCCAGAGAGCACCAAGGGCTGAAGGCTGGGTTAAAGTGAGTTCCGGATGCCTCTGTGCAATTTTTGATGCTGCTGCTGCTGCTGTCCTCTGCTCAGACGTGTAATGCATCTGGAAGATGCATATACCTGAAAATCTCAAATCCCTGGTAGAGGACAAGGATCCTTAGATCACTTTAAGGTTAGCCAAATTCTGTGTTCTAAGGGCATAAGGTGAACACACCCTTATACCCGGGTGCATAAGATTGCAATATTGCACACTTTGAGAAAGGGTGGCGTTGAATGGGCACAGACACACAGGATGGAGGGCAATCTAGAGATAAGGTGAGCGACCAAACCAGTTAGTTGAGATTTTGAAAACTCCCATTACTGAAGTGACTGGTGTTGGGTGTTTTCCTATAGTTAATTTTTAACATCTATGCAGCGCTTTCAGTTGGATGGGGGGGGGGGGGAATGCTTTTCAGTTAATTGCTGTGAAGACGTTGCTGAAATGTTGATATAATGTTTTGAAATGCATTGCTGGTATCCTTATTGAAATGCTGACTGATTTTGCTGCTATTGTAAGTTTGTTTTGCCTAAATCAAAAGGAAGGAAGGAAGGAAGGAAGGAAGGAAAAGCCCATGGCAGTTGCCTAATTTGGGCGGTTTTTGTTTTTAAGTAAAATATTAAATAAACTTTTGGTGATAATAATTTCATATTTTATTTTGAACGGCATTTTTCATTTTGAACTCTCTTTACAGGGCACATACAAAACGCCCATCCCCCATTTTGTCCACACAAGAACCCTGTGGTGTAGGTCAGGCTGAAGAAGAATATGAAAAGGGTCTGCTTTGGACCCAAATCTCCCTGGCCTTATCTGACATCACGCAACCCCACTTTGTAAAACTGTGAAATGCCGCTTCTGCCTCAAGCCGGCTTCCTGTTGGAAGCAAGCGAGGCTCTCATTAGCTCTCCAAACCAGGTCCCTTTCACCCCAAAACTGGGGGAAATGACTGGCCTGCCCATGGATCCTTCTCCCCTTTACATCAAAATGCTGCAGGTGGTGCTTCCAAGGTACAGTGACACCTTGGTTCTCAAACGCCTTGGTACTCAAACAACTTGGAACCCAAACACTGCAAACCCGGAAGTAAGTGTTCCGGTTTGCGAACATTTTTCGGAACCTGAACATGCTCTGTTTTGAGTGTCACGCTTCCGATTTGAATGCCACACTTCGGTTTTGAGTGCCACATTGAGGTCTGTCTGTTTTTGCTATTTATTTTGCATTTTTGTTTTGCGGCTCTTATTTTTTGTTTTTGTGACTGTGTGGAACCCAGTTCAGCTACTGATTGATTGTGTGACTGCAATACAGTGGTACCTCTGGTTGCGAACGGGATCTGTTCCGGAGGCCCGTTCGCTACATGAAAAGAACGCAACCTGCAGTGGCGTGTCTGCGTACCCGTGGGTTTCAATTCACCACTTCTGTGCATGCGCATGACGTCATTTTGCACGTCTGTGCATGCGCGAGTGGTGAAACCCGGAAGTAACCCTTTCTGGTACTTCCGGGTTGCTGCGGGAAGCAACCTGAAAAAATGTAACATGAAGCAAACGTAACATGAGGTATGACTGTACATTGTTTATTGCTTTCATTTTATGGATCAATGGTCTCATTAGATAGTAAAATTCATGTTCAATTGCTGTTTTAGGGGTTGTTTTTAAAAGTCTGGAACGTATTAATCCATTTTGCGTTATTTTCTATGGGAAAGTGCGCTTTGGTTTTGGAACGGACTTCCGGAATGGATTAAGTTTGAGAACCAAGGGACCACTGTACCTGGAACTGTCCTCCAGGAGCCAGCAGTGGCAGGCTCTCCGATGCAGCCGCAGCCATGGCACTTTGCAAACTTTGCGCAGCCAGGGAGAAAGGAAAGTCCTGCCAAGAACTCGCTGACAAGAAGAACATCTTCCTGCGCTTCTAGGAATAATTAGCCCCTGTCAAGATGGGCTTGGTGGTCCCTTTCCAAAGGGATTAATTAAGAGGCAAACCCCGCCAGGATTTGGAGACGTACGACAGCCAGTGTAGCCCAGGGGCCAACAAGCAACCCTTGCCCCCCCTGCCCAGGCAAGCTGGGTTTGGGGCTGCTGCAGAGGCCTGGGCAAGCTGCTCCATTTCCCAGATTCAGTTTCCCAGCTGGAAAATGGGAATCAGTTAAAGCCCACCTCGCGGGGATGGTGTGTTGTCAAGCACAATGGGGAGTTTATGGAGGCAACGGTGAGGAATCTACTGCTTTACAGAGGGCCGTCTTAAGCATATCTGGTGCCGTGGTGCAAAGATCAACTCTCAATTCCATTCCCAGAAATTGAAACACCCAGACCTGTTCCACACACTTCCCCTCAATAATAAGTGGCTGAATATTCAATTGAGATGGAGTAAGATGTTTTTCCTGCACCACTCCCCCAACTGCTTCCTCCCTATAGGCCTCCCTGCCTCCATCTCTTCCTATAGATCTCCCTGCCTCCGTCTCTTCCTATAGATCTCCCTGCCTCCGTCTCTGCTGGGCTTCAACGGGACCCAAATGCCCCAGCTGGCCTTTGCTTCACGACAGGGTTGCCTCTGAGCCGTGCCTCCTGTTTTTTGACTTTCCCATCAGATGCAAGGCTGAGCTTTTCCCTACACACACAGAGAGAGACAATCCGCCCCCGAGGACCCAGCCTGCCCATCTTCACCCCCAGCACTTATTCGCTCTTTCTGTCGTTTCCCTTGGCTGGACACTTATTAAAAATGAGACTTAATAAGGGAGAGCCAGCCAAGCACAGCCACCTCCCAGATCCCTTAATCCGACTCCCTCGGCCGCTGCAGCCAGCTTAAGCACCTCACGGCTGCCCTTGCTGATCCCCAGGGGGGGCTGCCAATGAGAGCTCCCCTCTCCGGTCGCCAACCCCTTCCCCTGTCTGCCTTGCCCCCCCCCCCCGTTTGCTGACAGAAAGAGCAGAGAGTGACAACACTGCACTCAGCCTTTCCCACGGCCCCCAAAGCGAGAGCAAGCTGGCAGCGAGAGGAGGCACTCTGCATATGTTCAGAGGAACACCTCATCTTTCCCCAACCAGGCGCCCTCCAGATGTTTTAGACTGCAGCTCACACTGGCCTGCACTTGTTGGGGCTGATGGGGGTTGTAGTCCCAAACCTTTGGGTGCACCGGGTTGGGAAAGGCTGCCTTCCCCCTTCCAGGGAACTTATGGCAATAGGCTCTGGCTGGTGCAAATCCAAGGGGAAGAGGGGTAAACTCAGGGAGACAGTGTGCCTGCTTGGCATGCAGAAGGTGCCAGGTTCAATCCCTGGCATCTCCAGGTGGGGTTGGGAATGTCGCCTGTCCTGAAACCCCAGAGAGCCACTGACCTTCAGCTAAGAGCCAATACAGTGGTACCTCGGGTTAAGAGCTTAATGCGTTCTGGAGGTCCGTTCTTAACCTGAAACTGTTCTTAACCTGAGGTACCACTTTAGCTAATGGGGCCCCCCGCTGCCGCTGTGCCACCGCCACGCGCTTTCTGTTCTCATCCTGAAGCAAAGTTCTTAACTCGAGGTAATATTTCTGGGTTAGCTGAGTCTATAAGCTGAAGCGTCTGTAACCCGAGGTACCACTATACTGATCAAAATGGACTGATACAGTGATGACCACCAACTTTAAAAGAGGATTAGACAAATTCAAGAAGACTCTTGAGAGTGCCATGGACTGCAATAAGATCAAACCTATCTGTTCTGAAGGAAATCAGCCCTGAGTGCTCACTGGAAGGACAGATCCTGAAGCTGAGGCTCCAAGACTTTGGCCACCTCATGAGAAGAGAAGACTCCCTGGAAAAGACCCTGATGTTGGGAAAGATGGAGGGCACAAGGAGAAGGGGACGACAGAGGACGAGATGGCTGGACAGTGTTCTCGAAGCTACCAGCATGAGATTGACCAAACTGCGGGGGCAGTGGAAGACAGGAGGGCCTGGCGTGCTCTGGTCCATGGGGTCACGAAGTGTCGGACATAACTAAACGACTAAACAACAACAACATAAAGGCAAATTTGTGGCAGAGAGTGTTCTCAAGTCCTGCCGACAGTCACACAACCAAGCAAGTGGGCGCAGAGCTCGCCAGCTTTTCCCTGGCCCTGTCCTTATGCCTTTAACAGCAGCCTGACACACATAATTTATGTGGGTGAAGCTTTTCTCATCCTTTCATCTCCCTTGCCAAATTAAACCTTCAGTCTGTTCCTGCTCTTAAAGACACCAGAGCTGAGAGAGAGAGAGAGAGAGAGAGAGAGAGAGAGAGAGAGAGAGAGAAGGCACAGCAGCCTTTGAGTGGCAAACGCCAGATCTCACTTCATGGCAGGCCCAGGGACAAAAGGAAGACACCCCACGGCCAAGGCAAACTTCTCCAGCCCTGCTGGACTTTCTGTTTTCCATCTGGAGTCTCCCAACAGTCAGCTTTGGTGGATGCCCACCAGAGGATTTCTCCACCCACTTACTACAGGCCAGGCATGATTTTAAACATTTATTGTGGGATGTGATACATAGATAGCAGTCAAGTACAACATGCCTTGTTTTCCCTTAGTGGACATGCAAGGGGATGTAGATGCAGAGCAAATCGCAGTAATCTAGCCCGGAGGTGACCGAGGCGTGTGTTGTTGTGGCCTGATCCACATCCTGCAGGAAGGGACTCAGCTAGCACACAAGTCAAAGCTGGGCAAAAGCAGGCCACCTGGGCACCCGAGAGCACTCCTGTTCCTTCAGAGCAAGTTCAGCCTTATCCCGAACAGGCTGTACCTTCAAGCCTGAATTCATCCCAGATGAAGCCCTGCCAGGCCTCCTCCAACCTTCCTGGCTGGGACTTGAAGCAGGGTTTGTGCTACAAGGTGGTTCGCAAGGGTGCAGGTCATGCCAAGGCACCTGAGGGGATGGCAGAAGCTCAGAGGGCGGCAGCACCTACCTTGGCAGCAGGATCCCAGCCAGGCCCGTGCTTCTCCTTGAACGCTGCCAGTCCCTCAAGGTGACTGGCAGCGCATGTCCTGGCGTCAGGAAGGGACCGCTGGGCTGCGGCAGGGCAGAATGGGCGCCTTGCATGCTCAGACATGCCCGACTTCCCAATGGGTGGCTTCCTGGGGGAGGGGGCTGGCAGCGGCCAGAGGGGAAGCCGGAGCCCATCAGGGTGGCCCTCCCTGGAAAGAGTCTCTGCTGGCTGTTCCCTAGGAGCCGCCTGATGGAATCCACCCTCACCCTTTGCACAAAAAAGGCCTTTCAATGTAGATGGGGGGGGAACAGGCATGCAAGGAAAGGAATCCCCCTCCCACGCTTCAGCGACTGCTGCCAAGGCACTGGGGCCATCAAGCTGCCCATTCAGCTGGTGCCCCTCGGGTGGCTGCTGCAGGGAGGGTGATGGGGAAGTGGCTGGCACTGTGCCCCCACGTCCCTGTTAATCTAACTCAGCAAACAGTACAAAAGGCATCAGGGGGAATGCCCATCTTTGCACTGAAGCACTCGTGTGTGTGTATGAGAGAGAGAGAGAGAGAGAGAGAGAGGGAGAGGGAGGGAGAGAGAACTAAGCTAAGAGGAAGGCACGCTTGGCAAATCCACACCGTGATCAACTCCCGCCCGGAAAACTATGTCCCCGCTGTGGAATGACATGTGGATCCAGAATTGGCCTCCACTGTCACTTACAGACTCACTGTTAAGAACATATTCATGGAAGACAATCTTACTTGGCTATGAGTGATCGCCAAAAAAGAACATGCACATCTCTCTCTCTCTCTCTCTCTCTCACACACACACACACACACACACACAGAGATGTGCATGTTCTTTTTTGGCGATCCCGTTGTTCAGTCCCTGCTCCTGCCAACCTAGCAGTTCGTAAGCACGTCAAAGTGCAAGTGGATAAATAGGTACTGCTCCGGTGGGAAGGTAAATGGCGTTTCCATGCGCTGCTCTGGTTCGCCAGAAGCAGCTTAGTCATGCTGGCCACATGACCCGGAAGCTGTATGCCAGCTCCCTCAGCCTGTAAAGCAAGATGAGCGCCGCAACCCCAGAGTCGGCCACGACTGGACCTAACGGTCAGGGGTCCCTTTACCTTTAGGGTTCTTGCGGCGGTTTGGGCATACATAAACAAATTCTGATCTTTTATTTTAAGCTCCCTTCCCATTAGACCTAGCAAAAAAGCTTCCGGTCTAGGAATTTTATCTAATAAGCCTTTTAAAAGAAAGAAAGAAGGAAACAGCCATGTAAGGGGGGTGGGCTGGGTCAGCATCACTTTTCGAGACAGCGCCTTCTGCATAAGAGCATGGCTGCGGTGAGAGAGGGTTAAACCCTCAGGGGCTTCAGTATCCAGAGTTTTACTTTTTAATTGGATGAAGATATTTTACATTGTTAAATGTATTGCTCCTCGCCCCAAATCTAACCCTGGCTAGCCGTCATGCTTGCTCCCTTTGGGTGCTAATGGTGGCTGATTTCTCTCTCTCTCTCTCCCTCCATGCCCCGCCCACCTTCCTCTCACCTCCCCCCCCCCCCCCGCCTCTGGGTCCCTGTTCCTGGCATTTCCTTGGCAGCAGCTCCCTGTTCAAAGCACCAGCTCTCCAGTCTGTTAACTGAGTACAAATGAAGCAGGCCTGCAATTAACCGTCTGGCCCACCCCCCCAGCTCCGTCTGCCGCTGGGGTTCTGTCTGGCCCGGTGCCCCCTCCGCTCCCCCCCCTTTTGGCTGGGCACTGTGCCGACTCCTGAAAATGCCGCCCTGTGCCATTTGTGCCCAAGTGGTGGGCGAGACCCGTCTTGAAGTAGGCGCTGCCAGATCCGGGAGGAGGGCATCTTTGTGGCAAGACGATGAGAGGCCCTTGCCAGCTGTGAGCAAGAACGGGCACGCAAGGGGCACCCTCAAACATGGAGGCCTCTGCTTGCTGCCCATGTTGTGCCCTCTGACTTTCCCACCATGCCCACTACTGGCCTTTGTCTGCAGATGGCACAGGCCCCATCTAGACCTCTCTTTCTTTCTTTCTTTCTCTCCCTTCCTCCCCGCCCAGCCTGTTTCTCAAGTCTCTCTCTCTCTCCTGCCTCCCCCAAACCGCCATGCCTCTGTTCTCTATTTCACGGCTTCTGCCACTGCCAAGGAGAGATTTTTTGCGCCTGAGTGGTCACCCTTCTCTAGAGCAAAGCCCTTGCTCGGCAAGAAGGCAAGGGCCGGCTCTCTCCTCGCATCTCCGCTGCCCAAAATCTCTCGCAAAAGGTTCGCGCGGCAGCCCTGATCCAGAGCTGCCGGCTGCAGACAGAAAGCTGCGCTGCGCTTTTTGCAGAGAGCTCTACCGGAAGATGTGGTCTTGTGCCCGCGATGTCGCATCATCCCATGCCTTCCGCCCACAGCGCAGCTCCGGGACCAGTGACGCTGCTTTGCACACGTGTTGCGCGCACGCAGTTGAGATCCAGAGGAAGAGAGGCAGGGCGGACGGGGTGAGCACGGAAGCGAGGAAGGCACAGCATCAGATTCTGGGCATGTTTAGAAGGCATGGAGCATGGGAGCGATACTGGAGACCCCTGAGCATACACAGACTGCGCTACAGTCTGCCTGAGATGCAGCCAGCCCCATTGATCTGTTGCACTTTACGGGGACTCCTTAGGGAGGAAGGGGGGTTAAGAAGAAGAACGAATCATCTCAGTGGAGATTCCTGCACTGCAAAGGGTCGGACTAGATGACCCTGGCTGCTGGGGGACCCCTTCCAAGCGGAGGAGGCGCAAGGGCGAAGCTAAGCGGGAGGTGGCGGCGGCGGCGGCGACGCAGGCGCTAGGAGCGGATCCTGCTCGGGACCACTTCTGGGATCCGTTCCAGGGCCCCGCCCTTCAGCGGACTCACCAACTCTCGGGGACTGCAAGTCCCAGCCTGCCCAGCGCCGCGGGATCTCGGGGGCGCGCGCCAGAGCAGCTGTCGCCGCCGCTGTCGCTCAACCCGGTGGGTCTCCTCGCGATGGGCGAGGCGCGCGGAGGGAAGGTGGAGGGTCGGGCGGGTCATGGCGGGGCTGCACCCGGTCGGGGCAGCCTCGCCGGGTCGTGGGGAAAGGGGCAGGCAGGCAGGTAGGCGGGCGGGCGGGCGTCCTCTCTCTGCGGGCACAGCTGGCACCGCGATGCCCACTCGCGCGCCCTTGGCGCTCTCGCGCCCCGGATTCCACCCCCCCCCCAGTTCTGCAAACGGGGGGATAGATGCCCGGGCGGGGCTCGAGAGTGGCCACACTTCTGCTGGTGCCATGCCTAGAGCGAATTCGGAGCGAAACTCAATCCGGGGAAGACCCAGTGACGTTTGCCGGGGAAAGTGCACAGAATTTTTGTTAGGGAGGAGGGCGGCGATCGCCCCCAAATTGTTGTGCTTCTTTTGTCGAGTGGGGCGGGCTTCTGCTTGCCGGGGGTGGGGTGGGCAGAACCTCAGGTAACTGAGCATTTTTAATGCTTTTCCACGACCTTTTTGAAGCACTGGGGAAGGGGAAGTGTGGGCGTGCCCCGTGAAGTCAGCTGCCGGACTGATGCCTCAAGGCAACGCGAGGGACGTTCTCCCGCCCCCCTCCAGGCATATTCTTGGAGCATTTCTGAGGTTGGGTGAGTGTTGCTCTGGGCGGATGTGGGCTTTGTGGTGGGGGACTAAGAGGAGCTTCTCGGGAAGATTAATTTAGGTGCTTTGCCTTGGAAGCTGGCCTAAGATGCAGAGGCTGAGGGGGACCCCACTGGATTAGATGGAGGTGAGCTTCAGAAGAAGCAAAAAAAAATATATGCACTCAGACAGGGAACTAGAAATGTGGAACAAAGGTTGGTGTGGATCAGGGCCGGATTTACGAATAAGCTAAACAAACTATTTCTTAGGGCCCCACTCTCTTGGGGGCCACAAAAAAATTAAAGGAAAAATAAACTGCATGTACATTTCCAAAATATAAGATAAAAAACAAATAAAATGGCTTTAGATACCTATTAGGTCCATAAATTACCTTATAGCATATATTCAGCACAGGAAACAGCGACAAATAGTTGTTGACAAAGGACAGCTGGACATATAAAGGGCCCCATTACTTTCAGTAGCTTAGGCAGGCACCCCCAAACTCGGCCCTCCAGCTGTTTTGGGACTACAACTCCCATCACCCCTAGCTAACACAACCAGTGGTCAGGGATGATGGGGACTGTAGTCCCAAAACATCTGGAGGGCCGAGTTTGGGGGTTCCTGGCTTAAGGCCTCATCAAACCTAAATCCAGCCTTGGGTGTGGATGAGCCCTAAGCTTTTAGAGTTCTTTGAGAATGTAAAAAAATCAGTTGTGTGGGTTTTGCTGATGAACACGGTGTACTTAGATTTCGCAAAGGCCCTAACTCCATGGGAACTTGGCAAGAAAGTGAGAAAAGGTGTCCTCATGTGGGCTGCTAACCTGTTAAACAACAGGTTTAGAGTTCTTTGAGAATGTAAAAAACCAGTTGCGTGGGTTTTGCTGGGGAACACAGTGTACTTAGATTTCACAAAGGCCTTAACTCCATGGGAACTTGGCAAGAAGGTGAGAAAAGGTGTCCTCATGTGGGCTGCTAACCTGTTGCTGTTGTTGTTTAATCGTTTAGTTATGTCCGCCTCTTCGTGACCCCCTGGACCAGAGCACGCCAGGCCCTCCTGTCTTCCACTGCCTCCCGCAGTTTGGTCAAACTCATGCTGGTAGCTTCGAGAACACTATCCAACCATCTCGTCCTCTGTCGTCCCCTTCTCCTTGTGCCCTCCATCTTTCCCAACATCAGGGTCTTTTCCAGGGAGTCTTCTCTTCTCATGAGGTGGCCAAACTCTTGGAGCCTCAGCTTCAGGATCTGTCCTTCCAGTGAGCACTCAGGGCTGATTTCCTTAAGAATGGATAGGTTTGATCTTCTTGCAGTCCATGGGACTCTCAAGAGTCTCCTCCAGCACCATAATTCAAAAGCATCCATTCTTCGGCGATCAGCCTTCTTTATGGTCCAGCTCTCACTTCCATACATCACTACTGGGAAAACCATAGCTTTAACTATACAGACCTTTGCTGGCAAGGTGATATCTCTGCTTTTTAGGATGCTGTCTAGGTTAGTCATTGCTTTTCTCCTAAGAAGCAGGCGTCTTTTAATTTCGTGACTGCTGTCACCATCTGCAGTGATCATGGAGCCCAAGAAAGTAAAATCTCTCACTGCCTCCATTTCTTCCCCTTCTATTTGCCAGGAGGTGATGGGACCAGTGGCCACGATCATCTTTTTTTTGATGTTGAGCTTCAAACCATATTTTGTGCTCTCCTCTTTCACCCTCATTAAAAGGTTATTTAATTCCTCCTCACTTTCTGTCATCAAGGTTGTGTCATCTGCATATCTGAGGTTGTTGATATTTCTTCCAGCAATCTTAATTACGGGTAGGGATTCATCTAGCTCAGCCTTTTGCATGATGAATTCTGCATATAAGTTAAATAAGCAGGGAGACAATATACAGCCTTGTCACACTCCTTTCCCAATTTTGAACCAATCTGTTGTTCCATATCCAGTTCTAACTGTAGCTTCTTGTCCCACATAGAGATTTCTCAGGAGACAGATGAGGTGATCAGGCACTCCCATTTCTTTAAGAACTTGCCATAGTTTGCTGTGGTCGACACAGTCAAAGGCTTCTGCATAGTCAATGAAGCAGAAGTAGATGTCTTTCTGGAACTCTCTAGCTTTCTCCATAATCCAGCGCATGTTTGCAGTTTGGTCTCTGGTTCCTCTGCCTCTTCGAAATCCATCTTGCACTTCTGGGAGTTCTCGGTCCACATACTGCTTGAGCCTTCCTTGTAGAATTTTAAGCATAACCTTGCTAGTGTGTGAAATGAGTGCAATTGTGCGGTAGTTGGAGCATTCTTTGGCACTGCCCTTCTTTGGGATTGGGATGCAGACTGATCTTCTCCAATCCTCTGGCCACTGCTGAGTTTTCCAAACTTGCTGGCATATTGAGTGTAGCACCTTAACAGCATCATCTTTTAAAATTTTAAATAGTTCAGCTGGAATACCATCACTTCCACTGGCCTTGTTATTTGCAGTGCTTTCTAAGGCCCATTAGACTTCACTCTCCAGGATGTCTGGCTCAAGGTCAGCTAACCTGTTAAAGAACAGGAATACAAGAGTAGGAATCAGTGTAGAGTTTTGCTGGCGGAGGGATATAGAAAGCAGAGCCCTCCAAAATCCGAAGTCCCAACCAGTGTTGTTGTTGTTTTAAAAAATGTTCAGAAATAATCTCAAGGAAGGGTTAGCAGTCACGTGGTCCTGCTTCCAGAAAACATCACAATATTCCGTGTGGTCGAAACATAAAAGAATTGTGTGTAGTTTCAGAAGGATTTCTCCGAACTGGATGACAACAAAATGGCAGGTGTAAGTGTAAATTGACAGAAACTGGGACAGATCCTGAATTCACACAGAGGCTGACAGTGTCTGACCTGGCAGTGACTTACCGGGAATGGGATCTTGGCATCGTGGGATCATTAACCCAGTGTGTAGACAAGCAAAAGGCAAATTCCATGCTAGGGTTTCTTAAGAAAAGGATCTAAAACAAAAGTGCGGATCATTTGTAATGAGCTCTGCACATCTTTGCTGTGACCGCATCAAAACCTGGTCAATATATTGCAAAGGGATATTGCAGAGCAGCACACAGGGCAGGAAAGGAGAAGCGAAAATTCTCTGTGTGGAAAAGTTGCAATGTTTGTGGCTTTTTAGATTAGAGAAGCAGTTAGTCACAGGAATGGTGTGGCAAACATGATCATATTCATGGTTTGGACATCTGCAGGAGTTCTTCTGGCTGGGGGGAGGGAAGTTAAACACAGAAAGCGTGGAGCTGGCTATAAATCCCTGTGAAAAATGAGAAGAACAGGGCAGATGCATTTTTTTGTCTCCCATTACAGGTTCTATGAATGTTGGAAACATGGGTGTAGGGGAAGTGGAAAGAGCAAAGGTTTCTTTCCCCCCTCTTATAATGCTGGAACTCAGAGCCCTTCAGTGGAGCTGAATGTTGGAAGATTTCAGGACAGACGAAACAAAGTCCTACCTCACTCCGTGTATCCTTAAACAGTGTTGGCTACCACCTTAAATGGCTTTAGAAGAGGGTTTGGCAGATTCATGGTGGATCAGCGCTAGTTAGCCACGCTGGCTGTACTCTTCAGAATCAGGACACCAGTTCCTGGGATTCCCAACTGGGGAGAGGAGCTCGGATGCTGCTTGGGACTTCCCACTGGATCATCTGGTTGGCCCTGTGAGAACAGGATCCTGGATTAGATGGGCCTCCTTTGGCTTGATGCAGCAGCGTTCTTCTTTTGTTTTAAGAGAGTCTTCTTTCTTTGGTCTTCATGTTTTTAGTGATGCACTCTTCAATATCTCCATCCCTGCCGACTTGTCTTCTACAGAGCACCTGCCATCTGCCTCAAAGAGGAGGATTATCCGTGACAACCTCCTAGTGCCGTGATCTTGCTATTCTAGAGTCGGGTAGCTGAGAAGAGGCAATGGTTGTTTTGAGCTGGGGAGGCTAGAACATTGGGTTCCTGCCCTATCTCTGTAGTCACTCCAGCAAAGCTTCTTCTGACTGTAGGCCAACAGGCTTCCTGGCACCAACCTTGGCATTAAGTACCTGGGCAGCATCCGGGGACGGTCTTTGGGGACACGCCTTCATTAGCCATGCCTTCTCTGGGACTTGTGCTTCTGTGCCTGGTGGCCCTGGCTCTGCTGAGTTCAGCCAGCCAGCCCCCCAACATTGTCCTCATTTTCGCCGATGACCTGGGCTTTGGAGATCTGGGCAGCTATGGGCACCCCACCTCCTCGACACCCAACCTGGACAAGATGGCGGCCGGCGGCCTACGGTTCACCGACTTCTATAGCAGCAGCCCCGTCTGCAGCCCCTCCCGGTACGCCAATCCCCATCTCCCTTTCTTGATCAATTGCTGGGAGTTAGTTAATGTGACATAAGTCACACCAAAGGGGGCAGTCATCTTTCCCGGACTCAGTCCCTCCTCCCCACGCCCCAGATATGCAGTTATACAGACTATGCTAACCGTAAAATGTTCTGGACACCAGTACACACACGATGACTGGTTCTTGCATGTTCTATCGCTCCCTTCCCTTAGTCCTTGGGCAGGGGTGGACTTTGGTAATATGGCACCCTGAGCAAGGACAAAATTGGGCACCCCTTCCAACCGTGAGTCATTATTATTGGGTATTATTATTACCGTATTGGCCCGCAAATAAGCCACACCTTTAAAAACATTTTTTGGGGGGGAGGAAAGACAATAAGGGAATATAATCTGCTCCCTTAAAATTGGGTTACAGGCTGAATATTCCTGCATTTGGTAGAATTGTAACTCTGAGCCAATTGAAACCTTTGATCTTGCAAGCCCGCAAAAGTTTCCATACAACCGCTAAAATCATAAATCACTATTCAGTCGCCACAATTCCACAGGCACACTTGTAAATGGCAACAGTCTGAAGCTCGCAAATTGGCAAGAAAACATGTTTTGTTCCTTTTTACTGTACGTCTGTTTCAGCAGCGATATCCTAAAAACCCATTTTTGTAAGGTTGCAAATTTAAGCTGCAGTTTAACTTTTCACGGTCGGAATTTGGCGAGGGGGAAGTGAGGCTTATATTCAAGCTAATGCAGTATTATTCTGCACCCGCTCTGCTCAGCGCCCAGTGGGGGGGGGGAGGAACTGTCCAGATTGCCCTAAATCTGGCGCTGCCTGGGGCACCTTTCCTTGAGTGGGCAGGTGACTGCATGTTCCTTTTGGAGTGGGTGGGGTTTGGCTGGAGCTGGGTGACTGCCTAGCTGTTGGCCCAGAAGTCTGGTGTCTTTCCTACGTGCTCTTACCCCTCCAGGGCAGCCCTGCTGACTGGTCGCTACCAGACCCGCTCCGGCATTTACCCTGGCGTGTTCTACCCTGGCTCCCGAGGAGGCCTCCCCTTGGCCGAGGTGACTCTGGCGGAGCTGCTGAAGGGGCGAGGCTATGCCACTGCCATGGTAGGCAAGTGGCACCTGGGCCTCGGACCGAATGGGACGTTCCTGCCCACGCACCAAGGGTTCGACCACTTCCTGGGGGTGCCCTACTCGCATGACCAGGTGAGATGCGGCCCGGTGGGCAAAGCAGGGAGCATCGCAGGCTCAGAAGGGGGGAGGCTTGGCGTCGCTGCAGGAAAGGAGGAGAGCTGGGCTAGGAGACCCTTGTGCTTTAGGCTGCAGCTGAAGCAGTTTTGATGAGAGGGTCTAACTCAGATCTGCTTGGGGAGATGCAAGGTTTTCCCCCTCAATTACAGCATTCACTGTGAATTTGGTGGTTTGTTCATTTTTTTATATATAAAAAGAAAAGCACTGAATTCAGCAGGTTCGGATTTGAACCTGACTACCTTGGGATGCGGGTGGCGCTGTGGGTTAAACCACTGAGCCTAGGACTTGTCGATCAGAAGGTCGGCGGTTCGAATCCCCGCGACGGGGTGAGCTCCCGTTGCTCGGCCCCTGCTCCTGCCAACCTACTAGTTTGAAAGTACGCCAGTGCAAGTAGATAAATAGGTACCGCTCCGGCGGGAAGGTAAACGGCATTTCCGTGTGCTGCTCTGGTTCACCAGAAGCGACTTAGTCATGCTGGCCACATGACCCGGAAGCTGTACGCCTGTTCCCTCGGCCAATAAAGCGAGATGAGCGCCGCAACCCCACGACTGGACCTAATGGTCAGGGGTCCCTTTACCTTTACCTTGATATTATATTGGCAATACAATATCACTTAATTCTTTGAAAAATGCTTCTCACAAACAAATCACAGAACTGAAGGGATACTGAGATTCATCTAGTCCAATCCCCTGCAATGCAGGGATTTTTAAGCATTAAATTAACAACGCAATGAACTTTAAACATTACATTTCAGAATGTGGCCCTGAGCCCTATTTACTGGGAAGCAACAGCAGGAGAATGCTGTTGCCTTTGGGCCTGGAACTTGGGGGTTTCCTGGGAGCATCTACGTAGTTGCCCCTCTTGGGAATGGGCTGCTGGTCTGGATGGGCATTTGGTCTGCTCTGGCAAGGCTCTTGTTAAGTTCTTCACTGTGAAATGTTGATGAATTGTGTGTGAGAGAGAGCAGTGCCGGATTTACGTATAAGCTAAATAAGCTATAGCTTAGAGCCCCACTCTCTTGGGGCCCCCCAAAAAAATTAAAGGGAAAAAAAACCTGGATGTACATTTCAAAAATATAAGATAAAAAACAAATAAAATAAAACCTACATACAGCAACATTGTTTGTGTGTTGTGTAGGCTCCTATGTTGTAAGTCATGGGCCCCGCCTGCTAGCCTGCTGCCTAAAATATCACTGGTTTGCTCCTTTCTATAATAATAATATTATAACAATTTATTATTTATACCTGCCCATCTGGCTGAGTTTCCCCAGCCACTCTGGGCGGCTCCCAATCAAGTGTTAAAAACAATACAGCATTAAATATTAAAAACATCCCTAAACAGGGCTGCCTTCAGATGTCTTTTAAAGGTAAGATAGCTGCTTATTTCCTTGACATCTGATGGGAGGGCTTTCCATAGGGCGGGCGCCACCACCGAGAAGGCCCTCTGCCTGGTTCCCCGTAACCTCACTTCTTGCAATGAGGGAACTGCCAGAAGGCCCTCGGCACTGGATCTCAGCGTCCGGGCTGTATGATGGGAGTGGAGACATTCCTTCAGGTATATTTCTATATATAGGGTGCCTACATTCTGTGTGGACTAGTTGCATGCCAACATGTGCAAATGGCTTGAGATACCTATTAGGTCCATCAATTACCATATAGCATACATTCAACACACAAAACAGTGACAATTTGTTGTTGACAATGGACAGCTGGACATATCAAGGGCCCCATGACCTTCAGTAGCTGAGGGCCTCATCAAACCTCAATCTGGCCATGTGTTTGTGTGTGTGTGAGAGAGAGAGAAAGATTAAGGTTAAGCTTCATCATTGCCCATATGGGAGTGGTGCTGGTGGAGCTAGAACAATGAGTGGCAACCCTTAAATGGGCTTCTAAGGCAATGAGCGCCTGTGGTTTTGTGTGCATTCTGTGCCACTGGCATGCTCTGACTCCTCCTCTCTCCTGTGATAACACCGCCTTTCCCCTTCTTCGTCCTGCTTCAGGGCCCCTGCCAGAACCTCACCTGCTTCCCCCCGGACACGCCCTGCTTTGGGACCTGCGACCAGGGAGTGGTTCCCGTCCCCGTGTTCTGGAACCAGAGCATCATACAGCAACCTGTGTCCTTCCCACACTTGCAGCCTCTCTACAACAGCTTTGCCCGAGACTTCATTGTCGCTTGCGCACGGCGCAACCAGCCCTTCCTGCTATATTATGCCTCCCATGTAAGTTCCGGAGCTCTTTGTGCAGGCTTGGGGCAAAGAACCCAGGCAGTTAAGTTTTATTCCTGTCCTTCGGATGGGCTGGAGCCTGTTCTCTGGAGTCTGCTGTGTGACATGTGCTTGTATGCCACACAGGCAAGAATGAGCAGCCACATGGTCTTCCACCTCTCCTGTTGATGGGGATTTTGATGCACCCCGCTCCCCTCTGAAGCTAATATTATTATTTATTACTTATACCCTGCCCATCTGTCTGGGTTTCCCTAGCCACTCTGGGCAGCTCCCAACAGAATATTAAAAGCACAATAAAACTTCAAACATTAAAAACTTCCCTAAACAGGGCTGCCTTCAGATGTCTTGTAATAGTCAGATAGTTGCTTATTTCCTTGACATCGGATGGGAGGCTGTTCCACAGGGCGGGCGCCACCACTGAGAAGGCCCTCTGCCTGGTTCCCTGTAACCTCATTTCTCACAGGGAGGGGACCTCCAGAAGGCCCTCGGAGCTGGACCTTTAAAGCACCAGCACTTTGAATTGTGCTCAGAAACGTACTGGGGGCCAATGTAGGTCTTTCAGGACTGGTGTTACATGGTCTTGGTGGCCACTCCCAGTCACCAGTCCAGCTGCCACATTCTGGATTAGTTGTAGTTTCTGGGTCACCATCAAAGGTAGCCCCACGTAGCGCATATTGCAGTAGTCCAAGTGGGAGATAACTGCAGCAGGTGTTTCTTCACAAAGAGCAGAACTGCTGCAAGTCTCTTGTTTTGAGTGGCTTTTGAAAAAGGGTTGGGTGCTTTAAAAGAATAGTCTGAGTTCCCCGTATCATGCTTAGCCCCACCCTTGGGTGATGAAGTGCATCCTGCAAAATAATCACATGTATGCACATTTCTGATGGTCCAGACCCTTCTCAAAACCTCAAGGCTCTTCTGCTGCCAAATAATGATTTTATAAATATAAAATGCTGCATGTTTCTGACCACCAGGTGCGGGCAGTTAAGAGCACTGCTGGGCTGCCCCTGTCTTTAACAAAGAATTGTAAGGGTTGGAAGGGACTCTGAGGGTCCTCTAGCCTAACCCCACACAATGACGGACTCTTAACTAAAACAGACATGGTAGGTGGCCGTCCGACCTCTGCTTAAAACCCTCCAAGGAAGGAAAGTCCATCATCTGCTATTGTAGATGGTCTATTCTGCTACTGTATGACTTGCGTCGTCAGAAAGTTCTTCCTGGTGTTTAGTGGGAACAAAACAAAATAATGAAGTTAAAACACCATTAAAACACTGCAACAAGGCGATTAAACCAGTTAGTAATGCTGTAGCAGCCTTATAATCAGTTCAAAAGCCTGTGAGAAAATGTGTTTCTTTAAGTTGTCTCCCAGAAGTCATGGGGGGGGGGCATATCTCCAGATGGAAAGACTTATACAGTGGTACCTCTAGTTACGAACTTACCGGTAATTCGTTCCGGAGGTCCGTTCTTAACCTAAAACTGTTCTTAGCCAGAGGCGTGCTTTTGCTAATGGGGCCTCTTGCTGCCGCTGTGCCACCGGCACACGATTTCTGCTCTCATCCTGGGGCAAAGTTCTCAACTTGAGGTACCTCTTCCAGGTTAGTTGAGTTTGTAACCTGAAGCATTTGTAACCTGAGGCATTTGCAACTTGAGGTACCACTGTATATAACAAGGGAGCCACCACAGAGAAGCCCCAGCCAGGAAAATGGGAATGGTAGAGATCAACTTTTGGACAAATTAAGCTGGGGGTGGAGCACATAGTTTTAATTTCACAGCATCTCCTCTATCAATTGCAATGAGCCAGGATGCCTAAAGGGGGAGAGAGCTAGTCCCTCCTGCATCGTCCTTGCAAGCTCCCCAGAGGCGTCTTGCTGGGCCACGTTGGCCAATGGAACCAGCAGGGCTCTTCAAAGGTTTCCTGGTGAAGCTATTCTGCTGAAGTTAGGAACATTGACAAGTGCCTTGCTCTCTACTCGTCCACAGCACACGCATTACCCCCAATTTGGGAGCCAAGAATACGCAGGCCGCCGCCCAGGGGCCCTTTCGGAGACGCCCTCCTTGAGTTTGATGGATCTGTGGGCACATTTTGCAAGCGCTGCAGGACGGCGGGGTAGCCGAAAACTCCCTGGTGTTCTTCACTGCTGACAACGGGTGAGGGTGCTTCTCACCTCCAAGATATCTAACCCAGAACTGGGTCTCAACGTTGTTGTTTTTGCTCGGGAAGCAGGAAAGATTGGCAAAGACTGTTGCGGATTTTATTAGGACGGACAGTGAATTGCTGACATTGGAGACTAGTTCTGCTGCCTTAATATACTTTTTGACTACAGCTGAGCTCCTGAGCTCCTTGAAGGCAAATTGATCCATCTGGCCATAAGATATGGCTGCAGAATTTGGGGAGCTTTGAGTTCCAGGCAACTTATGTGCATTGAACACATGCAAGTTCAACTGTATGCGGTTGGCATTGCACAAATTAAACACATGGAAGGCAGAGAGCTTAAAAGCTCTTTTTGTGCAGGGCTTCCCCAGTGTGGAAGGAGCATTTAAACTCTCAGACTTCCTTACTGGGCTCTGGGAGGCTCTCATGAGATCTTGGGATGGCCATGCAAGATCTCGCAAGAGCCTCCCAGAGACCAGTAAGTAAACTCAGTGTTTGAAAGCTCTCTTTCCCATTTGTGGTGAGGGGTTAAGACCCGTTTGGCATGCCGGCTCTGGAAGGTAAAGATGATCGCACAGGGGCACTTCCAAGGCGTTGTTTTGACCATACGCGATTTTGGCTTTATACACACGGCCCAGGGAAATTAATCCCTGTGTCACGCTTGTTAGAAAGGGGATGTTTTAATGGAAAATGAGTGAGGTCCCAACCAAAGAAGAACGTTAACTTAAACTGATGGAATATATCTAACATATAGAATAAGAAAACAAGAAAAATGCACGTTTAAAGAAGACTGGAAAATGTTTACTGAATATCTGGGTGAAAATTGTGTTCATTTGAAAACGCTGGTAGCATTAAGATAAATTTGACAGTGCAAATAAGATTTGATGTATGTAGCAATTGATTACTGAGCGGTTTAGTTCATGTAAAATATGTAGAGATGTAAGGTATGTAAAAGGACACGGGTAGTGCTGTGGGTTAAACCACAGAGCCTAGGGCTTGCCGATCAGAAGGTCAGTGGTTCGAATCCCTGCGATGGGGTGAGCTCCCGTTGCTCAGTCCGTGCTCCTGCCAACCTAGCAGTTCGAAAGCACATCAAAGTGCAAGTAGATAAATAGGTACCACTCCAGCGGGAAGGTAAACGGTGTTTCTGTGCGCTGTTCTGGTTCCGCCAGAAGCGGCTTAGTCATGCTGGCCACATGACCCAGAAGCTGGCACACCGGCTCCCTAGGCCAGTAAAGCGAGATGAGCACCCCAACCCCAGAGTCGTCCGCCACTGGACCTAGCGGGCACGGGTCCCTTGACCTTTAAGATATATACAATGAACCATGGAAAGAAGAGAAGTTATTGATTTAAGGTTGCTTAAATGAATATTTCGAAACGTAATTTAGAAAATGTTTTAAATGAAAAAGGGGTGGGGTGGGGGAATATTGCATCCTAATGTTCATTTCCTCTCGCTTGCAGCCCTGAAACTATGCGCATGTCCCGAGGAGGCAGCTCTGGCCACCTCAAGTGTGGCAAGGGCACAACGTATGAGGGTGGAGTGAGGGAGCCTGCTGTGGCCCACTGGCCAGGCCGCATTGCCCCAGGTACGTCCGGCCCTTGCAGCCTCAGGGTTGCAGCAACTGCTAGAGCAGGTGCAGTCCTGCATCCAGGGGTGGAGCAAGGTGAGGGCAATGGGGGCGGGCCGCCCCAGGTATCATTACCGGGGTGACATTCGGCACACTGCATGCCTGTGATTCCCGCCTACTGCAATCTGTCAGGGGAATTGATGGATCTGGGCCACTTTGCCGGCAGCCTTCCCCCACCCCCCACCCCGTTTTGACAGCCCCACGTTCCCTGGCTGCTTTAGGAGGCAGGGAGGCAGGCAAGCAAACAAGCAAAGGGCGAAGGGAAGAAGAGAAGGAGAATCTCCCTCAACTCAGGACCCAAAGCCTGTAACCCCAAAAGAAGCTCAAGAACTTTGGCCAACCCTCCCCTTAAAAAAAAGGGATGCGGGTGGCGCTGTGGGTTAAACCACAGAGCCTAGGACTTGCCGATCAGAAGGTCAGTGGTTCGAATCCCCGCCACGGGGTGAGCTCCCATTGCTCGGTCCCTGCTCCTGCCCACCTAGCAGTTCCAAATCACGTCAAAGTGCAAGTAGATAAATAGGTACCGCTTCGGCGGGAAGGTAAACGGCGTTTCCGTGTGCTGCTTTGGTTCACCAGAAGTGGCATAGTCATGCTGGCCACATGACCCGGAAGCTGTACGCCAGCTCCCTCGGCCAGTAAAGCGAGATGAGCGCCGTAACCCCAGAATTGGCCACGACTGGACCTGACGGTCAGGGGTCCCTTTACCTTTACCCCTAAAAAAAACTCAACAACTCCTGGCAATGACAATGGGTAGATCACAGCCAGTCTTTTTATACTGTGAGTAGATCGCAGTCTCTTGGGAGTCCAACTAGATTTCAGGGGGGAGGGGGTGACAAGAAATTTTCCACACCGGGTATCACCTAACCTTGCTATGCCACTGCTTGCATCTGCCCTGGCTACCCTTCCTGCCTTGTGTTCAGAGGATGCCACAGCGCATGTCTTCCAAATTGGGGCTGGGCACCTGGTGTGTGTTTTTTTTTTAAAAAATATTTTTTAAAGGACTGCCTCCCCATCCTGGACCTTGCAGGTCGTGTTTACAATCTAGCAGGAAGTACAGGGGTTGCTTTGGCTGGCGGTGAAACTGGGTGTATTGCTTGCCTGTCGGTTACATGGGGGTGTTATAATTAATACTATTTTTAATGGATTTCTAGGGGGTATACCCTCCCCGGGTGGGCTAAAACAAGTCAACGCCAAAATTTAAAGTACCATACCCCAATTGTCTTTCGCTGCTCCTTCTTTTCCTGTCTGTTTCTGCATTCAGGTGTGACCCATGAGCTGGCTAGCACCCTAGACATCCTGCCTACCGTGGCGGCCTTGGCTGGGGTTCCTCTCCCCAATGTCACACTGGACGGCTACAACCTCAGCCCCATCCTCTTTGGAAGTGGGAAGGTGAGCTTCCGGTTGGTTTCTCCTTCTCAGCAGCGGCTGTCACAGTCAGTGTGAATTGAAATGGGCTGCTGGGGGGGGGCAGGTAGGGGCAGAGAAGCGGGGTGGTCCATTGACCCCTCTGCACTCCATCCTGCTTCCTTGGTGCCACTGCAGACTGGTCTTCCGGGATTGCAGCAGTTCCACCACGTTCCCTCCGACACCATTTGAGGGACCGCAAGGCTTCGAGCGAATCTCTGAGGCCGTGGTGCTTGGGGGGAGCTTGGTGACGCTGGAGAGCAGCTTGAGAAGTGTGCTGGATTTAGGTTTGATGAGGCCCTAAGCTACTGAAGGTAATGGGGCCCTTGATATGTCCAGCTGCTGCTGCTGGAGCAAACACTTCTGTGCTTCCAGGTAAGGTTAGGCTAAGCATGTGGGAATGTTAAGGATAGTAGGAGAGGATATATTGATTAAATATTATCCTTCCTTCACTCACTCTCGTGAGTCATGTAGCAGAGCAGAAAGCTAGTTTGCAGATTAGTTTGAATCTCTTTAGTTAAGCAGATTGGATTATTCCTGGTGTCCCCTTTTATCCTTCTTAAAAGAATAAGGACACAAGTGTCTTTCCTTAAAAGTAACAAGAGGTTTACTCACATTCAGTTCACGGTATGATCCTCGAAGGCTTTAGCTAGTACAGTGGTACCTCGGGTTACATACGCTTCAGGTTACTTATGCTTCAGGTTACAGACTCTGTTAACCCAGAAATAGTACCTCGGGTTAAGAACTTTGCTTCAGGATGAGAACAGAAATCGTGCAACGGCAGCACGGCGGCAGCAGGAGGATCCATTAGCTAAAGTGGTGCTTCAGGTTAAGAACAGTTTCAGGTTAAGAATGGAGCTCCGGAACGAATTAAGTTCTTAACCCGAGGTACCACTGTAGTTACAAATACAGAGAAAAGTGTGGCTTACATCCTTTGTAAGGATCAAAGCCCATGTGCTGCTGGCTGAGAGCCAGCAGACAGCAAAATGCATTAAGAGAACAGCATCAAGAGAACAAAAATGGCAGCAGGAGAGCAGTATGGAATCGAGAGAGAGAGATGGCTGCGTGACTCATCTCTTTTATGGAGTCAGCCAGAGCCAGGCCCATCTCCCTGGTCACATGCAGGGGGGGGATGCGCCAGACCAGTGGAACAGGAAGTTACACTGACTGGATGTCCCCCTGCCTGTGCCCACGCTAGGGAAATAAGAAATGTTGCGTTTGACTGCACCAATGAATTACACCCCACAAAGCAGATCTGTCGCTGAAGGCGTCCCGCTCAACGTTTTCTCTCTTGGCAGCCAGTGAAGTGGAAAATCTCATGCTTTGCATATTACCTTCCCCACATTGTTGTTCCTTAAATTTATATGCTGCCTTTCAACCAAATATCACAAGGCATATCATTCTGGCTCCTCTTTCAGAGTCCCCGTCAGACCATGTTCTATTACCCCCCAGCCCCCAGCCAGTCGCTCGGCGTCTTCGCAGTCCGCTATGGAAAATACAAAGCCCACTTCTTCACGCAAGGTAAGCCCAGGGCCTGATCCTGCCTTGCTCTCCCTGTGGTCATCTGAACCCCTTCCTGACCTGGGATGGCAATGGTGCGCCATGTCTCCTTTTTGTGTCATTGCAGGAGCCTTCCTTAGCGACACGACCCCCGACCGGGACTGCCATGGGTTGACCCCCCTGACGGGCCACGAGCCCCCGCTGCTCTTTGACCTGGACTCAGATCCTGCGGAGAATTACAACCTCCTTCAAGGCGGGCCTGTGGGACCCGACGTCCTGTCTGCCCTCAAGGAGCTCTGTCTGCAGAAGGCGCTTTTCGATAAACAGATGGAGTTTGGGGAGAGTCAGCTTGCGAGGGGCAGTGATCCGTCGCTGGAGCCCTGCTGTTCTCCTTCGTGTAGCCCAAAGCCTTTGTGCTGCAGCTGCGCGTCGGCCTCTTAGCCTCCCTTGCATAACTCCTTCCACTCGCCGTACTCTGTACATGCACAGCTGAACAGTTGCGAACTCCAATGAGAGCTTTCAGCACCCTTTTCACTGAGGGAAATCCACATGTTAGGGACATAGGAAACCATACTGAGTCAGAACATTTTGCCCAACTAGGTCTGTATTGTCTAAACTGACTGGCAGCAGCTTCTTGGGGTTTCAAGGAAGGGAAGTCCCCAGCCCTGCCTAGAGATGCAGGATTTGCACTCAGGACCTCAGTGCTTTTAAAACGGGGGTCAGCAACCTTTTTCAGCCGTGGGCCGGTCCACCATCCCTCAGACCATGTGGTGGGCCGGACTATATTTTGGGGAAAAATATGAACAAATTCCTATGTCCCACAAATAACCCAGAGATGCATTTTAAATCAAAGGACACATTCTACTCATGTAAAAACACCCTGATTCCCGGACCGTCAGCGGGCTGGATTGAGAAGACGATTGGGCCGGATCCGGCCCATGGGCCTTAGGTTGCCTACCCCTGCTTTAAATGTCCATGGATCCTCAGAGAAGCTGGTCCAACAGTGCGAAAGCAAGGCATGGTCTTAGAGGTGGTTGCAGCAGGCACCTTTGCCTCTGCCCTTGCCAACATACTCTGTAAAACCTTGCCACTTCGAGTGTTCGTGATAACTGATCCTCTTCCTCTTTCTCCTTGGAGGAGGACTTTTTGGGATCAACTTCCAACCATGCCTCACTCATCTCCCCCGAGGGCAGTGTTCTGGGTGACTTGCATTTAGGAAAGAATTCCGTCCAGCCAGAAGTTGCCTGGTTTGCTCTGTGTTCTCTGTGACAAATGTCTCTCTGCTCACTGGAATTCGCCAGTCTTCAGGCAGGGCCTGGTAGGACTTGGCTTAACTATGGAAGCATACGTCTGACTATCTTCTCCCTACACCTTCCCTATGCCCTCTGTCGCACCCTCTCTCAGCCCATCGGACGGCCCTTCCACTTCAAGGGGGTGGCTCATATCCTAAGAAAACTACAAGGCAGCGCTAGAACCACAACGCATCACAAAAAGAAGCCAAGCTGTTCACACGGTTGCTGTATGCAATAATAAAGAACTTGAGAAGCCTGGGATGAATTGAGAAGCCCAGATATTCCTTTGTTAACATCCTGCCTTTCTTCCTCTGTGGAACCCGTGGGGTTCCTAAGTGGTCAACCATCCATGCATTGGCCAGACCTTCACAGGTTCAACATCAGCAAACTGGTGGCACCATGTTCTCACCCCATAGAAAGCCAGCTATGTACAAGGTCTGGTCCTCACCAGGCGTGGGGAGTGGGGAGGAACCAGGGATCAAAATGGATCATCTCAGTTTTTGGATTGGGGGCAGCAGCTGAGCAGCTCCAAGCAGGCTCTGTGGCCCAAGTGCTCAGGGCAAGAATCATCATCATCATCATCATCAAACCTTTTATTGGCATCGCATACAAACATCCATAGTAAATCAATACAGAATGACCACCTCCCCAATGTCACAGAACATTTGTCAAATGAAAAGAGGCGAAAAGTCTAATGTTGCACCTCTAGGTCTCCAGGGAGATCAGACGTCGGCAACAAAAAACCAAATAAAGATATTTAGCCGCTAATTTGGTGAGCTCCTGATCATTCCCCAGTAACAGAAAATGTATGACCTCCAACTCTGGTTTCCATTTGGGGGTGCAGAGTTGATCTAGAAACTGCTGGCGGAGATCAGCATATAGTTTACATTTAAGAACCATGTGAGTAAGAGTTTCCAGCAGGTGGTCTTCACATGGGCAAATTCTTTCTCCATCCACCATTCCTGAGAGCCTACCCCAAAGGAGGTTTGATGGGTTTGAATAATAATAATTTATTACTTATACCCCGCCCATCTGGCTGGGTTTCCCCAGCCACTCTGGGCGGCTCCCAACAGAATATTAAAAACACGATAAAACATCAGTCATCAAAAGCTTCCCTAAACAGGGCTGCCTCAAGATGTCTTCTAAATGTCACATAGTTGTTTATTCCTTTGACATTTAATGGGAGGGCATTCCACAGGGCGGGCGCCACCACCAAGAAGGCCCTCTGCCTGGTTCCCTGTAACCTTGCTTCTCGCAGGGAGGGAACCACCAGAAGACCCTCAGTGTCTGGGCTGAACGAAGCGGGTGGAGACGCTCCTTCAGGTATACAACGTTGAGGAAAGTATCCTGCAACCTCCTGGAGACACCGGCAGGGTCTGCCACAGCAACATCAGGAAGGTATTTCCCATATTTCCTGCAGGTGACTGGAGAGGCAAATCTTCTGGAAACTAAAAGCAAACTTCCTCATGGGAAGCAAATGGTGCACTAATCTGGAGGAAGGCTGGACTCTTCGTAATATCTCTCTGCTTGTGAGCTGATGAAGCATCGTGCGGATTTGAATGCCATCCTGGCTTGTAGGCAGTCTTCTTCCTCCTTTCCCCCAGCTGGAAATTGGAACAGTGGTCTGCCTAATAAGGGTGTTGCAAGTGTGGCTGAGATATCCTTTCAAGGCTCAAAATGCCCTTTATCAATGCAGTCTTTTTATTTCACCTTTCATACCGTATTTTGGTATATGATCCTTCAGTCCCAGGAATAATAAATGAAATTATGATAAACTTGGGCTCACAGAGGTATTTTTTCTAGGAAAGAGATGTAGTCAGGTCTGCATTTTACTGGGTGATTTTGTTTCTAAAAAAATTGGTGGGGTAGTATTATATGGATTATTTGCTGTTTATTGTCTGGTTTAAAACCATGTATATATTTGAATTTTTCCCCTCTTTAAATTGCCTCTGGATGTTTTGGGAAAGGTAGGTAAGAAAATGTAATAAGAGTAATGAACGGCATACAATTTGCATTTGCTAATATAACAACAACTTATACAGTCATACCTCATGTTGCATCCGCTTCATGTTGCGTCTTTTCGCATTACGTCGCGCTGCAACCCGGAACTTTGAATTGTGCTCGGAAACGTACTGGGAGTCAATGTAGGTCTTTCTTTCTTTTTTTTAAAAAAATGATATTTATTAAAGTTTCAAAAAATACAAAAAATACAGAATACAGAAAAAAAAGATAAAGTTTTTAAAATATAACAAAAAAGTAAAAAATAAAGAGAAACACACAAAATAAAACCCTATTCAGGACCAGGGAGTCCTCCACACCAGCCCGCCCCCTGTCCCCCCAAAACAATACTTCTGTCTTGTCAGGATTCAACTTCAATCCATTAGCCGCCATCCATCCTCCAACCGCCTCCAGGCACTCACACAGGACACAGAAGTGCCAAATTGCACTGCGCGCCTGCGGAGACACAGCACTTCGAGTTGCAGGCATTTCACATTACAGACGGGCCTCCGGAATGGATCCCTTCCGTAACACGAGGTACCACTGTAATCAGTTTTAGAAAAATAACTAGCTAGCTAAGGAAAGTGGATATGACATTTGGTCATCTCACCTCTGCCTAGAAGAAGAACCTTTGGGCACAAGAAACATCAGAGAAGGAATTGGGAAACTGATTTCAGCCTCACCACTTGGCCAAAGGTCTCTTGGTGATGTGGAGGCATTTGCCAGCCTGACCCCAGGGTGTTTTGCAGGCTGAGGTGGATCAAATTGAGTTGTTCTCAACAGCTGTTGTGATGTTTCCATAGCTCTATGGGTTTGTCTATGAGCATCCTTCCAAGGGACCGCTGGGGTTATTTGTGAAATTGGGCAGGCTGTGGATTGAGTCCCGACATCTGCTGCTCAGATCAGACCAAACAGAAAGGCCTTGCTGGGCTTCCAGAAGATTGCAGGCTTCCAGAAGGTCTATTGTGTAGAGGTTCCACAGCCCAGCCATGATGACCAGTCCTCCTCCAGAAGTTCTTTGGAGACATTGTAACGCCCAGTGCTCTACTGCCCGCAGAGAGGTTCTGCCTGCTTCCTGGAGACTCTTTTCTTGGAGGTGGTGCTACCCTGTGTCTGGTCCACAGGGGATGGGTGACCTGTTCATCCCACCCCCTTTCTCGGTGGACATGGCCAGGCTCTGTCTCCTAGCAACGCAGAAGGAGAACCCACCGATGTCGACATCTTGCTGCTGAGGCCAAACGATGTGGAACCACTACCAGGAACCACAGTTCCTAAAGGGTACTCCAGCTGGCCTGCTTCTGGGGGTCGTGGCCTTGCTGAGGTTGTTGGGGACACATGGCTACGATCCAGCAGGTAAGTGGGGCTTGGGGTCTGTGGCTGGGGTGAGACCTTTATCTTGCAGTCCCTTTGACCAGGCCCACCCTAGAGCTCTCACTCAGCCATCCTCTTTAAGCATGTTCCCACCAAAAAACAACCCAGATCTTAATGAAGCCAGACCCACCCATTTTTGGAGCTGCCTGTGTTCCATGAGAGGTGAATAGTAGCTATGTTTTATTCAGATTAACTAGGGCAGAAGAGAAAAGCAAAATGATGGTCATCTTCTGGGCTCCTGAGACAAGTCTGGTTAAGGAGGTTCAACATAAAAGAGGCTCCCGTTCCACCCATTACAGCGTCCTGATAATTTTGGCCCTGTGTCTGAGGCTTTGGTGCAGGCAGATGTTGAAAGTCAGGGCATCCAACCAGCTCTTCAACATACCTGGTGGAATATTATCACGATGCCTGCCTTAGGGCCTGATTCTCTGTTTGCTGTGAGCTGGAAAATCCAGGATTCAAATGGCCCTTCCACCTAAAAATTGGTGTTGAAGCAATAATTCATTTCGCACCGTCTCAGTCGGCACTTGGTGTTCTGCTAAGTAGGTAGCTGTCGAAACGTCTGTATATATTGGAGAAGTGAAAGCAAACCACTCTCGCTATCACCCTGAGAGTTTGGAGAGATGATTAATATGTGTCCCAGGGGAAGTGGCGGGACAGAAGAAAAACACAAATGGAAAATATCATGGGACAAACAGAAGACGATCACTTAGGCTGAGACAGCTGCTCCATTTGTTTCAGGTGTATCTTCATGGCTTCAAACGGGGGCCTTGCCAGCCCTATCTGAGCATTCTAGAGACCAGGGGCGTTGGAAGGGGAGCGGTGGGGGCGGTCCGCCCCGGGTGCCCTCACTGAGGGGGGTGACATTCAACATGCCTCCTGCCCGCAACTCCCAAGCCTATCCCGAGCCTTCGGGGTAAGGGGGGAGCTGCGCCACTTTGCCAGTGGCATTTCCCCCCTCCCCCCTTCATTTTGACAGCTTGGGGGAGGCTTGGGAGTTGTGGGCAGTGCGCCGAATGTCCGCCATGGACGGCTCACTCCTCCCCCAACTGCAGGGTGTGCGTGTGCCACTCCAGGTACCCAAGTGGCTATCCCATGCCTGGGGGGGCAGCCTCCATGCCACGCCCCCTCGGGAGCATGCCCACCCTGGGCAGCGTGGACATATGGTCCGCCGCTGCTAGAGACTCAACCTAGACCTTTCATTTGCAAAGCGTGAGCCTCACCACAGAACTGTATCTTTGAAACTTTGACCTTTAAGGTTTGCAGCTGTATTATTTTAAAAGGCCACTTTAGAAGCCACAGCACACATCATTCTGAAAGAGGAAACATTTGCAGAAGAATTTCCCCAACCTCTGTTTCCGCAAAAAATTCCAGGGGGAAACAAAACAAAACAACCTGAAATAAAAATACGTACACACACACACACACACACACACACACACCTTCTCCTTTCCCAATTGCCCTTCAAGGTCAGTTCTGTAATTCTGCACCTTGACTGCCATGTTCCTGTCAGGAGTTCAGCCTACACTCGAGTAGGACCCTGGCAGAGACACATGCCCGACTGTCATGTTCTCTCCCTCCTGGTCGATTGTCTGGGAGCTTCAAAAGCTTTCTTCTGTCCAAACATCACAGCGACCGATGCCAACAGACACCGGCACACTTAGGGATCCGCAAGTCTTCGCAGCTTGCGTAACAGACCTCAGCAACTCAGCATTTTGGCTAATCTACTATATGTAAATAAACACACACGGAGCACTGCAACACGGCTCCCTCTCTCTCTAGCATCAGACAGCAGAGAGAAAAAGAACAAAGGACAATAGTCCCACTTCACGGAACACAGGAACACAAACATCCTGTCTTTGTCACTTCCCACTTTGTGGAGTCAAAACATACACCGTCATGTGATAAACAAAAATCCCATGACTGCAATCATAGATCAGGAATTGGATTGTCTTTTAAAAGTTGGCAGGCCCGTGACATCATAGAGCCCCACCCTATGATACATACGTAAGTGTCCTCTCTCCCAGTGCTCCCCCCCCCCAGAGGTACTGAAGGGCTCGCAATACTAACACCATTTTCCCTAGAAGTAAAGAACTGCACTATCCTATGAAGCTCAGGCTGTCTTATGCCACAATGTCCCCTTTTGTGGGATATTCAATCTGCCTTTGCACAAACTGGCCACACGATGGCACCATTGACTGCCAAAAACAGGAGCTGAGACCTCAGAATCAAACTTCCTTGCATACTGAGAAGTTTCTTTTCTTTTCTTTTTAAATCACTTTTATTATATATCAGTTTACATCAATTTACATTCAACTTAGACAATACATACAATACACACCACTACATAGACACACTGTAGACACTAACTTCCGATTCTTCTCGTTGTGCTATTTTACATTTTGTTTATCTATACACATTTCATTATTATTATTTTACTTTCCCATTTTTTATCAGGAAAACTTTGCTATGTACTTTCTCTATATTTAAAGATTCAATCTAAGTCTGTCAGGAGGTAAACATTGTCACAGTAATTCTTAAGATATTCTTTAAATATTATCCAATATTAACTTTCTGTATTGAATTTCCTTTTATTCTCCCTGTCATCTTTGCGACTTGTAAATATTCTACCCTTTTCACTTGCCAGTCGGTTTCTGTAGGGGTGCTATCACCTTTCCAATTCTTTGCTATTAAAATCCTAGCCGCTGCGGTTGCGTACATAAAAAGAGGTCTGAGATTTTTCTTAATTTCCTTGCATACTGAGAAGTTTCCAGGGTAATCCAGACCTGTCAAGGCCTCCCAAGTGTTTACTGGTTTGAAGATCAGACATGTAGCACATACAAAGGACAGGCGTTTCTTCGTGTGTGTGTTTTGCAAAGGTGCATTTGCCATCACCAACAAGCCTCCCATAAAGCCACAGAGAGCCATCCCAGCTCATCCAGTATTATAAATATTTATTACATTTTTATGCCACCTACTAGCTCAGTCCTCTGGGTGGTTTACAGCATTATTAAAAATATAAACTTATAAACGTCTGTGAAAAGTGACGGGGGGAACAAGCAAAAAACAATAAGCAATACGTACCAGTAAATGCAACCCTCAACTATCAGAAAACCACCACAAGAACAGCAGCATAAAACCTGTTTCAAGCCAGCATAAAGCAAGTAATGAACACAAGAAGAGACTTGGGATTTGTCGACACTGGACCTGGAACAAGTGGGTTTCCCCAAGCTCCGCTCCTTTCCCATGGGAGACCTGCTCTTTAGTGCTAAATCGGAGCAAACATCAATCTGGAGAAAATCTGAATTGCTGTTTGCTCCTATTGAGCACTAAAGAGTGGTCTTCCCTGGGAGAAATGAGCAGGCCATGAGGAAGGGTGGATGAGCCCGTTGACAATAAAACTGAGCCTAACAGTGTTTTGGAGACGTCTGCAAATGCAGCTACACTAAGGGCATGGGTCCAAGAAGTTTTTCATTTGTCCTGCCCCTATCCCAGGAAAAGCCCTCTGTTTACTGATAAACTGGTATAGACATCAGTCCGCAGAAAACCTGACTGGTGTTTGTTCCAATTCAGAAGTAAAGAGAGGATTTTCTCAGGGAAAACAGCAGGGCAAACAGAAACCCCTTTGGGCGTGTGACTAGAACTCACAGGACAAACGCAAATGTGGCTGAGCCCTAAATATGGAGGCTAGGGGCTCACCAGGTCATAGCTGTCAACTTTTCCCTTTTCTTGCAAGGAATCCTATTCGGAATAAGGGGATTTCCCTTTTTAAAAAGGGAAATGTTGACAGCTATGCATCAGGTGTGCCTTTTGCCCCAAGGAAACCCCATCTTTACCACTGAATCAGAGCAAATGTCAATCAAGTTTTCTCTGGATTGATGTTTGCTCCAATTTATTTCTTGTGAAGGAAAAAAATTCCTGGGTGAGAGACTACTCAACAGCCCAGCTGGTCGGGGTGCAAGTCCCCTGTGGGTCCATGCGGTCAGTAAAAGAAGGAAGCTCCAGCCAAGTAATTTGGAGCAAAACAGCAGTCAGTAGACCATGATCTTTATTGTTGCGCAACAGGTCCCCACAGGAGTAAGAACCCTGAGTAAGGGGTGACCTCCTCTTTTAAAACTTCCCTCTTTCCCCCAGAATACACTTGGAGCAGCACATAGAGACATCATCACTACATCACTAGCATGTCACAAATGGGGAGGGGTCTACAAGGGTGATACAAGTTCAACATTAGTTCCCTTTATCACACCCCTTTCCCAACACCTCTTAAGTCCCCATCACCAGAAGAACAATAAAACTCTCTCTATATCCTTGCCCTCAGGATTTGCCTGGAGATGGGCTTTCAGAAGACCTCACTTGCTCCACTGCCTCTGGGGATGTCTATTGTTGCCCCCCCTGGTTGCTCCCTGGGTGGGGGCCATGTACATGCTCCCACACTTGGGGAATTATGGAGGGATGCTCTGTTCCTGCTGCCTACATGACTTCCTGCTTCTTGGTTCATGGAGGGAGGTGGAGCCCAAATTCCCCTTTCTTTAAGGGTTAAAATGGCCTTGGAATGAGGAGAGTCGGTTGAAGTATGGATTTTCTACCAACTTATAAAGCTAGGTATCTTCCCTGAGCTGTCAAGTCGAAAGGATACATTCAGGCATAATATTTGTAGCATTGTAATAACTTTAAAGATCCCCCCCCCCCATCATTTCCGTAACACACTGGAGATGTGTGGGTCCAGATGTGGGGTGGAGAGGATCTTTGGCCCTGGAGATGTTGCTGAACATGAGCTCTGGCCATGCTCTCTGGGGCTGATGCAAAGGGAAGTATAGCTGGCGCAAGTATGGCTTAATTCATGGCCAAAATTTGCTGCTGGTATTTCTTGAGCCCCAGCAGCTTAACTTCTTGAATGAAGCTCCCCACACCCATATTTCTTGATGCCAGGCTGGAGCAAAGTTCCCTGGCAAGTTTGGCCCCGTCAGCTGCAGAGCCTTTCGTCCTCTGGTGCTTTCTTGAAGAAGTCGGTTAGGTGTTTGCTGCGCATTCCTGAAGTCCTGCCTCCCTGAGCCGCTTTCAATGTTCTTTCCTTCCCATCAGACTGCGGGAAACGACCCCTGGCCCCCATCCACGGCGGCAGCATGAGAATAGTGGGTGGTGTTGACGCCCTGGCTGGAGAGTGGCCCTGGCTTGTCAGCGTCCAGATCCCCTCTTCCAAGGGAACGCGGCACTCGTGTGGGGGATCCGTCCTTTCCAAGCGCTGGGTCCTCACAGCAGCTCACTGCTTCAAGACTAAGAGAAGGCAAGTACGAAAGATGGCAGGAAAATGGACATCTCTGGCCTGCTGAGGACAGGCAGAATGTCCCCGAGGTGGAAAGACAAGGCAAGGTTTCTGCCACAGGCTGAAGATGTGCGGTGCTTCTGAGCATGTGCAGATTGCCTTTGTCTTTCCACAAGAACCTCTCCAACATGTCAGAATATGTGGGGATGTTCAGGGTGGCAGGAGAGGATATATTGTTTATTAATATCCTTCCTAACTTACACTTGCAAGTTCCTTTACTTAGCAGAGTGCATTCCCCTTTACACAGCAGAAAATTAGTTGCAGACTGGTGTGAGTTTCTTAAGACAATACGCAATTCAACCTGGCTTGTCCAGCTTGAAATGTGTTCTAATATTTTCCTGGTAAGACCCCTTGAATCCCTCCTAATTGAATAAAGGCACCACAGTCTTATTCATAAGCAGTGAAAAGAAAGTTTATTCACGACCAGGCAGAGCACAGTGTGATCCCTGAAGGCAGGCTTAAGGCTTCAAGTTACAAACATGTACAAACATGTTAGTGGTGTGAAGTAGGGGGAGGAGAGAGAGGTGGGAACATATTGTTTAAAAAGGTGTAGTCATAGGTATATCAGTGTATTCGAATCTGAATTGTCAAATTGTGTTATTATTGCTATTATGGTTTTGGTTGTTTGTGTCATTTGCGGTTGTTGTGTATCGAAAAAATGATTAAATATTTTTTAAAAAAAATGTACAAACAGGATTACCCATAAGGGAGATGACCTGGGCAACTGCTTGGCTGGAAAGCAGGATGAAAGGAAGATGGAAAAGAAAGAGAGTGGCAGTATGCCTTGTCCTTTTACCTGGACAGGTTAGGTCACGCCCACCCACTAGTCACATGCAAGGAAGGATGCTCCAGGCCAGGAGGAACAGGAAGTTTCAACTGGCTGGACCAAACATCCCCTTGTATGTCCACTCTAGCAAAACAAGGAATGTTGTACTTGACTGCTCCCAGTGGATTACATCCCGCAGAATAGTGGGCAGAGATTCTAGGCAGACTCAGCTGCTTGCTAGAAACTGGACACTAGTGGGAGGCTGTCTGCTTCCTCCTGTCCTTTCGCCATGTCTCAGAAACTTTATGTTGCCTCATCTGCACATCAGGTGTTTCTCTGCAGTGGGTCACCCCTTCCCTGCTGCAGAAGCTGTTTGTGCAGTGGCTGGTTCTGATACCTGGCTGATTCTCAGGGGTGGGGCGTTCAGAGGGACAAGAGGAGCAGCTATTCTGATACATGTACTTTGTGATTTAAATGACCGTCCAGAATGCTGGCAAGCCATTTTGGACTAACTGTAAAAGTATACAGGCACATTAACATGGATCTATAGGTAACTTCAGCCCAGTGCAGTGTCCCAGCAAAATGTGTGCATCAGTCAGTTCTAGTATTTGCTTGGTGCCAGCAACCAACAAAGCCACAATACTGGTATGTTAATATCTGCATGAAGCTGGAATTGGTGTAAATAGTCCAACTGTGCCTCATAGCTTAATAATAATAATAATAATAATAATAATAATAATTTCTTATTTATACCCCACCCATCTGTTTCCCCAGCCACTCTGGGCGGCTCCCAATCGAGTATTAAAAACAATACAGCATTAAACATTAAAAACTTTCCTAAACAGGGCTTCCTTCAGATGTCTTTTAAAGATAGGATAGCTGCTTATTTCCTTCACATCTGAAGGGAGGGCGTTCCACAGGGCAGGCAGGCACCACCACCGAGAAGGCCCTCTGCCTGGTTCCCTGTAACCTCACTTCTCGCAGCGAGGGAACCGTCAGAAGGCCCTCGGAGCTGGACCTCAGTGTCCAGGCTGGATGGTGGGGGTGAAGACGTTCCTTCAGGTATACATGTTTATCAGTATTAGGGTGTCCAGGAATTATTATTTCCCCTGTTTTTGCAGCAGTAGCCAGGGAGAACTCTGTTTAAAAGAACTCCAGAGGGCCTTGCGCTAACCATGTTCTGTTTTACCTGCAGCTCACTGAATCGCTGGAGGATTGTGGTGGGTGCAACGGACCTTTCCAAGTTGCCGGACGATGTGCAAATCCGCTCGGTGCACAAAGTCCTCCTCCACCAGGATTACAACCCGCGCACAGAGGCCAACGACATTGCACTGATAAAGCTTGAGAAACCTGTGACATTTAGCGACTACGTTCAGCCAGCCTGCCTGCCTCCTGTCACCATGGGCTCTGATACCAGCTTCTCAGACTGCCACATCAGTGGCTGGGGCACCACCTCCCAGAACAGTGAGAGACTGGGAGCAGAGGGAGGCAGGGACTGGGGGCAGCTCAAGTAGGGGTGGAAACGCAGCTGTGTAGATAACACACAGGGCAGGGGGAGATAGAGGTGCTGCTGCGGATGGCTGGTATCCCAGTCCCCGCAAACTTCAGATCTGGGAGAACAGGGATTAATGAAGGCTTATTTCAGGTCAGATGGAAATCTGGCTGCTTCCCCTCCACACAAAGGTAGTTGTTTTCTGGTGCTTCCTTTTCAGGAAGTGGAAAATAGATTCAACCCACATGTGGGTAATTAATACTAAAAAAAATTGGCCAGGCACCTAGATTCAAAACATGAGGCTTTGCACACTCTCCCGCAGGAGAGAGCCTCCAGCAGAGCTTACAACACTCTCCGAGTTAACCCCCAGAATAGTGTAGAAATTGGGATATTTTGCCCACTTCACCCCTCTTGCAATGAACAGTCAACACCCTGTTAAGTAAGTTTAAAAGCTTTACTTACTAAATCGAATGGTCTGGTTCATGCATTATTCCATGCAGCAGCAAGGAGAACACAGGTTGAATAGTCTTGGGTGTAAAATACAGATTATAGTTTCAAGCATGTGGTCTGTACTTTGGAACAAGTTCAGACATGTCCATCCTGGTCAGTTACATGACTAGTGGAGAGTGAGCAAAAGAAAGAGAAGCAGCTTTGCTTTCCCCCTCACGGAGTGGCCTAGCTGGTCTTAACCCCTTCATGCACTAACTAGCACTCATGCATGTTTAACTGCAACTCCCACACCTTCCTCCTTCCATTTTGCTCACAGGAGCTTTAAAAATACCCTAAGGTGCTGAAATGCTTTGGGTAGCACACAAAATGAGGGTGTGTGTGTAACTTGTTTTGGTTTCTTCCTCTGCCAAGCTACATTTTACAGTGAATGCATGTTTTCATTTGTGTGTGTGTGATCCTGAACCTGCAACTTTAAAAACAGCAACTACTGCACACACAGATACAAATACCTACTTAATGTAACGTGTAGTTTCGCTCTGTGTCAAGCTGTATATTCCAGCAGGGAAATTGCGTGTGTGTTTGTGTGTGGCTAGGGAAGGGAAGAGCTGTGGATTGCAGTGTTTGGAGAAAGCAGAAACCAACCTAATCTGCTGGCTTTCCTGACAGGTGTGAAGACATCGGACACCCTTCAGGAGGCGAGAATCAACATTCTGGACACCAAGAAATGCAACAGCAGCCAGTGGTACAATGGGGCCATGAGTCCTCACACCATATGTGCAGGATATGAGGAAGGGGGCATTGACAGCTGCCAGGTAAGGAATCCCACTGCCATTTATTCACACTGGCACCGGCTCGCCAGCCTTGCTGGCAGAGATAGGTCTTCCTTAGCACAGATGCTTGCGATCCCTCTAACTGTCAAACTGCAGAGGAACCGACCCACAAGGCAGGTTGCCTGGGATGGACAAGACAAGGAGAACTCCTTACCATCTGCTTTTATTCAATATCCACAGAGAGAGGCTTGGGAATGTGGCGTCTCAGAATAATGGCGTTGCTCCGAGTGAGTCTCCACCCCCTCCGTCTCTCCCACTTCCTCATGAGTCATAGCTATGGGTGCTGGAAAGGGCCTTTAACCTTTGAGCTCTTTGCTCTCCTACTTTCAAGGCCCGCCATGTCTTGGGAGAGGGAGGGTCTGGAATGCTTTCTAAAGACACTGAGTCCATCAGCTGTCACTCCCCTGTGCTTCTTCTCTCTTCCTCCTCCTCTCTCATTATTTCCCAGCTTTCCCCCTCATCTGCCTCTGAGTTGTGACCTCCCTCAAACCCCTGTTGTAATTCTGAACTGTCTCCTTCTTCTCTGGAAGGGTCAGGCTGGGGAGGCGGTCCCCTCCTCCCTCCTCTGCCCAGTCCCTGGCACTAACTGAAGCTGCCCAGGATTGAACCTTTGATGAGCAAAGCATATGCTCCGTCGCTGAGCTAAGGAACGCAGCTAAGGAACACCTTTTGCTTTGGGCAACTGGGGCAGTGCCTGTTGGGATGCGTCTGGGGAGATGGGGGCATTTGGCAGGCCCCCAGCTGGCTCCAGCCCTTCGGCCGGCAGCCGGGCAAACTCCGGTTCTTAGAACAGCATCAAAAACTGCGACTCAAGCCTCAGAGACCTTTAGAGACTGAGCACGCAAGCCAGCAGAGATAAGAACTCTTTGTAATGGAAGTAGCGGACAGAGGCATATGTAGGCATATTTACAGCATTTTATTCAGCAGCAAAGGAAAAACATGTCTGCTTCCCTTCGTGTCCAAGCAAAAAGCATAGGCAAAAGCTATATACAGCGGAAGTTCCCAGCAGACTGTGCTGGAAGTAAACAGACATGTGACATACAACAACTCCACATGCCTGTTCTAAAGGTGGAATGGGACTATATCATAACAGTGCCCTCTCCCACACACAGTGGACACCATTTGAACCTAAAACTTGAGACCACTCTTCCTCACCTCTTCCCCTCCACCAAGGGTGGGGAACCTCTGGCCCTCTAGACATTGCTGAGCTCCAATGCCCATCAGCCCCAGCAAGAATGGCCAATGGCCAAGGTTGATGCAAGTTGCAATTCGTCAGCAGCTGGAGGGCCACAGGTTCACCACTCCTTCCTCACGCTCTAATAATACCTTACTCTCTGCTTTCTGTCTGCCTTGCTGCATGGAGTCTGCATAACTGTGGCCTGCTTTCCCTCATCTCACTTCTGTATTTGGGCTCGTCCATACTTCTGCTCGTCTCATGCCCAGAAAGCATGGGTCGGAGTGGTTTGCCGCTCGATCTGTGTTGGCGTCATGTGAACAATGGGTGAAACTGCACAGTGCTTGGACTCATGTCTTGAGTTAGCACATCTTCCCATGTCTGGATGTTCAGAGATGAGGGTGCCATGTGTACTGAGTTACCAAAGCAACACCCGCGAGGTTGAATGTATGACTTGCCGATTCTTCCACCCATTGGTCCAGGAATGTAGACCAATGGGCATAGTAGGGCATTGCTTTCATTATGTTCCTGTCCTGTTGCATGTTTGTGTCTTGTCCTGTTTGCCATCAGGGTCTGATTCTGAATCTGAAAGAGTCAGGGGAAAGGCTGTGGGCCTTACACAGCAGCATAAGCTACCATGGGGATAGTGTTAGCCGATCTCTCTGTACATATGTATGCTGACTTCAGAGACCAGATGAATTGAATCTAGTAGTATTTAGCTTTGTCTTGCATCTGGAGATGATAAACAGTTGATATGAACTGTGTGGAAGAGGAGTTTTCCCCTTAACTGGGGACTCTGGAAAAAAAACTATTCTGCTGGGAGCGGGAGATCTCTGAAGACTCTGCTGGGGCTTCGCATGCACAGCTGAGGTCGAGGTGTGGTGAGCTGCCAACTGACTTCCACAAGTCACCAGCAACTTGTGCTTTCTAGACACAGGTCTAGAGCAGTTTTCCTTTTGCCCCAGGGAAAACCGGCTCTTTAGTGACAGATTGGAACCAATGGCAATGGGGAAAGCCTGAAGTGCTGTTTGCTCCAACTGAGCACTAAAGAGCATTTTTTCTGAGGCTGAAGGAGGGAAGCAGCAGGACAAGAGAAAGCATGAATAAGCCCAGGGTTAATCTCCCCCCCCCCTCCAAGACCATGTCAGGATGTTGTCGGTGGGTCTCAGCTGTTGCCCAGGAAACTATAAAGTCAAGGGAAGGTTTCTTACTGTCCTTTTTTATTCAATATTTACAGAGAGAGGATGTAGAACCCAGCCTCTTGGATAATGGCATTGTCCCGAGTGAATCTACACTCACCCCCAGGTCTCTCCCACTTCCTCATTCGTCACTTCTACGGGTGCTGTTATGTGCCCTCTGTCTTTGAGCTCTTTGATCTCCTACTTTTAAGGCTTGCAGGTTCTGGGAGATGGAGGGTCTGGGAAGCTTTCTGATGATACCATGTCAGCTAGCTGCTGCTCCGCTTCTGCCTCCTCCTCCTCTCCCATTATTTCCCAACTTTCCCCCTCATCTGCTTCTGAGATGTGACCTCCCTCAAACCCATGTTGTAAATCTAAACTGTCTTCCTCTTCCCCCTTCCTGGAACGGTTAGGCTGGGGATGTGGTCTCCACCATTCTTCCTCTGCCCAGTCCCCGACAGACCTTCTCACCCAAGTTAATCAAACTAAGGGATTAGTTGAGAAAACACTGTAGCCCTGTAGTCATTGGTACTCCAAAAGTGAATTTGTGCCTCGTACCATTGAATTTCAGATGGAGAACAGATTTTCTGAAAATACAATTCAGACTTTTTCTCCCAAACCATAAATCTCATGGCAGCATACGCAAAAATATGGAGATCAATGCAGTTTTAAAACAGACAATTAAAAAAAAAGCTCAGAACTAATCAATTCTGATAATCAATTTTATGAACAAATGCATTTAGAAAGAGCGTCTGCTCTATTATGACAAATGTCAGCTCTTTCCCTGAAGGTACGTTCTAAGGAACTTCACACTCACCTTGGAAACAGACACGGCAAGTTCATTATGTAGTGATAGCGCCATGTATTTAAAGCCCATTTAAAGTACATGGCTTGCCCCAGAGAATCCCGGGAACTGCAGTTTGCTGGAAATTGTAATTCTGTGAAAGATAAGTTATGGTTCCTGGGATTCTTGAGGGAAGCCATGTGCTTTAAATGAATAGTGTGAATGTGTTCCTGGTAACACAGTCAGAAACACAAGACGGATGGGCGTTTCTTGGCAAGCAATGATGAGATGAATGGCAGGGGGTGAGTCTGTGATGTCATGTAGCAGCTAAGAAGGTTCATGTGGTCTTTGGTCCTGGTGGCTGGACGGGCTTAGACTTGCACCTACACCATAAGTGTGAGGGGACCTTGCTTTGCTTTCCTGAAAGACTACTTAAGTTCCTTCCTTCCTTCTCTCTGCAGGGCGACAGTGGGGGGCCCCTGATGTGCAAGACAAGCCAGGATTCCCCGTATTACGTGATTGGCATCACCAGCTGGGGAAAGGGCTGTGCCCAGGCAAACAACCCAGGAATCTATACCTTTACCAAAGACTTCCTTGAATGGATCTTGGGGGAGATGGTGGAAGCCAAAGGGCAGAAGCCCAAGAAGAAGAAGAAGAAGAGAAAGTCACCTGGTGGAATAACGCTCCTGCCTAACAGAAAGGACATCTTGACGACACAAGAGCCAGCAACCAACCCAAAGGTGGCCACTGGTCCTCTGTCCACCACCGCTCCTTCAACAGCACCTGAAACCCCCACAGAGGTGCTCACAGTCCCTTTGCCCACAGATGCTCCAGAAACTTCCTCACAGGTGCTCACAGTTCCTCTGCCCACAAATGCCTCTGAAACTTCCTCACAGGTGCTCACGGTCCCTCTGCCCACAGATGCCTCCAAAAAGTCCCCACAGCCACCCACAGTCCCTCCACCCACAAATGCCTCTGAAACTTCCTCACAGGTGCTCACAGTCCCTCTGCCCGCAGATGCCTCCAAAAAGACCGCACAGGTGCTCACTGTCCCTCTGCCCACAGATGCCTCCAAAAAGACCCCACAGGTGCTCACTGTCCCTCTGCCCACAGATGCCTCCAAAAAGACCCCACAGGTGCTCACGGTCCCTCTGCCCACAGCTGCTTATCCAAAAGCCCATGGTGCTCGCTCAACAAATCCCACCAAACACCATCCTCGAAGGCCCAAGGCAACTTTGAGGTCCCCGGACAAAGATCCAGAGCCAACCATCCTTGTGGAGCCCCCTTTCATACCCCCAATAATTACACCTCCCCCTATTGAAGCCCCATATGTCCCTTCAGAACGAACTGTCACCCTGGAAGCACCCTATTTTCCCCAAGAAACAGCACCCAAACCTCTAGCTCCTCCACGTATTCCGAAAGAAATACAGCCCACGGCTCTAGAGGCCCCCTACATCCCCCCTGACGTGACTGCATCTCTGGAGCCCCCCTATATTCCTCTGGGGGAGCCTTACACTGCCCCAGAGCCTCCATTTCTTCCCCCACCACCCAAATACATCTCTCCAAAACAAGGCAGTGTCTCATCCAATTCCTCAGAGTCCCCGTATGTCCCACAAGAAAGACCATTCGCTCTGGATCCCCCATATATTCCTCCAGAGACATCAGTCACTCTGGAGCCTCCGTACATCCCCCAAGAAACACCCCCAGGGGCAACTGCCATTCTGGATCGCCCATACACTCCACCAGAGAACCCAGTCACTATAGAACCCCCATTCATCCCCCCAGAGAACCCTGTCATTTTACAGGCTCCATACATGCCTCAAGACAAACCGGTCACTCTGGAGCCTCCATACACCCTGTCAGAGACACCGGTCACCCTAGAACCCCCATACACTCCTCCAGAGACGCTGGTCACCCTACAACCCCCATACACTCCTTCAGAGACATCAATCACTCTAGAACTCCCATACACTCCTCCAGAGACGTCAGTCACCCTACAACCCCCATACACTCCTCCAGAGACATCAGTCACTCTAGAACCTCCATACACTCCTCCAGAGACATCAGTCACCATAGAACCTCCATACACTCCTCCAGAGACATCAGTCACCTTACAACCCCCATACACTCCCCCAGAGACATCAGTCACTCTAGAACCACCATACACTCCACCAGAGACACCTGCCACTCTAGAACCCCCATACACGCCTCCAGAGACACCTGCCACTCTGGAGCCTCCATACACCCCACCAGAGGCACTTGTCACTCTAGAACCCCCATACACCCCTCCAGAGGCACCTGCCACTCTGGAACCTCCATACACCCCTCCAGAGGCACCTGCCACTCTAGAACCCCCATACACCCCTCCAGAGACACCTGCCACTCTGGAACCTCCATACACCCCGCCAGAGACACCTGTGGCCCTAGAACCCCCATACACCCCTCCAGAGCCGCCTCTCACTTTGGAGCCTCCATACACCCCTCCAGAGCCACCTGTGGCCCTAGAACCCCCATATATTCCTCCGGAACCCCCTGCCACCCTAGAACCCCCATATATCCCCCCAGAGACACCTCTCACTCTGGAGCCTCCATACAATCTCCCAGAGACACCTGTCACCCTGGAAGCCCCCTACACTCCCCCTGAGATCCCGTACACTGATCCATACCCTCCATACATCCCTCCAGAGGCCCAAAATATCCCAGAAGGTTCAGCTGAGAACCCAGAGGCTCCATATAGCATTCAAGTGGCTGCTGACCCTCCCAAGTCTTACAAGCGTTCTCCAGCATTCTATGCTATTCGCATTCCCCGAGCTGCTCCTCCAGGCCGACGCTGGCAACCTTCCAAATAAGAGAGTCCACACATGGGGTGCATCCTGCCTACAGCTCTTTGTCCGTCTGACCCTCAGGCTGTCCTCAACTAGCCAGTTCTTCAAAAGGCCACGCAGCAGTAAGTGCCATCCCTCTCCCAAATACCGTAATTTGCACTTCGATACCATGACCTCTATCCTCACATGCCAGGGCCCAAAGCTCCCTTGGATTTTCAAGATTACCAAAGAGAAGGGATGCGATTAAAGCAGTTGATCGCCAGTCCGTAGCAGATAGCGGGACTTATATTCAGGACTGTCAGGAAGGAACTCTCAGTTGGAATATATGGACTTACGGAGGAGCAACGGGGTGGCACACAGGGTGCAAAACCTGCCCTGCTTTATGTCGCTGGTGGCCTTGGGACTACGAGGTGGTTAATTCAAAGTAAAAGAGGAGGAGATGCGTGAGGGAACATCCACATCACTGAGAATCCACGCACAGACCTGCCACGTGGGCTCACCCTCTGCTGCAGCCACAGGAATGCCTTAATTCCAGAGGGGAAGCAGTCGGAGCAAAATGCTACCATGCTTGCTTGGAAACACGCAGGTCTGGCATGTGTCTGAGAACCTGATTCCGGGTCCTGCCAATGCCCTCCCTCACCCTCAGGAACTACGGGCAACTGGAGGAAATCTGGCGGTGTAGGAATTCTGCCTCTTCTGCCTTGTGCTCTATTCCCACTGGAGGACAGAAAGCTATTGCTCCAGTAACTCTGGTTCAGAACATGGTGGGCAAAAACCGATTATAAAAAGAGGGAGGGGAAATTAAATTGGCCTGCGCTTATTTATTTTTAATTGCAAACATTAAGGTTGAAATCATATAGACCTTTCGTTAAGCTCAGTTGACTGTTGCCGGGATGCACTTCCAAGTATGCTTCCATCCGATGGCTCCATAAATCTCTTTTAAACAACAACTTGGTTAATATTATCCAGTCTAAGCCGCAGCTGGATAGCCCAGCAGTGAATCTCTGAATTAATTCCCTCTGCTAGGCTTTTCTAGCAGAACCAATCCAATCATTTCTCAGACATGAATATTTACACTAGGATGGCCAGATCCAGCCCTCCAGGCTGCAAGAAATGGCCTGCCAGCTCCTGCAGTTTTATCTCCCCAAAGGATCACAAGAACGTAAGAATAGCCTACTGGATCAGACCAAAGGGTCTAGTCCGGCATCCAGTCAGATGCCTATGGGCAGAATATGAGCACAAGGGTCCTCTCCCCTCCTGAGCTTTCCAGCAACTAACATTCAGAAACATTGGTGCATGTAGATAAGTGTATTCACACATACACCCACACACCAATATATGCAACCAAACACACCACCGACAGAGATCCAACCAGACCTATGCTAGATCTACGCAGCTGTAAAAAAACAACAACCACCCGCTTTGAAAACACTCTTTGGGGGAAATCATTGTAAAGCTCACAATGGAAAATATTGTGTTGCAATTTCAGCTTTACACTGGTGTCACAGTGTTATAACGCATTTATAATGTTGTAGTTTGACTAATGTAGCTGAGTCCCTAGGGGCCGTTTAAACTTTAAATCCCCTTACACAACAGCTCCCCCTGTAGGGATTAGGCGAAGAACTGCAGGCATCGCCTCCACTGAAAGCAACGGAGAACGACGGAAACTTGGCAAACCAGTGGGGTCAGTTAAGGCTGCAATTAGCAGGAGTTATTAATCTCGGCCAATTTTATGAATGAAAATTCAGGAGAAACATGAATGAACACTACAGATTGTACGGAAATGGTTTAATTGCAAATAAAATAAAAGTCAAAGCAAAGATCACACACGTTAACCAAAGAGGTTCCAGGTTGCAGTGCCTGACCCAGCCACAATCTGCCACAATCTCCAAGGCACAGGATCACGTAGACCAGCCTTTCTTAACCTGTGGATCCCCAGATGTTGTTGAACTACAACTCCCCTCACTCCTGGCTAGCAAGGCCAGAGCTCAGGGATGATGGGAGTTGTAGTTCAACAACATCTGGGGACCCACAGGTTGAGAACCGCTGACGTAGACAGAATCCAGTCTTGGAGAATTGCAAATAGGTAATGGGGGGAAAGGACAGCGATCAATACACAAATATAGAAGTGGTTAACGCAAATAAGGTGAAGGGAATATGGCAATGGCTGTGACTGCTCAGTAATCCTGTTGAAGGGATCCAGGGAACTCAAAAATCCAGCACAGATCAGACTATTTGCCAGGGGATTTTTTCTATCTCTCCAGCCTCCCTTTACAAGTGGCAATGCTAGTTCTTTGTGGAACTCAGCCAGGAAAGCAAAGCTTGATCCGGCTAGTGCTTAAAGGCACAGGTCCGTGCTTTACAGTGCCGTGCTTAATCACTTTTTTGTGCTTTTCCCAGGAAAACCCACTCTTTACTGCTGAATGTCAACTCACAGAAACCCCGAATTGTTGTTTGTTCCAATTCTGTATTAAAGAGTGAGTTTTGTGGGGAAAGTGCTGAGGCAATAAATAAATAAATAAATTGCTCAGCTGCCTGTACCTAAAAAGCACAAGGCAAAAGGTGAGCGTGGATGAGCCCTTACTGTATTCCCCCATCCACCCTTTTATTACTTTGAAGAGAACCATGTACATTGATGGTGCTTAACAACAGTATACTTGACTTTATATCTGCATGCGGTACTCCTGCTTTTGCAGGTGAGATATTTGAGTAAATGCAACAGTAAGTGCACCACCTGAGGTCTCATCCACACTTAATAATAATAATAAAATTTATTTATATACCGCCCTCCCCAGCCGAAGCCGGGCTCAGGGCGGCTAACAACAATAAAATAGTACAACATTCTAAAATCATTTCATTATAAAATTAATTCAAATCAAATTGATGGCAAATTGATACCTTTCCTCTGCTCTTTCCAGGCACAGCCCACAATTTAGAGCTCTGTGTCCAAGTGCCCTTTTTTTCACACCAAAGCTTTCCCCACAGAAATCCGCTCTTTAAAGCACAATCGGAGCAAACGGCAATCCATGGGAAACCTGAATTGACTTTTGCTCCGATTCAGCTTTAAAGAGCAGGTTTTCGTGGGGAAAGCTCCCAGGAAGGGCACACACATGCTACTGGAAGGCGTCGGACAAGAGATAAGTGTGAATAAGACAAGACATTATTTGCTTAATGAAGCTTCTCTCTGCTGAATTTCTAGAATCTGAACACACACAAACCCCTGTGTTGCAAAATGTAACAATCTACAAAAATGCAAACGCAACACGCTGGCTAATAACTGTTAGTGAATATGTGATTGGTTATGATGACATTCTAAATATACGAATAAGCCACTTCAAATTTTTGTATCCCTCACGCGATCACATTTATGCATAAGAGATCCTCTATATTTTATTCTCTCTCTCTTTTTTAAAAAATTTATGATTTTACAAATTCCTTCACACTCATAATCACAAATAATAAACATTACACAAGATTCTTCTGAATATCAAGACTTTCCTCCTCCCCTCCATGGGTTATTTAAGTAACTTTTTTTTAATTGGATATTATAAGTCCATCTAATTTACAATCCTCCATTGTATCCAAAATCTGTGTAACATTACAAGAGTCATTTAAAACCTGCCAAAGAGTTCAGGTGTTTACAGTGGTCTTTCAAATATAATATAAATTTGTCCCATTCTTTGTTGATGTTTTTTTTTATATAATAATATTTATTCCAAGTTTAAAGTTACAAAAAGAAAAAAGAACAATACAAAATACAAAAAAGAATATAACAATAACAGAGAGAGAAGAAAAAAGAAAAGAAAAAAAAGAAGGTATAAAAATACATTCAATTGAAATAGAACAAAAACAGATTAAACCTTTACATAACTTTTTTCCTTTACTTATTTCCTTGACCTCCTCTCACCTCCCAATTTTGTATTCTAGTTCAGATCGTTTTTTCAGCAAATCCTTCCAACATTATTTTCATTTACGTAGGTTAATTTAAAGTATTATAATTTAACATCCTCTCTTCCATCAATTTCATCAACTCATTTTTGCTTAATCCTTTATATCATATCTACCAAAACTGCCTAATTTTCTTTTTCCAACATCTTTCTAACAGTCTTTAATATTACAATATTTTTGAAGATATACTTTAAATTTTTTCCAATCTTCTTCCACCGACTCTTCTCCTTGGTCCCGGATTCTGCCAGTCATTTCAGCCAATTCCATATAGTCCATCACTTTCGTCTGCCATTCTTCTCGGGTGGGTAATTCTTGTGTCTTCCAATACTTTCCGATGAGTATTCTTGCTGCTGTTGTAGCGTACATAAAAAGGGTTCTAGAATCTTTGTTGATGTTTTGATCCTCCTGGTTTCTGATTTTCCTAGTTAATCTTGCCATCTCTGCATAGTCCACATTTTATTGTCACTGCAACTCTGTGGTTTAAGAAGCGGGACAGCAGATTGCTCTAGGACACCCAGTAAGCTTGGTGACTGAAGAGGGATTTGGACCCAGGTCCCCGCAGTTCCGGTGGTGCTGTGGGTTAAACCACAGAGCCTAGGACTTGCCGATTAGAAGGTCGGTGGTTCGAATCCCCGCGACGGGGTGAGCTCCTATTGCTCGGTCCCTGCTCCTGCCAACCTAGCAGTTTGAAAGCACTGCAAGTAGATAAATAGGTACCACTCCGACGGGAAGGTAAACGGCATTTCTGTGCGCTGCTCTGGGTCACCAGAAGCATCTTAGTCATGCTGGCCACATGACCCGGAAGCTGTACGCCGGCTCCCTCAGCCAATAAAGCAAGATGAGTGCCACAACCCCAGAGTCGGTCATGACTGGACCTAATGGTCAGGGGTCCCTTTACCTTTTACCCCACAGTTCCAGTCCAACCCTACACTGCACATGCTCTATTCTAATCCAAATTTAACAAATAATAATAGTAATAATTCTAAGTAAACTATCTTCAAGCACTCTGCGGGGTTATGGCAATCCTCCTCTTCAGCTGGGCATGGTGAACAAAGAGTTAAAGGTTCCTTCCCAGTTTCCCTCTAGCTCCATGCTCAGGTGCTTGAATGCATCTGTGGTACAGCCCTGAGACTTCTCAGTGCACCTTCCTGGGGCTCAATGACTCGTTCCAAAGGAAACTAAAGAACAACTGCTGGCACTTCTGTGTGATGTCATATAGAACATAGTTCTATATGATGTCAAGTGGCGAGAGAGCAGGAAGCAGCAATCGCAAAGAGGATGAGAAGGCTGCTTCTCGCTCTCCTGGCCCTCCTCACAACCTGCCCTATGCGTGCCGCAGATGACAGCTGCAGGTGAGTGACCACAGCAAGAGCAGCCTCTGTTCCCCTGGATGGACTAGCTCATTGCAAAGACGTCTTTCCCAGAAAGTTGAATTATGCAGACGGCATCAGTTCCACAGCCTGCAGGGCGCCTCATTTTGCCAGGCTGGGGACAGGCTTGGGTGCTACTAGTTACCTAGGGTTGCTGTCTTTCAAAAAGTAAAAACCAGGATACCCCACAAGTTGTTGAGCTTGTCAAGTTGTGGTTGAACATATCAGATGACACAGCGATTCTTCAAACAGCTCTTGTTTATTCACAGGCCAGGACAGAACTGAACTGAAGGGTTCAGTCAGCCTGCTTATATAGAGCTCCAGTACAATGTAACTGTAACAATTTTCTACAACTATCCAATCACTGAACATCACTTTCGATCCCTTATTTGCATAACTATCTACAGTATCCCCCTGCTGGCCCAGGGTGAGAACTTCAGTACATAACAGAGCTTTCTTTTTAGGATGCCACCGAAATTGTTGATCCTACAAATCACCCCTCTGAGAGGCAGCATAAGTAATGCGGAGAGGTGGGCCCCTTCTGGTAGAATAGGATAGCCCACTTCCCCTGAATTTAGAAGAGTTGGGTTCAGCTCCTGAAAGAATTGGAAATAATAATAATAATAATAATAATAATAATAATGATATTCATATCGCCCTTCCCAGTTCAGAAAACCGGGCTCAGGGCAGCTAACAACAAATTTAAAACACTTAATTGATGCAACAAAAAACAGCATAAAATACGGTATAAAACATGAATAACAATAAATTCAGAATTCAAAAATCAATTGGGGGGGGGGGAATCCATCCAATAAACATTAGATGATCACCAGGGCTATCTGGCTAAATTAGTCCTATTTTGGGGCAGCGAGGAGGCCAGGGGAGAATCAGCTGTGGGGTCCCAAAGCAGGTAATCTTCATAAAAAGGGGAGGGGGAGGGATGGAAGGAGAATAAAAGATCAGGTCAGGTTCAAATTCAAAGCCAGGCAGAATAGCTCTGTCTTACAGGCCCTGCGGAAGGAGGTTAAATCCTGCAGGGCCCTGGTCTCCTGGGACACAGGTTCTATATCTGCTGAAGTGTATAGATAAACCCCATTTCAGTTGCAAGATGCCCTGTTTTCAGGTGTTTTAACCACAAGCTCTGTTAAAGATAAGCTTCTAAGCGAGTCGGCGCTTACTTAGTTGAAATATGCTCGGAGTCCTGTAGTGATTTCATGCTCTTTATTGCAGCTTGTAAAACAGTGATTGATTTACCCACCCACCCCAAACCTCAGGCTTTTATATACATTATTTACACAATGAGTCCCTTCTGATTGGCTGATTCTGCTTCCCTCCTGGAGCTTGATTGGTCTTTTCCTGCAGGCCAATCAGTTGTTGCATTCTAGGATCCTACCAGCCTAAGAGGCTAGTTAACTTCCTCCTGGAGCCTGATTGGTTTTCTCCTGCAAGCCAATCAGTTGTTGCATTCTAGGATCCTACTTGCCTATTGCTGTAGGATCCAAGCTTAGTACATAACATTATAAAATAATAATAATAATAATAATAATAATAATAATAATAATAATAATAATTTGTTTATACCCCGCCCATCTGGCTGAGTCTCCCCAGCCACTCTGGGCGGCTCCCAATCGAGTGTTAAAAACAATACAGCATTAAATATTAAAAACTTTCCTGAACAGGGCTGCCTTCAGATGTCTTTTAAAGATAGGATAGCTGCTTATTTCCTTCACATCTGAAGGGAGGGCATTCCACAGGGCGGGCACCACTACCGAGAAGGCCCTCTGTCTGGTTCCCTGTAACCTCACTTCTCGCAATGAGGGAACCACCAGAAGACCCTCGGAGCTGGATCTCAGTGTCCAGGCTAAACGATGGGGGTGGAGACGCTCCTTCAGGTATACATTAGCTGTTGTAACCTTCTGGTCTTTGGTGGAGGAAAAGCGCAACATTTTCATTTCTGACAGTGATTTAAATCGTCTTGGAGAAGCTATTGAAGGGCAGGATATATAAGCTAACCGAGGAATAAATCCTGCCGGTACCCTTGATGCTCTTTCCGCTGTTCTCCTTTCCAGTGGAATTTGTGGGAGGCGCCCTTTGGCATCCAGCCACAGCAGCTCCCTTCAGATGGGAGGAGGCGTCAACACCTTGCCAGGACACCTGGCCTTGGATGGTCAGCATCCGGACGCCTTTCCGGTCAGGTTATCAGCACACCTGCGGAGGGTCCCTCATCAGCGCCAAGTGGATTCTGACCGCAGCCCACTGCTTTAGAGATAAGAGGTGAGCCAAAGGATCTGGGGCGGCTTTAAAAGAGGACTGGACAAAACCACAGAGGTCAAGCTGTCAGTGCCTATAAGCCACAGTTGCTATGCTCTGTCCCTCATGCTTCTGAATACCAGCTGCTGAGAATCGCAAGTGGAGACAGTTGCTGTCTGTGGGAATGTTGAGGAAAGTAGGAGAGGATATATTGATTGCATACTATCCCTCCTCACTCCCACTAGTGAGCAAGCAGCAGAGCACATTCCCCTGGGCATTGCTGGCATCAAGCTGATGGATTCGTTAGAATCACTTTAGTTGAGCAATCCAGACTGGCTTGTCCAGTCTGGATTGTTCTTGGTAAGTTTCCCCTTTTATTTCCCTCTTAAAAATATAGTCATACCTTGGGTTAAATATGCTTCAGGTTGAGCGTTTTCAGGTTACGCTCCGTGGCAACCCAGAAGTAACGGAACTCATTACTTCCGGGTTTCACCACTCATGCATGCGCAGATGCTCAAAATGATGTCACACACATGCGCAGAAGCGGCGAATCATGACCCGTGCATGCGCAGTCGCCGGTTGCGTTCTACTCAGGAAGTGAACGGGGCTCCAGAAGGGATCCCATTCGCATCCAGAGGTACCACTGTAATAACATGACAAGTCACGTAGTGATTTCATACTCTTTATTGCAGCTCGTAATGAATGAATTTCCCTCAAAACCTTGGGATTTATATACATTATTTACACAATGGGTCCTGTGTGGTTGGCTGACTCTGCTTCCCTCCTAGAGCCTGATTGGGCTGCTCCTGCAAGCCAACCGGTTGTTGCGTTCTAGGATCCTACCTGCCTATTGTTCTAGGATCCAAGCTCAGTACATAACAAAGAGTAAAGCTTACTTACATTCAGTTCACAGTATTGTCCTGAAGGCAGGCTTTATCTTGTAGTTACAGGAACATGTGTAGAGAAAAGAAGTTTGAGCTAGGCCTCAGACTTTCTACCTTGTGGCTTCCATCCTCTGGAAGGGTGAGCCATGTGCTGCTGGCTAAGATTCAGAAGAGAGGAAGATGGCAAAAGAGGAAAAGAGCAAAAGGGGGAAGATGGCTGCATGGCTAGCCCTTTTGTAGGGTCTGCTAGGACCATGCCCATCTACCTGGTCACACAAAGGGGGAGGAGGCTCCACCGCAGGTATGACAGGAAGTCCTCCCTCTCTGGAGCCACATTCCCCTGTGTGCCCACTGTTGTTGTTTAGTCATTTAGTTGTGTCTGACTCTTCGTTACGCTAGGCACTCCTGTCCTCCACTGCCTCCCGCAGTTTGGTCAAACTCATGCTGGTAGCTTCGAGAACACTGTCCAACCATCTCGTCCTCTGTCGTCCCCTTCTCCTTGTGCCCTCCATCTTTCCCAACACCAGGGTCTTTTCCAGGGAGTCTTCTCCTCACCTGAGGTGGCCAAAGTCTTGGAGCCTCAGCTTCAGGATCTGTCCTTCCAGTGAGCACTCAGGGCTGATTTCCTTCAGAATGGATCGGTTTGATCTTCTTGCAGTCCATGGGACTCTCAAGAGTCTCCTCCAGTGCCATAGTTCAAAAACATCAATTCTTCGGTGACCAGCCTTCTTTATGGTCCAGCTCTCACTTCCGTGTCCACTCTAGGCAACAGGAAATGCTGTGTTTGACTGCTTCAGTGATGACACATCCCACACTGTCACACTCAAGTCCTGCTTGCTGACTTCTCACTGGGACATCTGATTGGCCACTGTGAGGACAGGATGTTGGACTAGTTGGGCCTCTTTTGCTCTGACCATACTGCAGGGCTTTTCTGACCTCATGAACAGGACAGTGAGCGTTGAGAGCGGAGGGAGGGAGAGAGGCGGAGATTTCACACAGGCGCCAAGGAAAAGCATGAAGGGGGTCATTGCACCCATGGGTGCCACTCTGGCAACCCCAGTGCTAGCTTACGCTCCCCTTCTTGGGGAAGGGGCAGAACTCAGTGGTAGAGCATGGGCACTGCCATCAAATGGTCCCAGGTTCAACTCTGGTCAGCTGTGGTCAGAGCTGCTGTCCATCACAGCAGACAATACTGGGGTAAATGGGCAAAGTGTTGCATAAGACGCTTCCTGTTTTCTTTCTCTGCTCTAGATATCTAGAAAATTGGGAGCTGCTGTTGGGTTCCACCGTGCTCTCCCGGCCTGGCCCTGATGCGGAGGTGCGCTTCCTCAAGAGGGTGGTGGAGCACGAGAGCTACATCCCACAGCAGCAAGTCAACGACATCGCCTTGATAGAGCTGGATGACCCGATCCAGTGCAGTGACTACATCCAGCCTGCCTGCCTGCCAGAGAGCTTTGTGGACGTGTCTGCCATGGCCCATTGCTACATCGCTGGCTGGGGTTACACGCAGGAGAAATGTGAGAGAGATGCAGCAACGCCTTGATGCTCCTTTAGGCCTGGGAAAGGATGTGAAGCAGTGAAACCACCATGCGATTAATCAGAAGGAAGCCCTGTCTCTGCTGGCAGCCTCTGTCCCCACCACACCCCCAAGAAACCCAGCCTCCAAGGCCCTAAAAGCATCAATGCTGCAAAATCAGAAGTTTGCAGCAGAAAAGCTGTACCGTGAGCCAAGGGCATATGATCTCCATACACCTTGGGGCTGCAGCTGGTGGGCTGAGGTCATAACCGAGATGCTTTGAGCTAAGAACAGTTAGGTATGCTTTTAAAACAGGGGTCAGCAACCTTTTTCAGCCATGGGCCGGTCCACCGTCCCTCAGAACATGTGGGGGGGGCTGGACTATATTTTTGGGGGGGAATGAACGAATTCCTATACCCCACAAATAACCCAGATATGCATTTTAAATAAAAGCACACATCCTACTCATGTAAAAACACGCTGATTCCCGGACCGTCCATGTGCCGGATTGAGAAGGTGATTGGGCCACATCCAGCCCCTGGGCCTTAGGTTGCCTACCCCTGTTTTAAAAGAAGAAGAAAAATGAAGAGACGAAAGGGAGAAAGGGGTGGTGGCAAAGCCGAGAGAGAAAGAGTGAAGGAGTCAAAGGAGAAAAATAGACACACCATGTAATATTGGACTGCAAGCAGTAGTCTACAAACTCAGTTTGGCTCTACATCAGTATAACTGTTGTTGCTTTCCCCAGTGAATCCTGGGAATTGTAGTTCATGAGGATGCTGGGATGCATGTGTTAGAGATCTCTTGACACTCATCCCAGGGTCCCTTGGTGAGATAACTATGAAACCAGTTCAAGTCTGTGGGTTATTGTCCCAATTCAAGTCACGTCCTTTGATATGCAAAGTTGGAACAGGACAAATGGTTTCCAAAAAGACAGAACCATGCACAAAAGTGGGGCCTAGGAATGAAGAGGAAGCAGGAAAGGGTGCACAGATTTATATGGGCTGCAAAGAGTGCACTCAAGTCTACTGCACCGATTAGGCCACTGGTGTCCAAACTTTTTTCAAAGAGGGCCAGATTTGATGAAGTGACCAAAGGGCTAACTAAACTTATTGACCTTTTTTAGGGTTTGAGTTGTTGAGGTTTTTTACCACAGGAAATAAACTGCCAGAATTGAACTGGATTAGGCCCCCAAAACAGACTTTGGACATGCCGGGCTTAGGCTAACCTGATGACCTATAAATGTTGTTCAACACCATCTTCCATCAACCCCACTCAGCATCACCCATGGTAGAGGATTATGGGAGTTGGAGTCCAACCACATCTGGTTTGGCACCAGAGGGCAAGCCCTGGTACAGCCCTTCAAATAATAAGCCCTCAGGAAATGTAGTTAAAATCACTGAATGGAAAATGAAATCATTCAATATGTCACTCTGAAGGTATGGCTAAGACACAAACCTCTTATAAACTGTAGCAGTGTTAGAAACAGAGATATGAAAGCTAGAAACTGAGATATGGAAGCTAGGAGCTAAATGACACCTTAAGACTAGGTCATGGGCACAACAACGGAATGTCTAGGCACGCTTTTAATAACAAGAATACAAAGCTGAAAGTGAATAAACTGCAGCTAAAATATTATGTTTGTTTTTCACATGGTCTACTCTAGTCCTTCCGCTGCCCACCCCCCTAATATTCTTAAGGAGGTCTCTTCTCCTGTCTTCAGAGAGTAGCTGGAAGTGGGGAGGCAGAAAAAGGTCCTCCTTTCCTTTCACTCTGCAGTTTTAATCTGAAATTTTAGGTGCAGTACTGTGCCCAGAGCTCAGAAATCGCTTGCCCTAATGAAATCCCATTGCAAAATGGGCCTAGAACAATGGGAATTTTTTTTAAAAAATAAATTTTATTAGTATTTTCCACACAACAACACAAAAAATATCGGAAAATGATAATACACAACACACAAAAACCAACATTCGAAAACTAAAGAAAGGAACAAAAAAACACACAAATCCATATCTTACAAGTTAATACTATAAACACTAAAACAACAAGATATTGACTTCCACCAATCCCACAGCACCTCCTTTATCTCTCATTGTGTCTTCCTGTTTTCCTGATCATCTCTATCCTAGCATCTAGATATAAATCCCTCTTTCTTATGCTTTCAATTCACAAGGTTATTCCAGACTCAGCCAGATTTCTGTCCTCGAAGCTTGACTTTGGAGGTATTCATTTAGGCACTCCCAGAACAATGGGAATTCTGAACACTGAACTGTAGTCTGTTTTTAGAGATACAATGGCCCAACTGTCGCCTTTGTGCAAGTCGATCTGCACCTATTTCAGAAGTTCTGCCTCTGCAGACATTCTGATATTGACTTCTTTTATTGACCCAGTCAAGCACATGGAGTGAGATTCGCCAGGGAATGGGAACCCCCGCCCTAGTCCCTGGCAAGGAGCTACTGGGTCAAACAGCCTTCTTAGCATAACTCACCACATAGGGAGGCAAAGGATGGCTGGTTCCAAGGGTTTTTCCCGGGAATAGAAAATGAGTAGACAACAGAGAAAAAGGCTGGAGCGTTCACTGGACGGGTCCTGTGCATGTAGAAATTTCATAACTGTTTTCTCCTTACAGCGAATGCTCCATCCGACATCCTGAAGGAGGCCAAAGTGGAACTTATTTCCCAAGAAAGGTGCAATAGCACTTCCTGGTACTATGGAAGCATCAGAGTCAACAACCTGTGTGCAGGGTTCGAGGCAGGAGGCATTGACACTTGCCAGGTACGTGAATTTGGGCTGCTGCCACTCACCTGCATCTTCCAACTTTCCTGCGTCTTCAGCCAGATACCTCTTCAAGTCTCTCATCACCGGCTAGTGCTGAGGAAAAGTTACAAAGCAGGGCCGAGGTGTGCCCCAGCAAGCATCAAGGCCAAGTGTTTAAAAGGGGAGTAGAATCGTTGGAAGGGACCCCAGGGGACATCTAGCTCACCCCCGCTCCCGCAATGCAGGAATCTCAGCTAAAGCATCCTGGACAGAGGGCCATCCAATCTCTGCTGTAAAACCTCCAAGGAAGGAGAGTCCACCACTGGCAAGGGGATAAAATGAGGGCATTTGCCACCATTGTGTTCTGTGCCATTCAGAAAACGTACATGGTCCCAGTCTGATGAAACCTAGCACCTTCTGCGTGCAAGTCAAAGCGATTTGCAAACGTCCCAGAGAAACAGCACCTTACAAAAGATGGCACCTCACCAAAGCTCGAGTTTTTTTGGGAGGTTTTTTGGATGAAAAAATTCTTTATTGAAATTCATTAATGTCATTACAGATTTAACTTCACACATATACTATATATATATATATTTAAATTTGTTTAACATAGAATGTTAATTTAACCTTCTAATTCCACTTAGATATCAGCTAAGCTAAAATCATATAATGGTACATGAAGTAAAGTAAAACAACAACAAGAAACTAAAGTAAAATAAATATAGACTTCCCATCATTTGCCAGTATAGCTGACATTTGTGATTTTGACTGTACTTATAATTGTTGTTGTTGTTGTTGTTTAGTTGTTCAGTCGTGTCCAACTCTTCATGACCCCATGAACCAGAGCACGCCAGGCACTCCTGTCTTCCACTGCCTCCTGCAGCTTGGTCAGATTCATGTATATAGCTTCAAGAACACTGTCCAACCATCTCATCCTCTGTCCTCCCCTTCTCCTTGTGCCCTCAATCTTTCCCAACATCAGGGTCTTTTCCAGGGAGTCTTCTCTTCTCATGAGGTGGCCAAAGTATTGGAGCCTCAGCTTCAGGATCTGTCCTTCCAGTGAGCACTCAGGGCTAATTTCCTTAAGAATGGATGTGTTTGATCTTCTTGCAGTCCATGGGACACTCAAGAGTCTCCTCCAGCACCATAATTCAAAAGCATCAATTCTTCGGCGATCAGCCTTCTTTATGGTCCAGCTCTCACTTCCATACATCACTACTGGGAAAGCCATGGCTTTAACTATACGGACCTTTGTTGGCAAGGTGATGTCTCTGCTTTTAAGATGCTGTCTAGGTTTAGTCATTGCCTTTCTCCCAAGGAGCAGGCGTCTTTTAATTTCATGACTGCTGTCACCATCTGCAGTGATCATGGAGCCCAAGAAAGTAAAATCTCTCACTGCCTCCATTTCTTCCCCTTCTATTTGCCAGGAGGTGATGGGACCAGTGGCCACGATCTTCATTTTTTTGATGTTGAGCTTCAGACCATATTTTGCGCTCTCCTCTTTCACCCTCATTAAAAGGTTATTTAATTCCTCCTCACTTTCTGCCATCAAGGTTGTGTCATCTGCATATCTGAGGTTGTTGATATTTCTTCCAGCAATCTTAATTCGGCTGGATTCATCCATCCCAGCCTTTCGCATGATGAATTCTGCATATAAGTTAAATAAGCAGGGAGACAATATACAGCCTTGCCGTACTCCTTTCCCAAGTTTGAACCAATCAGTTGTTCCATATCCAGTTCTAACTGTAGCTTCTTGTCCCACATAGAGATTTCTCAGGAGACAGATGAGGTGATCAGGCACTCCCATTTCTTTAAGAACTTGCCATAGTTTGCTGTGGTCGACACAGTCAAAGGCTTCTGCATAGTCAATGAAGCAGAAGTAGATGTCTTTCTGGAACTCTCTAGCTTTCTCCATAATCCAGCGCATGTTTGCAATTTGGTCTCTGGTTCCTCTGCCTCTTCGAAATCCAGCTTGCACTTCTGGGAGTTCTCGGTCCACATACTGCTTGAGCCTTCCTTGTAGAATTTTAAGCATAACCTTGCTAGCGTGTGAAATGAGTGCAATTGTGCAATTGTGTGGTAGTTGGAGCATTCTTTGGCACTGCCCTTCTTTGGGATTGGGATGTAGACTGATCTTCTCCAATCCTCTGGCCACTGCTGAGTTTTCCAAATTTGCTGGCATATTGAGTGTAGCACCTTAACAGCATCATTGTTTAAAATTTTAAATAGTTCAGCTGGAATATCATCACTTCCACTGGCCTTGTTATTTGCAGTGCTTTCTAAGGCCCATTTGACTTCACTCTCCAGGATGTCTGGCTCAAGGTCAGCAACCACACTACCTGGGGTGTACGAGACATCCATATCTTTCTGGTATAATTCCTCTGTGTATTCTTGCCACCTCTTCTTGATGTCTTCTGCTTCTGTTAGGTCCTTTCCACTTTTGTCTTTTATTATGGTAATCTTTGTACGAAATGTTCCTTTCATATCTCCAATTTTCTTGAACAAATCTCTTGTTTTTCCTATTCTATTGTTTTCCTCTATTTCTTGGCATTGCTCGTTTAAGAAGGCCTTCTTGTCTCTTCTTGCTATTTTTTGGAAATCTGCATTCAATTTCCTGTATCTTTCACTATCTCCTTCGCATTTTGCTTGCCTTCTCTCCCCCGCTATTTGTAAGGCCTCGTTGGACAGCCACTTTGCTTTCTTGCATTTCCTTTTCATTGGGATGGTTTTTGTTGCTGCCTCCTGTATAATGTTGCGAGCCTCCATCCATAGTTCTTCAGGCACTCTGTCCACCAAATCTAAATCCTTAAACCTGTTCCTCACTTCCACTGTGTATTCATAAGGGATTTGACTTAGATTGTATCTTACCGGCCCAGTGGTTTTTCCTACTTTCTTCAGTTTAAGCTTGAATTTTGCTATAAGAAGCTGATGATCTGAGCCACAGTCAGCTCCAGGTCTTGTTTTTGCTGACTGTATAGAGCTTCTCCATCTTTGGCTGCAGAGAATATATTCAATCTGATTTCGATGTTGCCCATCTGGTGATGTCCATGTGTAGAGTCGTCTCTTGTGTTGTTGGAAAAGAGTGTTTGTGATGACCATAATAATAATTTATTATTTATACCCCGCCCATCTGGCTGGGCTTCCCCAGCCACTCTGGGCAGCTTCCAAGAAATATTAAAATACTGTGATACATCAAACATTAAAAGCCTCCCTAAACAGGGCTGCCTTCAGATGTCTTCTATAAGTCTGGTAGTTGTTGTTCTCTTTGACATCTGGTGGGAGGGTGTTCCACGGGGAGGGCGCCACTACCGAGAAGGTCCTCTGCCTAGTTCCCTGTAACTTGGCTTCTCGCAGCGAGGGAACCGCCAGAAGGCCCTCGGTGCTGGACCTCAGTGTCCGGGTAGAACGATGGGGGTGGAGATGCTCCTTCAGATATATTGGACTGAGGCCGTTTAGGGCTTTAAAGGCCAGCACCAACACTTTGAATTGTGCTCGGAAACGTACTGGGAGCCAATGTAGGTCTTTCAAGACTGGTGTTATATGGTCTCGGCGGCCACTCCCAGTCCCCAGTCTAGCTGCCGCATTCTGGATTAGTTGTAGTTTCTGGGTCACCTTCAAAGGTAGCCCCACATAGAGCGCATTGCAGTAGTCCAAGTGGGAGATAACCAGAGCATGCACCACTCTTGCGAGGCAGTCCGCAGGCAGATAGGGTCTCAGCCTACGTACCAGATGGAGCTGGTAAACAGCTGCCCTGGACACAGATTTGACCTGCGCCTCCATGGACAGCTGTGAGTCCAAAATGACTCCCAGGCTGCACACGTGGTCCTTCAGGGGCACAGTTACCCCATTCAGGACCAGGGAATCCTCCACACCTGCCCGCCTCCTGTCCCCCCAAAACAGTACTTCTGTCTTGTCAGGATTCAACCTCAATCTGTTAGCCGCCATCCATCCTCCAACCGCCTCCAGACACTCACACAGGACCTTCACCGCCTTCACTGGTTCTGATTTAAAAGAGAGGTAGAGCTGGGTATCATCCGCATACTGATCAACACCCAGCCCAAACCCCGTGATGATCTCTCCCAGCGGCTGCATATAGATGTTAAAAAGCATGGGGGAGAGGACAGAACCCTGAGGCACCCCACAAGTGAGGGCCCAGGGGTCTGAACACTCATCCCCCACCACCACTTTCTGAACACGGCCCAGGAGGAAGGAGCGGAACCACTGTATGACAGTGCCCCCAGCTCCCAGCCCCTCAAGACGGTCCAGAAGGATGTTATGGTCGATGGTATCAAACGCCGCTGAGAGATCCAGCAGAACTAGGAAACAGCTCTCACCTTTGTCCCTAGCCTGCCGGAGATCATCAACCAGTGCGACCAAGGCAGTTTCATTTTTTAAAAAAAAATAAAATATTTATTAGGATTTTACAATAAACATAGGTTTAAAAAAATTAAGAAAATTAAACCGAAGATTACACATAAACAGAAAAAGAAAGAAGATAACAAGAATAATACCAAAAAAAAGAACCTAAAAGAGAAAAAGGAAAATACAAAAAACAGATGGCTAAAAAAGAAAAATAGAGGGAAAAATTTTTTAAAAAGAAAAAATCAATTTTTCAATATCTTTAGGCTCATTTACTTATTTCCTTGACCTCCTCACACCTCCCCTTTTTGTATTCCCGTTTACAAAATCCTTTCAGCAAATCCTTACCCTCTTTCATTTATCTTTACTCTATATCTTAACCTATTATAACTATATATTTTCATCCATATAACAATCTATATTTGCATATTCTTATTAACCTTATTACCAAAACCACTTATTTCCATTCCAACATCATTTTAACATTCATTAATTTTACAGTATTTCTGCAAATAGTCTTTAAATTTCTTCCAATCTTCTTCCACCGACTCTTCTCCCTGGTCTCGGATTCTGCCAGTCATTTCCGCCAATTCCATATAGTCCATCACCTTCATCTGCCACTCTTCCAGGGTGGGTAAATCTTGTGTCTTCCAATACTTTGCAATAAGTATTCTTGCTGCTGTTGTTGCATACATAAAGAAAGTTCTATCCTTCTTTGGCACCAGTTGGCCGACTATGCACAGGAGAAAGGCCTCTGGTTTCTTCAAGAAAGTGTATTTAAATACCTTTTTTAATTCATTATAAATCATCTCCCAGAAAGCCTTAATCCTTGGGCACGTCCACCAAAGGTGAAAGAATGTACCTTCAGTTTCTTTACATTTCCAACATTTATTGTCGGGCAAGTGATAGATTTTTGCAAGCTTGACTGGGGTCATGTACCACCTGTATATCATTTTCATAATATTCTCTCTTAAAGCATTACATGCCGTAAATTTTATACCTGTGGTCCACAACTGTTCCCAGTCAGCAAACATAATGTTATGTCCAACGTCCTGTGCCCATTTAATCATAGCAGATTTAACCGTCTCGTCCTGAGTGTTCCATTTTAACAGCAAGTTATACATTCTTGAAAGTATCTTTGTTTTAGGATCTAACAGTTCTGTTTCCAACTTTGATTTTTCCACCTGGAAGCCAATTTTTTTATCTAAATTATAAGCCTCTCTTATTTGATAATAATGAAGCCAGTCTCGCACTTTATCTTTTAGTTTCTCAAAACTCTGCAATTTCAATTTGTCTCCTTCTTGCTCCAAGATTTCCCAATATTTCGGCCACTTGGCCTCCATATTGAGCTTTTTCAGGGCCTTTGCCTCCATCGGTGACAACCACCTTGGGGTTTTGTTTTCAAGTAAGTCTTTATATCTTGTCCAGACATTAAACAATGCTTTTCTGACAATATGGTTTTTAAATGCTTTATGTGCTTTAACCTTGTCGTACCATAAGTATGCATGCCACCCAAAAACATTATTGAAACCTTCTAGATCCAAAATGTCTGTGTTCTCAAGAAGCAGCCAATCTTTCAACCAGCAGAATGCTGCTGATTCATAATAAAGTTTAAAGTCTGGCAGGGCAAATCCCCTCGTTCCTTTGCATCAGTTAATATTTTAAGTTTTATTCTGGGCTTCTTGCCCTGCCAGACAAATCTAGAAATATCTCTCTGCCACCTCTTGAAACAATCCATTTTGTCCAGAATTTGTAGTGATTGAAACAAAAACAGCATTCTTGGCAATACATTCATCTTTATAGCAGCAATTCGACCCAACAAGGAAAGCTTCAAATTTGACCATATTTCTAAATCCTTTTTCACTTCCGACCAACATTTTTCATAATTGTCTTTAAATAAGTTCCCATTTTTAGCTGTCATATTAATCCCCAAGTATTTCACCTTCTTAACCACTGTTAAACCTGTCTCAGTCTGAAACCTCTCTTTCTCAATCGGTGTTAAGTTCTTCTCAAGGACTTTAGTTTTTAACTTGTTCAACTTAAATCCTGCCACATAACCAAATTCTTGGATCAGTTCTAATACTCTTTTAGTACTAGATTCTGGCTCCTGTAAAGTCAGTACTAAATCATCTGCAAAAGCTTTCAATTTGTATTGTTTAGCTCCGACCTTTATACCCTTGATCAGATGGTCCCTTCTAATCATATTTAACAAGACCTCCAGGACCGAAATAAAAAGCAATGGGGAAATTGGGCAGCCTTGTCGTGTCCCTTTCTCTATCTTGAATTCCTCTGTCACCACATTGTTAACTATTAGTTTAGCCTTTTGTTCTGAATAAATTGCACTTATACCATTTTCAAACCCTTGACCGACCCCCATCCCCTGAAGATTTTTCTTCATAAAGCTCCAAGAAATATTATCAAAGGCTTTCTCGGCATCTACAAAAATTAAAACTGCTTTGGTGTTAATGTCCACTTGCAACTTTTCCAAAATGTTAATTATATTCCTCGTGTTATCAGACAAATGTCTGCCTGGGAGAAAGCCAGCTTGGTCCTTGTGTATCTCTTCCACTAATACTTTTTTTAGCCTTTTGGCCAAAATGTCAGCAAATATTTTGTAATCCACATTTAACAGGGATATGGGTCGGTAGTTCTTAAGTTGTGTCTTTTCAGACTCAGTTTTCGGTATAAGTGTGATATATGCTTCTTTCCACGACTCTGGTGCTTTTTTCCCCTCCAAAATTTCATTGCAAACCTCCTTTAGTGGTTGAATTATCCAATCCTTCAAAGTTCTATAGTATTTTGAGGTTAAACCATCCGGCCCTGGAGATTTTCCCAGCTGCATATTCTGAATGGCACCTTCTACCTCCTGTTCCGTAATTTTATAGTTCAGCATTATCTTATTTTCTTGAGAGATTTTTTGTAATCCATTTGTTTTCAAAAATTGGTCTATATCAAACTCTTTCTGAGGCCCTTGTGTATATAACTGTTTAAAATACCTCTGGAAACACAAGGCAGTTTCAGTCCCATGATGAGGCCTGAATCCCAGCTTGTTCTCTTGGCAGAACTCTATTAGCCTTTGCCCTGCTTCATTTTGAACTCCAAGGCCAAACTTGCCAGTTGTTCCTTTTATCTCTTGACTCCCTACTTTAGCATTCCAATCCCCTATAATGAGAAGAACATCCTTCTTTGGTGTCATTTCTATAAGTTGTTGTAAGTCTTCATAGAATTGGTCAATTTCAGTTTCTTCAGCACCAGTGGTTGGTGCATAAACTTGGATTACTGTGATGTTAAAAGGTCTGCCTTGGATTCGTATTGATATCATTCTATCATTTTTTGAGATTGCATCCCAGTACAGCTTTCGCCACTCTTTTGTTGACTATGAGAGCCACTCCATTTCTTTTACGGGATTCTTGCCCACAGTTCTTGAGAGTCCTTTCGGCTTTGGCCCAGCCGCTTCATCAGCTCTGAATCTACTTGTACTTGTCCTCCGCTCTTCCTCAGTAGCATGTTGGACGCCTTCCGACCTGAGGGGCTCATCTTCCAGCGTCATAACTTCTATATGCCTGTTGCCTTTGTCCATTGAGTTTTCTTGGCAGGGATACTGGAGTGGCTTGCCGGTTCCTGCTCCAAGTGGATCACGTTTGGTCAAAACTCTCCACTATGACCTGTCCATCTTAGGTGGCCCTGCACGGCATAGCTCATAGCTTCTCTGAGTTATTCAAGCCCCTTCGCCATGGCAAGGCAGTGATCCATGAAGGGGACTTATAATTATTACCTTACATTTAATATACTTTCTAATACTTTCTTACAACCTAGCACAGAGGGAAGATGAGGGACTTTCCTGGAGGTTTTTAAGCAGAGGTTGGGTAGCCATCTACCATGGATGCTTTAGCTGAGATTCCTGCATCATGAGGCTTGGACTAGATGACCCTTGGGCCCCTTCCAACTCGATAATTTGATGATTTGATGATTCATTGACATTTTTATTATATTAAAACAGGCATAGACAAACTCGGCCCTCCAGATGTTTTGGGACTACAACTCCCATCATCCCTAGCTAACAGGACCAGTAGTCAAGGATGATGGGAATTGTAGTCCCAAAACATCTGGAGGGCCGAGTTTGCCTATGCCTGTATTAAAGCATATTGTTATTAAAACTAATATAATGTAATATATAAAAATAATATATTGAGGTAATATTGTTATATAAAAATAATAAGAACAGCATTTTTTTCTATGACTTCTTATTTTGTTATATACTTCCTTTCCTGCTGCATATCTAGGCCCTGAACCACACTTTAAAGTGCCATGTCCAAGTGGGTTGTTTTAATTCCTGCTCCTTTCCTCAGGAAAAGCTGCTCTTTACCGCTGAATTGAAGAAAACAGCAATCTGCAGAAAAACCCAAATTGCTTTTTGTTCCGATTGAACACGAAAGAATGTGTTTTCCTGGGGAAAGTGGCAGGACAAACAAACGAAAAGCACTCAGACCTTGAGCTTGGAAGCACAGACCTGTGTCTAGAAAGGTCAGTGTGGGTGAGCCCTGAGTCAGACCACTGGCCATCAGTACTGTCTACACTGACCGGCAGCCATGGCCCTCCAGGTTTCTCCTGTCCACCTGGAGATGCCACTGGGGACTGAACCTGGGACCTTCCTCTGGCAGGGCAGGGGCTCTCTCCACTGAGCGGCTGGCCTTCCCCTTCCTCACACGGCTGTCCTCTCCCTTCCCACTGCAGGGCGACAGCGGCGGGCCCCTCATGTGCCGGGAGGATCGCTCCGAGCGCTACTGGGTGGTGGGGATCACCAGCTGGGGACTGGGCTGCGCCAGAGCCCAGAAGCCCGGCGTCTACACCTCCACGCAGCACTTCTTCGACTGGATCCAGAGCTACACAAGGCCAAACTCACAACCGCCCCCGGCGCCGACCGAGGAGGAAGAGCAGGCGCCTGAAGAAACTGAGCCGCCTCCGTCACTCGAGCCAAATCTGCACATGTCTGAGTCGGACTGGTCAGAGATATTAGCCCCGCCGCAAACGGAAACAGCACCCGAACCAAATCCTCAGCCGCCACCCCAGGAACCCAAACGACCGAGATTGCTTCGGTTTCCACAGCTGCCGCCCGCATCTGAAGCACCACCCCAAAGGGCAGAGCCTGTAACAGACACCACAACCACGACCATGACCACCACTACCACCACTACCACCACTACCACCACCACTACCACCACTACCACCACCACTACCACCACGACACCCACCACTACCACCACTACCACCACCACGACACCCACCACTACCACAACACCCACCACTACTACCACAACACCCACAACTACTACCACAACACCCACAACTACTACCACAACACCCACAACTACTACCACAACACCCACAACTACTACCACAACACCCACAACAACGACCCCGTATGATTTCAGACCATTTATTCCAAAACGCAAAAAGAACAGAGAAATGATCACCAGCGTCAGCTACGGCGGCAGTTGGGGTAACTGGCCTGGCAAACGGGTGCCATTGCAAGCCTGACGTCGGCGTTTGTGACGCAGCCCGTCCTTTTATTAACTTTATAAGCGTTCAGTTACGCAAGCAAAGTGTTCCACAATGGAGCGTGTCGGTATATCCAATGTGTTGAAATCGTTGTGCTTAAAAATAAAGACATGCCACGCTTTGCTTGTGTTCGAATGGCGATTGCTCGGAGTCCCAATATTGCAAGCTTTGAAATTTCGGAATTGATGTTGCCTTCGCTGCTGTCAGCGTTGCTGCGGTAAAGCCGACTGCCGTTTGCTCTGACTCAGCAGTAAAATGCAGGCTCTCCCAGAGAAAGTAGCAGGGCAGAAAATAAAAGCCACTGGGGCACAGACCTGGAATCCCTAGAAAGTGCAGTATGAAAGGGAGTGTGGATGAACCCCAAGAGAGGATTACTGGCCTATCTGCTTTTTGTCTGCATCTCCTCCCTCCACTTTTCCAGGCATGCTTTTGACCTCAGGCTTCATGGTCCATCATATTGGCAAAACCTATTGGTGTTTCGCAACTTTCTGACTAGTTGCAGGACCTTAGACAGACCTAGCAGAGTAAACGCAGAATCCATGGAAGCAATTGGCAACTTGGCTGCAGACAGGATGGACGAAGCAGGAACCAGGAACTTGTAGTTAGGTGTTTATTATATACAGTGGACTATTTACAGGAACAGAACACAGATCTTTTGCTAGCTCTCTCTGACACGACTCCAGTTAGTAGGCCATCACTCCCTTGAGAGAGCTTGACCAGTCATGGAGCTGTCCCCATGCCTCTGTTATCACCAGGCAGACTTACTCCTTCACATAACCTTTTGGCTGTCTGCCAAACCTTAATTGACTCTGTGTGAGTAGCTGCATGTACACAGTTTCCCAACACATCTTTCCATTTATCTATAGGTATTTATGATATTTCTAGGCCATTATTCCAAAATGACTTGACCACATACAGGTCTTGTCAAATAACATACTTATTTATGAGAGCAGCCACAATTGCAGACATATCAGGAGTCCAAGTTCCCAGCTTGATAACACAGTAAGCGTAGATAATTAAAAAGGAGGATTTATTGCAAAAACAAACAGCTCCGGATGGCTCTAACAAAGCCTCCAGCATCATTACTCAAGGTGACTCTTCTGAAGACTCCTTCCGGTGTCGACAGAAGACATTGAACTTAGGAACTTTACGTCTCTTGTTTTGCTTCCTATCTAGCAGCCCTCCCATTCGCTGACTCTTCTGACTTAGTGGATCAGCTCCAACCTCTTCCTTTTCTGAGAGGCTATCTCTGAGTCTATTCGTGCCTATTTGTGCTTCCTGCGAGCTTTGGCTGTGTTCTAGCCTTCTCTCAACTACTGCCTTATCATCCTGCCTGTCAAGGTCAGGAAGAGCCGAAGTCTGCAGCTGCCAGCTCTCCCCTGCCTGACTAACATCTAAGCCTGTCTGTTACTGGCTGCTTTCTGCAGTTGGCTGCAAACCTTTGCTTGGAGCTGGCTCATTCCTGACAAGGCATCCCCAAACTTTTCCTCTCTTTTGTGACAAACTCAGATGCTTCAACTCCTACCAGTTGAAAAACAGGTATACAATTTCTCCTTCATGGAGCAGGATGATTGACACAACTCACTGCAATATTTTACAAAATTTAATTTCAAAATAGACAAACCCGTATTGCACAATTTTGGTACCACAAGCCTTTCTCTTTCTCTTTGGCATGTTCTTTTCTGGTAGTATTTAGGAATGTTTGGTTTTAATTACTCTGCTGTTGATTAGGGTAGAACACAAAACAAGGAATTCCATCCACTTTTTCATCTTGCACAGAACGCGGGTACAACATGATGAACATTTCGGGGTGGGGTATTGGGTGTTGCAGTCTCTTTTGACCAATAGTTCAGACATGGAAAGAACACACCAGATTCATGTTTGGCTCAGCTCAGTTTATTTAATTTATGCCCTCCTTTTCTACATGGGTTTCTAAAGCAGCTTAAAAACGGAGGAAACACAAGATAAAATAAAACCCACATTAAATCAACCAACAATCTGATAGTCTGAGATCTTGCCCACAATTCTGCTTGTCTTGCTGCTTTCGCTGGGAAAAACCCATTGTTTACTGCTGAATCAGAATAAACACAAATTGGGTTTTCTGTGGAGTGGCGTTTGTTCCAATTCAATAGTGGGTTTTCCCAGGCAAAGAGCAGGGCAAATGAAAACCTCTTGGACCTGGACCTTGAAAACACAGGACAGGCCGAAGTGTGGATGAGGCCTCAGAGAGTTCCATGTTTTTGACAGAAGCACTGCAACAAGATGTTCCTTGGACTTGGCCCTGATGTCTCACCAGCACTGGCTGTGGCAGAGAAAGGAGTACTCCTGGCAGAAGCAAACTGCCGTGTGACCCCATAACCCGTGCCATGGGCTGGCAGGACGGGGCTAGGATCTCATAGCTTAAGGATGATGATGATAATTAATAATAATAATTTATTATTTATAGCCCACCCATCTGGCTGGGTTTCCCCAGCCACTCTGAGCAGCTCCCAACAGAATATTAAAAACACAATAAAACATCAAACATTAAAAACTTCCCTAAACAGGGCTGCCTTCAGATGTCTTCTAAAAGTTAGGTAGTTTTTTATCTCCATGACATCTGGTGGGAGGGCATTCCACAAGGCGGGCGCCACCACCAAGAAGGCCCTCTGCCTGGTTCCCTGTAGTTTCACTTCTCGCAGTGAGGGAACCACCAGAAGGCCCTTGGAGCTGGACCTCAGTGTCCAGGCTGAGCGATGGGGGTGGAGACGCTCCTTCAGGTCTACAGGGCCAAGGCCGTTTAGGGCTTTAAAGGTCAGCATCAACACTTTGAATTCTGCTCGGAAACGTACTGGGAGCCACTGTAGGTCTTTCAGAACCTGTGTTATATGGTTCCGGCGGCCGCTTCCTGTTATCCTGGATTAGTTGTGATCCTGCTACATTCTGGATTAGTTGCAGTTTCCAGGTCACCTTCAAAGGTAGCTCCACATAAAGCACATGGCAGTAGTCCAAGTGGGAGATAACCAGAGCATGCACCACTCTGGCGAGACAGTCTGTGGGCAGGGAGGGTCTCAGCCTGCACACCAGATGGAACTGGTAGACAGCTGCCCTGGATGCAGAACTGACCTGCGCCTCCATGGACAGCTGTGAGTCCAAAATGACTCCCAGGCTGTGCACCTGGTCCTTCAGGGGCACAGTTGCCCCATTCAGGACCAGGGAGTCCCCCACACCAGCCTGTCCCCTGTTCCCCAAAACAGTACTTCTATCTTGTCAGGATTCAGCCTCAGTCTGTTAGCCGCCATCCGTCCTCTAACTACCTCCAGATTGCAAAGGAGTAACAGAGACTGGAGACTGCGTCAAATGGGGTGACAACGAGATAAGTGTTGCTACACCTCTTTGTAGCTCTTGCCCACCACATGAGCAGACAAAAAGCTATGTGCAAACTTGCTAAGCTTTGCAGATGGTCTAGAGTTGACCTCATTGGCTTTGGCCACAGGAGACCCATGGAAAACCAATAAAAATTATTTCAAACACCAGAAACAACCCCTGTTGGATGAGGATTCCCACCCCCTGCCCAACCCATGATTTGAACAGAATATGTGGCACATACAGAACTGCCTTATACCTAGTTGGGCCAACGGTCCACCTAGTTTAGTATTGTCTGCACAGACTGGCAGCAGCTCTCCACATCTGGAGATGGCAGTGGGGATTGAACCTGGAGTCTTCTGCTCCTGAGCCCCATCCCTTCTTGAGGACAATACTCTTGGGTTACAACGGCTATCCTGCAAGAGGAGAGCCAGGGGTTGTTCTGCTGCGTTGCCCGGCCAGCCCTGCCTCAGGCTGGCCCCTCACAGAACTTCCATGGGAGACCCTCTTCCATTCCGCTGAAAGAGAATGGCAGGCTCTTCCGCCTCGTGCTGATTGGCTGGGGCTCCAGAAGCGCATGGTTTGTGATGTCACATGAGCAAAGGGAACAGGCGGCGGAAGCTGCCACCTGTCGAGACATGTAGGATGAAGTGGCTTCCTCTTCCTCTTTTGGTCCTTTCCGTATTCTTCTCTGAACATGCTCTAGGTGAAACTTGCAGGTAAGTGGCATCAGAATCCTGCGGGAAGGAGGGAGGGAGATGAGAGCCCCAGCCCTCCTGCTCAGACAGGCACCTGTTGTGGTGGACACCAACCCCTGCCTTTGGCTTTCGTATCAGGTCACACATATTGCAGCCACTGCAGACACTTTCTCCACTGCCTCTGTCCCTGGCTGGCCTTTCCTGGCCTCCTTAAATTTAGGGTTCACCCATACTTCCACTTTCCCCATGCCTAAAATGTAGGGGTCCAAGCAGTCTTCCTCCTCTCCCACTCCTTTCCCATGGAAAACCCGCTCTTTAGTGATAGATTGGAACAAATGGCAACCAGGGTGGAATCTGAATCACTCTTATTGCAGTTATTCGTATTGCACATAGGAAAGTAATTGGATGAATACAACACACTCTTCTTTGACTAAAAATTGCCCAGTCCAAAAATATGGTTCATAAGCTTTACTAATAGAACTTCTTCCAAAACAGACACAAAAACAAAGTAAGTTACATCCAAATAGTTTCATGATATCACATGCTTGACCAAGCACAGGCACAGCCTCTTGGAACTATTAAATTACTTCTTCCAGAGCGGAAAACAAAGCCGTGTCTCTCCCACAGCCCCCATTACAGCTGGAGGTTGTGTTTTCCTAGAGAGAATCACCTCCTCACGTCTTTTCTTCCAAGGTGCTTGAGAGAGAACAAGGATCCAACTCCCACGAAATGTAGGTTTGCAAGTGAATACTAATTGCATACACCCCGTGGGATCCAAAGGTTAAACACCTTTTGACAGAATAGCAGAGATACATTCCAAGTTAATTATCAACCTGTTGGGTTCTCTGCAACTCCTTTGTTTAGCTGCAGTGGAAGTTTCCGTGCTCTGCATTTAGCAGCACGCATACAGAGTTATTTTCCATTTTAATGGAAATTTAATTAAACAATTTAATTAAACAATTATACTCAACGTACCTCTCCTCCGACTGTGTGCTCAAGAGCACCTTTCCCTAGGAAAAAGCAGTGTGACAAGAGGAAAGCCTCTTAGCCCCATGTTTCCTAAGCATGGCAGAAGCGGAAGTGTGGATTAGTCCAGAGCAATCGGCAACCGTCTTTTTTGTGAGTTGCCTTTTACCCCATGGGTTTCCCTGGGGGAAAGGAGCAGGGCAAACAGAAGTGTGAATGAGCCCTAAGTGAGACATTTAAAGGTAAAGGTAAAGGGACCCCTGACCATTAGGTCCGCTCGTGGCCAACTCTGGGGTTGCAGCGCTCATCTTGCTTTACTGGCCGAGGGAGCCAGCATACAGCTTCCGGGTCATGTGGCCAGCAGGACTAAGCCGCTTCTGGCGAACCAGAGCAGCGCACGGAAACGCTGTTTACCTTCCCGCCAGAGTGGTACCTATTTATCTACTTGCACTTTGATGTGCTTTCAAGCTGCTAGGTTGGCAGGAGCAGGGACCGAGCAACGGGAGCTCACCCCGTCGCGGGGATTCGAACTGCCGACCTTCTGATCGGCAAGTCCTAGGCTTTGTGGTTTAACCCACAGCGCCACCCGCGTCAGACGTTTAGATCACTTTAAATGAAGTGAATCCCCTTTTTGACATCCTTCCTGTTGTTCCGCCAACCCCTGTGCCTTTCAGCTGTGTTCCAGCCAAGAACATGCCTGCAATCCTAACCACACTTACTTGGAAGTAAGCCCCATTGAACTCAATGGGACTTACTACTGAGTAGGTGTGATTAGACATGGGCTGCAGGGCACCAGGCAAACACATCTAGGGAGGGAGTTCCATAACTGAATCCTGCTTTCTGGTTTCCCATTTGCGTTTGGCTGGCCACCGTGAGAACATGATGCTAGACTGGAAGGGCCATTGGCCTGATCCTGCAGGCTCATCTTATGTTGCCACATTCTTACAACTTGGGTGAGTTAGGGGCTTCCCCTGCATGTGAAGACAGATTCCAGCAGATGGAGCAGAAGAAACCAAGAGATGGAAGTGAGGGGCAGGTGGGGCTCATCCACCTGGGAAGGGAGCCCATAGAGGAGAAGAAAAACTCTGGTCCTAAACCAAAAGGCTCAGGAGTAAACCCTATACAGATCTGGAGTGGAGTTCCTAAGGTGGTTGGATGGCGTCTTGTATGCCTCCTTCCTGCAACTCCTGCAGCCTAACTGGTGCCAAACATCTTGCTCTGCTCTCCTTTGGACCACATCAATGAGGCCAAAAGAGGGGTCTTGTCGTCTGGGCAGCCCAGGACCTCCAGACACATTGCCCAGGCTTGATCCCTGGGAGGTCACTTCAAGCCAGTGTGGTGTAGTGGTTAAGAGCGTGGACTCATAATCTGGTGAACCAGGTTTGCTTCCCTACTCCTCCACATGCAGCTGCTGGGTGACCTTGGGCTAGTCACACTTCTCTGAAATCTCTCGGCCTCACTCACCTCACAGAGTGTTTGTTGTGGGGGAGGAAGGGAAAGGAGATTGTGAGCCACTTTGAGACTCCTTCATGTAGTGATAAAGTGGGATATCAAATCCAAAACTCTTCCTCTTCTTCTTTGGTCCTGCTAAAGCAGAGGTGCACCCCATTGTCTCTTGAGACAGACCAATGTCAACAACAACTCAGGTGCCATTACAGAGAAGTCCTTTTCCCACAAAGTTGCCTGCCTCACATCCCAAGGTGGGGTTGCTTGGGAAAGGGCCTCTGGCGAAGGCTTGGCTTGGGCGGGTTCCTGTGGCAGAAGGCGGACTTTTCAGGGAGGGCCGCTCTGCTTTCCTGAGTCTTGTGTGCCTCTCACCTGTCACACATGGCATGTGTGGGCTGCCCGCGCTTTGTGTCCCTTTCCAGTGGAGTCTGCGGGAGACGTCCCTTGGCACCCAGCCATGGTGGCTCAGTTCGGATTATCGGAGGCACGCAGGCTCTCCCCGGGACATGGCCTTGGCTCGTCAGCATCCAGGTCCCATCCAACCAGGGCTACAGGCACACCTGCGGAGGCTCCCTCATCAGCTCTCGCTGGGTCCTCACTGCAGCGCATTGCTTCTTAGACAGAAGGTGAGCAGAGTACCGGGGGCAGCTGCATGCGGCAAGGGGTGGGGGACTTTGCTGTAGAGTCTCCAGATGTGCTGCCCTGCAGATCATTCAGCCTGGCAGATGTAATGCCGGCTGAGCTGTGGAGCTCATGTCAGGAACATGGCCCCCCAGAGCGCAGCAGAAGAGTCGGCCTCAGAAATTGAGCTAAGAGAGTAAGAGGCCGACTCTGCAAATGAGAACTGGCTGTCAGAGTCCAGGAAGGGCAGTTCAGCCCCCCTCCTTCCTAGGGAAGACGCTGTTTGCTCTCAAGAAGAGGGAGAGTTGGAAGGCAGCCAGAGCGTTGCCAGGCAGCCAGCAGATAAGCCAGAGTCTGAGGCTGCATCATCTGGGAGTGGGGAGGAGGCAGTACTAGCAGTCCCTGTACTAGGAGATTGGAGGGGCTCAGAGAACAACGGAAGGGAAGGAGAAGAAAGGCAGGATTTTGGTGTCTTTCCTGTTGGGAGAGGGACGGTGATTCAGACTGATCAACTACTATTAATATGAACAGGTGGGAAGCCATGCTCTGGATGTGTTTTTCTTGTAAATAAACCTACATAATGTCAGAGAGACATTGTTGCTTATCAGGCTGCTTGCCTACCAGAGATCATTATAGCTCATTTCATCCTTTAAAAGATTTTTGCCCCTCACCACAGCCAAAAAAAGGGGGTCGGGGAGGCAACAAGCACCAGAAAGATGGCTCCCTCCTTCATATCTGAAAGGCATGGCACAAAAGGAAAGGGGGTTGGGATGGAGGAGGAAAAAAGAAACGCAGGTTTCTAGCTACGAAGTTCTAGAATTTAAAAATTGGTACAGTGAGGTGTGTGCCAGAAAGCCCCAAGTTTATGACCTTCCTCAGCCAGGAATTAATGGGTGTTTCAGGATAGTTGTAGTCCAAAACATTTGGATGGCACCAGAGTGGCAAGTGCTGACACGATACAGATTTTGTCACCTCATTACAGTTCCCAGGGGAGGTGAAATTAGCATTAACCTAGTTTAAGTCTATGGGGTACCTAAGCCTAGTCTGAACCCTGTGGTTTTATGAACTGTTTTGTATCATTAATTCCACATGGGTATGGTGCATTGCAATGACTGCTTATGATCTATTCTGCTAGCCACCCTGAAAGCATAGTTGCCCTACATGCACTGCTTGTTAATAACCATAATAACAGCTAAAGCGATGGTCATTGTTATCGCTGGCATTATTATTTGGGTGCCACGCTCATGGTACTTATCTCTCTCCATAAAATGCCCTGAACAGTGCTGCAGGCAGCCAGGAATTTCCTTGTTCAAATCACAGAATCATAGAACTTGGAAGGGACCAGGAGGATCATCTAGTCCAAGCCCTGCAATGCACGAATTGTTCATCCTCAAAACCATGATGCTGAGATTACGAGTCTCATGCTCTACTGACTGAGATAATAAATAGCACATACATTATATTATATAACAATTATATATGACATTATATTATATGAATATTTCCCCAGCTACCTAGAGGGCGGCAACATGAGAACAGGGCCTTTTCTGTGGTGGCTCCCCACTTGTGGGATGCTCTCCCCAGGGAGGCTCGCCTGGCGCCCTCACACCATCCTTGGAAACTCAGAGACACCTGCAATACCATTCAGTCCAACCGCTTTTCATGGGGTTCCTGAATCTCTCCCCAAAATCATATATGAATGGCACACGGTTTGAATAGAACCTCTTTCTTCCCCCTTGGTGGGCCAGTTTTCCATCTTTCTCTGCTACAGGTTTCTCGATCAATGGAAGCTGGTGATGGGAGCCAACCAGCTTTCTGACCCTGGCCCCAATGCCCAGGCGCGCACCATCAAGGACCTGATTGTACACCCGCAGTATATCCAACGGATAAACCTCAACGACATCGCCTTGATGGAGATGAGCGCGCCGTTCAACTGCAGCGACTACATCCAGCCGGCCTGCTTGCCTGACATGGACGTGGATGTGATGTCTCTGACGCATTGCTATGTCAGCGGCTGGGGAGTGACAGATGTGTCAAGTGAGAGTCCGGGGATGGGATGGACATCAAAGAGGGTCTCACAGGGGAAGCGTTGCCTGGCAACGCCTGGTGGGAGGACACCACATCTGCTACCCTATGCATACATAACCAGAGACCAGCCACCTCTTGGATGTACTGGGAGTCCCTAAACTAAAAAAAATGTGATTCACCCAGCTCCTGGACCGGGTAGGGTTGGTGGGTGGCTATATTCCTACCTACTAAGGGGTGCATCCAGATGGCCAAAGATGGCAGGACTGGGAAACGGATATTGCTTCTCCAGAGGCTGTAGGACCTCCCAGCTGATAAGAGGGGCCAGTGGGAATCATAGCCCAAAATCACCTGGAGGGCACCGGGTTGGTGAGAGCTGGTTCAGAAAGTTCCCGGATCAGTTGTATTGACTTGGAAGCCAGGTTGCGTCCCGAGGCGAGACGCTAAAGCGAGACTTTCTGCTTGCAGAGCCAGGCGTGACCTCAGACGTCCTGCAAGAGGCCAAAGTCAACCTCATCCCTTCCCACATCTGCAACAGCACCGGCTGGTACAATAAGCGCATCCACCTCAACAACATCTGCGCTGGGCACGAGCAAGGGGGCATTGACAGCTGCCAGGTATGCAGTGACGCAAAGCCAGAGGCTGCTTCTCCAGGGAGGGAGGCAAGTGGGGGGGAGGGGCAGGACGAGGGAAGCCCCCTCCTCTTGGAGGAATGGCCTAACTCTGCCCCAACCAGGGAAATCCCCCTTCCATTCCATATTCAGACAGCCCCCGCGGTTATCAATATGTTATTATCTTCCTACCTTTCCCTCCAAGGAGATCCAGGTGGCATACGTGGTTCTCTCCCTCCTCATTTAATCCCCACAACAACCCTGTGAGGTAGGTTGGGCTGAGAGGCAGCGACGGCCCCCTAAGCTCACCCAGTGAACTTCCTGGCTGAGTGGGGATTTGAACCCTGGTCTCTCCCAGGTCCTAGTCTGACCACTATGCCACACTGCAGCTCTCAGCAAGGAGGGCAAGGCAGGCAAATTATCTCATTCAGGGCTCTCTCTCACCTGCTCCAGAAGACGTGCTTGGCTGTCCCTCAGAATTCCCCATCCTTCAAGGTTTGCCTGTCCCAGCACAGAGTCCTCTTGCTCCCAGATTATTCATCTTTTTGGCATTGGGAACATAGGAAGCTGCCTTATCCTGAGTCAGAACATTGGTCCAGCGAATCTCCATTACATGCAGAAGGTCTCAGGTTTGGGCATCTCCAGCCAGCTTCTCTGCCTGGGAACTTATCCACAATTGCCTTTCTTCAGCTCTTTCCAGGCACAGGTCTGTGCTTTAAAGCTCTGTGTCTGATCACCCCCTTTTGTTTATTTTTTGCTCCAAGGCCCCATTCTGGAAAGCACAGCAAAAGCAAACACAATCCTTGGAAAACCCAAATTGATGTTTGCTTCAATAGAGTGCTAAAGAGCAGGTTTTCATGGGGCAAAAAAAGACACTTAGGCTGGATCTACACTGACCTGTTTAACGTTATTAGAACGTTATTAGATATGTCATTCTAAAATGTCACAAGGCATACTTGTTAATTAAAGTGGTGGTTTTTTTACCTTGGTCTTTTTCATCAAAATGCAGTCTGCTGGTTGCTCTGCTGTGCGCTTTGGTGCCACACCTTAATAACACATTATGAATGTTAAAAGCGGAACATCATGTGTCCATATACATTTTCAGAGTCATTCCCTAACCCTTCCTTAACATTTGAAACCATGAGTGTAGATCCACCCTCAGATTCAGAGCTTTAAAACATGGAAAGAGCACCTGGAAAGAGCGGGGCAGAAAGGAAGAGTGAATGAGACCTCAGACCCTGGAAAGGTCCTGCCAATCAACATAGACAGTTCTGAGCTAATTGGAGCAACAGGCTGATTTAGTGTAAGGTGGCTTCCAGCGGTCGTATGGCTCTCTTTTGCTCTGCCCTTCCCAGAATTTCACCTCACTGCTGAAATAGAGCTGAGGCATGAGTGAAACAACCCCAGTGCGATATTCTCTGCCCATCTGCAGAAGCCCTGCTTTTTGTGTGACCCCGTCTCTCTTGCATGCAAGATGAGGGATGCCTCCATCCTTTGTGGTCGTCATGAGAGCTCCTTGGTGCTGCTGCTGGCGGATGTGCAACCCAGTTCTCCTGAGTGCAGCTGCACCCTCTTCACTCGTCTCCCGTCTTTTCCTCCTGCCTCAGGGTGACAGTGGAGGCCCCCTCATGTGCCGGGAAATGAGGTCTGAGCGCTTCTGGGTCATCGGAGTCACCAGCTGGGGGACGGGCTGTGCCAAGGCACAGAAGCCAGGCATCTACACATCCACACAGCACTTCCTCGACTGGATAAAGTGGTCGACCAAGGAGGACTTCTTCCAGGGCGGCTTTGTGGGGAAACCTACAACGATGGCCCCACCCCCACCCCCGCCCCCGCCACAGAGCTCAACGTCCCAGGTGTGGTGGCCCACGGGCCCCTACATCCACATGCCGCTTGAGACCTTTGCCAATCCTTGGAAGAAAACCACCAGGCAGCGGCCAGCCTCCCCCAATGAAATCCAGCAGTTTGAGAACTGGGCTTACACCCAGCCTGTCGTGACGACCCCCCCTCCCCTTTGGCAACAACCGCCAGCCGAGACCGAACCCCCCCTGCAGCCCGTGCAAACCCAGCCGCCCTGGGGGTCCTACGGCTGGACCCAGACGTGGACCGTGGCTCCGACCCGGCCAGCATGGAATATGTGGGTGCTGACTAGGCCGCCCCCCAGAACCTACCCACCATACACTGTGCAGCAATACCCTTCGTGGAACATACAGGTGACCCGGCCTCCCCCCAGGACCAGGCTCACGCAGAAGTGGACCTTTGGTAAGCCTTCTTGGGTGGGGACTTACTACTGGAACATTAGGAAGAACAGGCCAGTCAAGTAGCCGGACAGTCCATCCCGGCCCCTGGCCACTCAGCTGCCCTGCCCTCCCCTTTTCAAACTAACCCTGTACAAGCTGCTGCAGTCGTCAGCTCGGTTTCCCTTCCCTTACTGCACATGAAATCAGATCTCACAAGCCGTCTTCCCGGGACAAAATAGTTATCTTTTAAGTACATAGAGATACAGACACACACACACACATATGCTCTTTTTTGGCAAGCCATGGAAATTGCTGGAGGGATGGGGCAGGAAACAGGCAAGCGTTGAATGTAGGGGCAAAGCTAGCTTCTGAGATCAATCTGCTCCAGAGGACCCAACGCCGCTGCCTGGACTCTGCCCCCCTGGGGCTCACTAGAGGGGCAAGGGGGTTCCCAAATGCACCCCATACATTTCAGTGCCCTTGTGCATTCACACCAAAGCCTTTGTGGGAAGACCTTGTGGTTCCAGCTGTCTCCCGGCAGCTGTTCTGTAATGTGCAGGGCACATCTGCAATAAATTGGTGCTTTCTCAGCTGGCTCTCCCTGCTTATTCTATTGCTTGGTATGGGATTATGAGTGGGAGGAGCTGTCCGTTTCATTCCCTCATTTTTGCAGTCTCACATTCCTTTCTCCACATGTCCATCTCAGTTTGAGAATTCTTCATTCGTGGCGGGTGGGGACACACACACACACACACACACACACACACACACACAGCATTTTAGTGTGAATTTCCTCTAATGTATATGTTGGTGCGGTTGCAGTGGGTCGTATATGGGGAGTTCAAGGGTCGTGGGGTGGCAGGTAACACTATGGCAATACGAGAAGTTTCTGAGCCAAGATGGGTGAGCTGGAGGTTTTCTGTCATCTCTCTTGGATGCTTTAGTTGAGATGGCTGCAATGCAGGAGGTTGGACTTAATGACCCTTCCAATCAGTGCTTTTTTCCTAGACATGGTACTCACCATGAAGTTGTTACCATAAGTGCCACACTTTTTAGCAACAACAAGAAAGAGGTGCAGGCACTGCATGCCCTTGAGTTTTAAGTTATTATAAGTTTAGGTCAAGTCTGCTGCAACTGGATTTCTTATGGACAGTGCCAATCCTGATTGCATTGGATTTGTGACTATTATGCTCATTTGCCTTCAGTAGCAGTAAAGCTCTGCTGGATGAAATACAATTGCATCTGGTCTTTTTTAAAAAAATAAAAATAAATCCTGCAATGTGTTAAAGTTGTTACTCTGCTAACTATACATTGGAATCTGCTCTGGATCCATAAAGGTAAAGGTAAAGGGACTATTAGGTCCAGTCGTGACCGACTCTGGGATTGCAGTGCTCATCTCACTTTGCTGGCCGAGGGAGCCAGCATACAGCTTCTGGGTCATGTGGCCAGCATGACTAAGCCTCTTCTGGCGAACCAGAACAGCACACAGAAACACTGTTTACCTTCCCGCCAGAGTGGTACCTATTTATCTACTTGAACTTTGATGTGCTTTCAAACTGCTAGGTTGGCAGGAGCAGGGACCAAGCAACGGGAGCTCACCCTGTTGCGTGGATTCGAACTGCTGACCTTCTGATCGGCAAGTCCTAGGCTCTGTGGTTTAACCCACAGCGCCACCCGCGTCCCTGCTCTGGATCAATACTAAGTAGAATTTCAATGGCAGTTTCTGAGCATCGTTTCTAACCTCCTCAAGATACAAAGGTCTTTCAGATACTGTATATACTGTATATATAGTGATCTTGAGATGGAAAATGCAATCAAAGAGAAGATGTTCTAGACTGGCTGCATATTTCTTCTAAACACAGCAAAGAGCTAACATTTATAGATACACTTAATGACTGTCCTAGTTCAGTTAGTAATGGAATTGACCAGAAGAACATAAACTCTGGGTTTTATCTCAAGTGACAGCCAGGATCTGGTTAGAGATGAAAGTGCTGCTGAACTAATTGGGAAGAGTGACCACAGTGCTATCAAATTCAATTTATATATGTAACGGACAATTGCCAAGTAAGTTCATTGTAGTCACGTTTGACTTCAAAGAAAGGGACTTCCCAAAAATGAGGGAGCTGGTAGAAAGGAAGGTAGAAGGCAAAAACCCTGCAGAACACTTAGGGGTTATTCAAAACCACAATAAGTGGATTTCAACTATAATGTATGTTGCACTTGAGGAAAAAATACCACCTGGACCAAGAGGATGCCAGCATGGCTAAAGAGCAGAGTCCAGGAACCAGGGACAAGGCAGAGGGCCTTCTCAGTGGTGGCACCCTCCCTATGGAACACCCTCCCTTCAGATGTCAAGGAGATAAAGAACTATACAGCTTTTAGAACACATCTGAAGGCAGCCCTGTATTGGGAAGCTTTTAATGTTTGCTGCTTTATTATGTTTTATATATTCTGTAAGTTGCCCAGAGTGGCTTGGGACACCCAGCCAGATGGGTGGGGTATAAATAATAAAATTATTATTGTTGTTACTATTATTATCCTCGTTTTGGCATCTTGCCCTGGTGCTTCTGTTAATATTAATAACATTTGTCTGTCTCAAAAAAAGAGAGGAGGAGGAAGAGGAGCATAAAGCAGCGATGATGTTAGGCTGCCCACATGCTCTCTGGACAGAACCTGGATTCATGTGTTTTATGATGTCATGAATTCTAAGGAAAGGTGGTGTGGTGGATCTTGTAGCCTTGGGAGCTGCCCGAAGGATGAGATGGTTGGTCCTCTGTGTTCTGGTCCTTGCTGCATTCCAGGCCACCCATAACGCAACCGTCAGCAATTGCGAGTAAGAGGCCATTGGGCTGCTGGGTGGCATTTTGTAAGGAAAGACAAAATAGGGAAGAAGTTTTTTTGTTGGGGGGGGGAACCAAGCTGGCCACATGACCCGGAAGTGTCTCCGGACAGCGCTGGCCCCCGGCCTCTTAAGTGAGAGTCTCCTCCAGCACCACAATTCAAAAGCATCAATTCTTCGGCAATCAGCCTTCTTTATGGTCCAGCTCTCACTTCCATACATCACTACTGGGAAAACCATGGCTTTAATAACCTTACTTCTTCCAGAAATCAAAACTGTGTCTCTCTCCCATTGCAGCCTGCATTCGCCTACCTAAGGCTATGCATCTCCTGGAGAGTTGCATGATATTCCCCCCACTCTGACTGGGAACAAAGAACCAAAGACCAACTCCCCAAGATGGTGATTTGCACATTGAATACCTTACTCATGTGACCTAAGGTTAAACACCCATGCGCTAGCTAGCAGAGAACAATAGCAGTTAATTATCAACCAACCCATTGAGGTGCTTGTAGAGCTCTTCTTGCGCTTCAATGGAATCTTCCAGTTAAACCCTTTCAGCATTCTCCATCTCAGTGTGAATTAAGCAATTCTACTTAACATGAACAGCCCTTGTCTTCTGCAAGGACATTTGCAGGTTGCCAGCCCTGGAGGGCACCATGTTGTCCAAAGCTGACTTAGCTCATGGGCAGTGAATGGGATCTCTGGTGCACAGGGATCTGGTCCCATGGGTGTCTCCAGCTTTGTACTTCACTATGTTGAGGTGGTCAAGAAAGAGATGCTTGTCTGCTGCAAGAAAGCATTTTGGGGGAAGTCAGGCGTGTCCAAGTCTCTTATGCCAGCTGCACAATCCACCCACGTCACGCACATGATCCGGTGACGCTCTCTATCTTTTTCAGTGGCATCTGCGGAAGAAGACCCTTGGCAAGCAGCCATAAGTTGATGCGTATTATGGGCGGCAGCGATGTTCTTCCAGGGATGTGGCCCTGGACGGTCAGCATCCAGACAAAAGGACGAGGGAAAGTCTACATCCATTCCTGCGGAGGTTCGCTCATCAGCCCCCAATGGGTCCTCAGTGCAGGTCACTGCTTCCCAAAAGGAAAGTAAGCAGAAAGGGAAGTCTGCTTAGCAGAAGGCCGTTCCTGGGGAGGGTTGTGGAATCTGCAAGCCCAGCAGCCTGGGGGTATCTCAAGGAAGCAGAGTCCCTTCTTCTGCCTTCCAGGTGATACTTGGAGGAACTGCAGTTTGTCTGAACACAGAGCCGTCCTCTTGGGATGGTGGAGTCTACAGCCCAGGAACTGCCCTACTGGATCAGGACTAAGGTCCAGCTAGTCCAGCGTCCCATTGGGAACCTAGGAGGGCTGGGCACTCAGAGGCGGAGCAAGGTGGGTGCGGTGGGTGTGGTCCACCCTGAGTGTCATCCCTGAGGGGGGGTGACATCACCATGCCGCCGCCCTGGGACACTCATCGCGGGCAGTGCACCCCCGGGACGTGCACCCCCCAGGATGCTAGGCGTGGGCAGCGCCCCCTAGGACGCTCACCTCACACCCCTGGGATGCCAGCCCCCCCCCCCCGGGAGCACACCACTCTGGGTGCCAGAGCAGCTAGCTCCGCGACTGTGGGCACTCAGGCCGATCCACCCCCTTTTGATTCATAGAACTATAGGGCTCACCCACAATTCCATTTGTCCTTTGACCTGTAGGCACAAATCTGAGAGGCTTCTCCTTTCTCCCACACTGTTCATCGCTGAATCAGAACAAATGTCAATCAGGTTTTCTGCAAATCCATGCTTGCTCCGATTTAGATGTAAACGGCAGGTTACCCCAGGAAAAGCGGCCAGGCACAGGAACAAGGACTGAGGACGTGGGCCAGCCCCCTTGTGCTAAAATTGTGCTTTTAATGGGGGTGTTGTTCTAACTTGGGTGGGTGTTGTTTATTGTTCTTAAGTATTACATGTTAATTTGCATTTGCCTTTTTTGTTTTATAAAGCTGATTAATATTCTACAAGTTTTTAAAATATGTTTGAGGGAACGGAGTTATTGTTTCGTTATTTTTTTGTTTTGACTATTGTGTTTTCACCTTGGATTTTTATCCTGTGGACCGCCCTGAGATCTTGTGATCAAGGGTGGTATACAAATCAAATCAAGTCAAATCAAATAAAAAAAATAACCTCTGAGACCCATGTCTAGAAATCACAGGGAATCATAGAATCAAAGGGAACAAACGGAACAAACAGGAGTGTGCAGGAGCCTTCAGAGAGCTTTGCTGCCTCTGACTGTGATGGAAGAGCATAACCATCCCAGAATCTGCCCAATCCTCTTTTAAAGCCACGTAAACTGGTGCCCGTTGCTGCCTCTCGTGGGGGCAAGTTCCCCATCTTAGCTATGTGCTGCATGCAGGATGTCCTTTCATCTCTCCTGAATCTCCATCGGGTGTCCACGACTTCTAGCATTACAGGAGAGGGAGGAAAACATTTCTCTTTCCACTTTCTCTGCACCATGCATAGTTCCAGCAACCTCAACCATGTCACCTCTTCCCCACATTTTCTCCAAACTAAAAAGTCCCAAGCGTGGCAGCCTTTCCTCGTAGGGAAATCCCTCCACACCCCTGATAATTTTGGTGGTCCTTTTCTGAACCTTCTCCAGCTCTGCAATATCCTTTTGGAGGTGAGGTCAGCTTCACTGGATATCCAGGTGTTCCAGCCTCGTGAGAGAGGGAGGGAGGATTTTTTCTCCATCCTTTCTCTGATAATCAGGGAGTCCAAGAACAGCCCCCCAGAAGCAAAGCAACCTGCTCCGGTACCTGGAGCAGTGTGTGTCCCAGGGGACATGATGTGCTGCCCATGGGGGGCGTGGCATGCATCCTGGGGGTGTGGCACTCCCCCCAGGGATGTGACATGCCACCCAGGGGCATGGTGCACCACCCATGGGGGCGTGGCACGTGTCCTGGAGGCGTGGCACATGTCCCGAGGGGTGCTGCCAATCGGGGGTTGGCATTTTGTCACCCTCCCTTTGGAATGGCACCCGGGGCGTGGTGCCCCCCTGAACCTCGGAATGCACCTATAGCCTCCCACAAGCCATATATCCCTGTTCTTGGTCCCACCTGCAGAGACCAGTACAAGCTTGTTCTTGGCTCCAACCGGCTCACCAATCTGGGCCCAGAGGCTGAGCAGCGCTTCATCAGGACGCTGGTGAAACACGAGAGGTACGACAACAAGCTGAACAGCAGAGAGGTGGTGTATAGAGACATCGCCTTGCTGGAGATGGACGAGCCCGTCAACTGCAGCGACTACATCCAGCCAGCCTGCCTGCCTGACAAAAGCCTGCCGGTTTTGATGTTCGGCCATTGCTACGTCAGCGGCTGGGGTGGCCTGCAGCCAAAAAGTGAGGTTTATGTTCTATGACTTCCCTTCTTCTCTTTCCATGGTTCGTTTTGCATACCATAAATCCCTGCATATTTTGTGTAAACTAAACCATTCAGTAGTCCATTATTACATCCACCAAAACTTATTTACACTGTTGTATTTTCAAGTGTACACAATTTCAAGTGTACACAATTTTCATCCATATATTCAATAAACATTTTCCAATCTTCTTTAAACGAATGTTCTTCTTGTTCTCATATTCTACATGTTAAATCTGCAAACTGTACACATTCCATCAGTTTAAGTTGCCATTCTTCTTTAGTTGGAACCTTGCTTGTTTTCCATTTTGGGGCTAGCAAAGCACGATCCACAGTAGTGGCTTACATAAATAACCTTTTTTGACATCTGTCTGAATTCCTGCCTGAAATATCCCTGACAGAACGGTCTCTGGTTTTTTAGGGAAAGTACTTTTAAACATTTTTAAAAATTCATTATAAATTATTTCCCAATACTCTTTTACCCTTTTACAAGTCCACAACATATGATAGAACGTACCACCTATTTGATTCAGTCTTATACATCTTAGCAAGTCTACTTGGAGTTAGATACCATCTGTAAATCATTTTCAGGTAGTTCTTCTTCAAGGAATAACATGCTGTGAATTTCAACTCACTCTTCCAAAGTTTTTCACAGAGATTCAAATTTATATTATGTCCTATATCTATTGCCCATTGTGTTGTAGAAGTTTTGACAAGCTCGTCTTTTGTTTCCCACTCTAAAAACAAATTGTACATTTTAGATAAAAGTTTTTCTTTGTTTTGCAGAAGTTCTTTTTCAAATTGTGAGCTTTAGTCCAAGAAGCCATTTTTCCTGTCTATTTTAAACATTTAATGTAACTGATGATATTGTACCCAACCTGTAACATGACTCCTTACACTGTCCATTGAATTTGGGTCCACCCCCCCCCCTCTGTAAAGTACAGCAATTCCCTATATGTAGCCCATTGTCTACCTTTTTTAACTCTCTTAATTGTGATAGCCTTAATTGGAGATAACCATAAAGGTGTTTTCCTTTCCAGCAAATTTTTGTGTTTCTCCAAAACTCTATACAGATTCTTCCTTAGAATATGGTTCATAAAACTTTTGTAAATTTTTGCCTTTCCATACTGGAGGCATGAATGCCAGCCAAATTTTATATCATGTCTCTCTAGGTCAAGGATGTCTGTATTATCCAATGTAATCCATTCTCTTAACCAGCAAAAACAGGCTGCCTCATAATAAATTTGCAAATTTGGCAGGACAAAGCCTCCTCTTTCTTTATATCTATCATAATTTTATGTTTAATTCTTGGCTTTCCCCCCTGCCAGATGAATTTGAAAATATCCTTCTTCCATTCTTTGAAGCAGCCTGGTATTGATTGGAATAAAAACCACATCCTGGGCAGTAGATTCATTTTGATAGCTGGGATTCTGCCAAACAAGGAGCGGTTCATTCCCTCCCAAATCTCCAACTCTTTCTTAATCTCTTTCCAGTTTAAAATAGCTATTTTCAAATAAATTGAGATTTCTTACTGTGAGCCAGATTCCCAGATATCTAACTTTTTAACATATTTTCAAACCACATTTTTTTCTAACAGATTTTTTGACTGATCATCCATGTTTTTAATTAGCATTTTACTTTTGCCTGAATTTATTTTAAACCCTGTCACTTCTCCAAACCTTTTAATTTCTTCTAGTGCCTTGGGAATACTCTCTAAAGGTTTTTCCAATGTTAACACCACATCATCCGCAAATGCTCTTAATCTGTACACTCTACGTCCACCTCAATACCTTTAATTTCCCTATTAGTTCTTCTATTCTGAAGGAATATTTCTAATATCATAATAAACAGCAATTGAGATAAGGGACAACCTTGTCTTGTTCCTTTTTTTACTTGTCATTTGTCTGAGAGTATATTGTTTACTAAACAATTTGTGGATTGGCCCCGTCGAAACCGGGCACCTTGGTTTACTGAGGAGCTCTGGAAAATGAAGCGGGATCTCAGAAAGCTAGAGCGAGTATGGTGATGGACTCGTGACGGAGCCTCAAGAACATCTTACAGGACGCTTATGAAAGCCTATGAGATGACTATGAAAGCTGCTAAGAAATCTTACTTTGCACCTTCCATTGCATCCGCTAGCTCTCGCCCGGCACAACTTTTTAGAATAATTAGGTCAATAACGTCCTTAGGAGGACAACCAAATTGGATAGATTCCTCCAAGCTGGTAGGCCCACCACCTGCCTCCTCGATCCGTGCCCGTCTTGGCTGATTAGGGAGTGTCCAGATGTTGCGCGGACCCCCCTGGTTGAAATTATCAATTTGTCCCTTGACACGGGGACATTCCCAGGGGAACTGAAGGAAGCAGTGGTGTGTCCACTCTTAAAGAAAACTTCATTAGATCCCTTAGACCTATCCAATTACCGCCCAGTTTCAAATCTTCCATACCTGGGTAAGGTAATTGAGAGAGCGGTTGCTGAACAGCTTGGTAGGTTTCTGGAGGAAACATCGGCATTAGATCCATTTCAGTCCGGTTTCCGTCCTGGTTTTGGGACGGAGACGGCTCTGGTTGCCCTAACAGATGATCTCCGTAGACAACTGGATCGAGGCGGGCCAGGACTGCAACCTTTTAGATTTGTCAGCAGCCTTTGACATGGTCGATCATGATCTTCTGGACCACCGCCTCGCAGACGTGGGGATACAGGGCATAGCCCGTAACTGGTTGTGCTCTTTTATCTCTGGTCAGGGACAGAGGGTGGCACTAGGGAGGGAAACATTGTCGCGCCACTCCTTGGTGTGTGGAGTGCCGCAGGGCGCAATTCTCTCCCCGATGCTTTTTAACATCTTTATGCGCCCCCTTGCCTAGATTATCCGGAGCTTTGGGCTGGGCTGTCACCAATATGCTGATGACACTCAGCTCTCTCTGCTGATGGATGGCCACACCGACTCGGCCCCAAACACACTGACCAGATGCTTGGAAGCTGTGGCTGGATGGTTTCGTGGGAGCCGATTGAAACTAAATCCTTCGAAGACAGAGGTCCTATGGCTAGGTCGGGATGGCATGGGATGGCATGGGCCAACTCCCTTCTCTTGCGGGGGCCCAATTAGTGCCATTGCCTTCCGTTAAGAGTTTGGGTGTAATCCTTGACGCCTCCCTTTCCATGGAGGCGCAAGTTACAGCAACAGCCAAGGCAACATTTTGCCACCTTCGCCGCATCAAGCAGTTGGTCTCTTACCTTTCCCGCCCCGACCTGGCCACAGTGATCCATGCGACGGTCATCTCCAGGCTTGACTACTGTAATTCGCTCTACGCGGGGCTGCCCTTGAAGCTGTCCCAGAAACTCCAGCGGGTACAGAATGCTGCAGCGAGGCTCCTCACGGGGTCTCTGCCATGGGAGCACATTCACCCAGTGCTTTTCAAGCTGCACTGGCTCCCGGTGGAGTACAGGGTCAGAATTAAGGTGCTGCTTTTGACCTTTAAAGCCCTTCACGGCCTAGGACCCTCGTACCTACGGGACCGCCTCTCCCGGTATGCCCCACAGAGAGCCTCAAGGTCCATAAATAACAACACCCTAGTGGTCCTGGCCCTAAGGAAGTTAGATTGGCTTCAACCAGAGCCAGGGCCTTTTCAACTCTGGCTCTGGCCTGGTGGAACGCTCTGCCTCATGAGACCAGGGCCCTGCAGGATCTGATTTCTTTCCGCAGGGTCTGTAAGACAGAGTTGTTCCGCCTGGCCTTTGGCTTGGAGCCAATTTGATTCCCTCCCTCCCTCTCTTTCTTTTTCTTTTCCTTCTCCTCCTGCGATGAGGCTACATTTTAATATTTTAATGTTCCATTATTTTAATGTTGTATTTTATTTTTGTTTTTAAGTTGCAATCATTCATCTTGTTTTTATTATTGCTTGTAAGCCGCTCTGAGCCCGGCCTTGGCTGGGGAGGGCAGGGTATAAATAAAAAAATATTATTATTATTATTATTATTATTATTATTATAGATCACTTTAATTCCAGTCAGAAAGGAATTGCCTATTTCCATTTTCTCTAATAACCAAGAAATGTTATCAAAGGCTTTCTCCGCATCTAAGAATATTAATGCGGCCTGTTTTTCAATTCTCACTTCCAAATACTCAATTACATTAAGTACATTCCTTATATTGACCTTCATTTGTCTGCCTAGTAAAAATCTGGCTTGGTCTCTGTGGGCTGACTCAGTCTTTTTTAGCCTATTAGCTAAAATTGTGGCAAAGAGTTTATAATTACAGTTCAGTAAAGAAATAGGTCTGAATTATTCCCGTGCCCAGTATTCTGTTCATGGTGTCATTAACCGGTTCGATGTGTGCATTCTGAAACTTTTCATAATAAATTGCTGTAAGACCATTCATCCCCAGTGCTTTGCCATTTTCTGTATTGCCATTTGTACTTCCATTATCAAAATGGGTGCATTCAAACTTCTCTGATTTTGTGTAGATACTTGAGATAACTCGGAGTCATGCTTTCTAGGCACGGGATGAGTGGAAGTGTGGACAAGGCCTTCCAGTGGGAGGAAAGTTAATAAATAAAATGGAAGTGACCATGGCAAAAATTATAGCTCTGAATGAATAAATGCTTCTGGTTAGGCTGCACAAGGTTCCTTCCTTGTAGGAGAAGTTTTCTTTTGGGGTGTTCCATCCCTGTTTCACTTCCCCTCTCTTTTGCATGGAGGAGATTTTCCTCGTTCTTGCCTGTAATTATTTTGCTTTAGAAATATACTGGGATTTTTTTTGCTGTATTTATCACTTTTGGAATCTTCATGGTTGAAGGCTCAGGATATCTATTTATGAAATAAAAGCATGGTTAGCAGGGATTTTTGCAGCCACAACTCACTGGAACTCTGTTCCAGCACCTCTCAGGTGGGTGCCATTGCCATTATAAGAGACCAAGGAAGGTGTTTGTGGTGAGTTCCGGCACCTCGTTTCTAGAAAAATAGCACTGCTGGTCCACTGACTGAGAGCAGCTAGCTGTTAGGCAGGTCTTAAGGCTTGTCCACACATCTGCTTTCTCGATGTGGCTCTGAGGGGTTTCCCCCTTTCCCCTCTCCTTCCCCTGCCCCAGTTAGGATTCATGGGCAGAGCACCCCCTGGTCAGACGTCCAGCTGTCTATCTCCATTCCCACCCTACTGCTTTCTGCTCACAGATTTCACCCCTCCTGATATCATGCAGGAAGCGCCAATGAATACCTTCAGCAGAAAAAAATGTATGAAGTCGTGGCGCAGGAGGATCCCTACACAGAACATCTGTGCTGGACACGAAGAAGGAAACATTGCAATCTGCAAGGTAGGTGAACCACGGTCAGGAGCCAAGGTCAGGATTTGTGCTCACCTGATGAAGGGGGTGGCACCCAGTGGCCATAAATGCAGTAAATAAATGAAATTAGTGTACTGTGCTGCCCCCTGACAGGATGGCTGAGCCTTGTATCCTTACCCCATTTGCCTCTGCCTTGATCTCCACAGCATCATGCCTGCACCTCATTCCACCACCTTCTTTCCCCCCTCCCAGGGTGACAGCGGAGGCCCCCTGATGTGCAGGGAAGAGAGGTCTGAGCGCTACTGGGTGATTGGAGTCGCCAGTTTCGGACCGGTGTACTGCGGCACAGCGAAGCTCCCAAGCGTCTTCATCTCCACACAGTACTTTCTAGGCTGGATCGAAAGGAACTCTAAGCTGCAGCTCTCAGCTCCCAGACCCACCCCGCTGCTGGCGCAGACCACAAAACCGCGCAAACCCAGGACTTCACCTACCACAGCCAGGCCAAAAAAGCACAGGCCTCCCTGGGTGAGGCCCCCACTGTGGAGTGGGGGGCTTCCTCCCTGGGTAAAGACCACAACATCCTCCATCCCTCCCTGGATGAGGGAGAACTATGGGAGGCGCCCAAGGCCTGACCACAGGTCAGGGTATAGATATCAGCAGCCCTGGCCCCAGATGGCACCTCAAAGCCAGTTCGCAGATCTACCAGGGTACTACCCTGGCTCCGAAGACTACTACGATCTGCTTGTGCCCTCAGGAGAGCAGGATTGAGAGGGGCAGCTGCGGCAGGGGGCAGGCATTATGAAGCAGAGGGGCCAGGCTAGAGGCCACCATGATAAGCATAGGATATTCTATAGAATAATAAAATGGAGATGGTTTGAGCAAGCTGCTTGGGATTTGGCAATGGGTCTTTGTGTCTTTCACACCATCATCTCACCTAAACTCAGAGAGATGTGTTGGGAAATGGCCAAATCCAGAGCCATATTCTCCTACTTATGTTCATAATTCCTCCAGATCTTTCTTCCATTAAATGGAAGTGGTGGAAAAAGAAAACAAGAAAGAAGGGAAGGGAAGGATGAAGGATATTCTATGTTTAAGAATCCAAAATGTATAAAATGCATTATGTTCCTGTTAAAACAAAAACCCTCCCCCAATGTTACACAATATTTCTTAGTAATTGCCACTTTAATTAGAGTGAGAAAACAGAGCCATTTTTTTTAAAGTCCTACTGCACCCTTCTGACACAAAGCTCTGTCTTTCCTCACCTGCTCCAACCCACATCTTGTGCTCAAGACAACTTACAACACTATATTGAGAAAAATATCAAAATATTGTTACCAAAGATGGGTGCCTGCCTGTCCAAGACAGAAATGGCAGCCTTGAGTGAGTTTTTAGAGAAGAATCTGGTAAAGAGCTTCATCAGACCTTCCAAGGCACCAATGCTATTTGTGAAGATGAAGGACACTACAGAACTTAGATTATGCATGGACTATAGGAAGACCAATGCCCTCATGGTTCCTAATCATTATACTCTACCAACTATTATAACCTGATCTGTGTGAGGGAGGGAGATGAGTGGAAAACAATGTTCTGCACTAGGTATGGCAGCTTCAAATACCTGGTTATGCCCTTTGGGCTTCAGTTAGGGACTGCAACATTCCAAGCCTTCATCAACCACATCCTCTGTGGCCTGGTGGATAAGTTCATGGTCGCTTACCTTTATGATCTTTTGAACTTCTCTGAAAGCCAGGAACAGCACATGAGACATGTGGCAGAGGTGCTGCAGAGGCTGAGAGAACACCACCAGCGGCTTTATGCTAAGTTAGAAAAATGCCAATTCCACGTCTCTATGGTAGATTTTCTGCATTACCGCCTCACAGCAGAGGGGGTACACACTGATCCAGCTAAGGTGCAAAGCGTGGTGTCAAGGCAGGAACCCAAGATGAAGAAAGACCTTCAGAGATTCTTGAGGTTCGCCAACAACTACTGCAAGACTCACAGCACCTCTCACGGATTACTTGAGGTGCAAGAAGTGCTTCCATGGACAGCTGAGGCACAACAGGCGTTTGAGCAGCTCAAAACCATATTTTCCTCAGAGGTGTACCTAGTTCATGCTACCCCTCACTGGCTGCTGATCGTGGAAACAGATGCCTCTGACAAAGCAGTGGGGGGGTGCTGCTGCAAGAGGACCAAGATGGCAACCAAACCCTTGTGCCTTCCACTCTAGGAAGCTGACTTCTTCCGAATAGAACTACACCATTTGGGAAAAGGAACTTTTGACTATCCGTGAAGCCCTTGAAGTGTGGAGACATTTCCTTGAGGGGGCACAACACCAGGTGGAGGTGCGCACTGGCCATCCAAATCTGGAGTAAGGGCAGACAATGAGACGTCTCAATCAATGGCAGGTTTGTTGGGCGCTGTTCTTTGCCAGCTTCGACTTTAGAGTACAGTATGTGTCCGGCAGTCAGAATCAAAGGGTGGATGCTATTTCCAGGAAGCTGGAGTACCAGGATGATGAGCCAGTTCCAGTGTATCAGCACATCTTGAAATCAGAGCAGTTACAGCTAGCAGCTGGGTCAGTTGTCGAAGTTTCCAAATTCCAACTGAAGACACAGGAGGATGCTTTTGCGAAGGGCAAGTTAGTAGTGCTGCGGGGAGATGCAGGTGACACTGAGGGAGGGGTTCATGGAAAAGGATTGGCTACTGTATAGAGGGGAAGCTCGCTATGTTCCAGAAGGAGAACTCCGAGCCAAGATCCTACGTCAGTGCCATGACAACACTACAGTGGGACACTTTGGGCAGCACAAAACGCTATACCACGTGACGAGGCAATTCTGGTGGCCAAGATTGAGGGAGAAGGTCAAGGAATGCGTCCAAGCCTGTGAGGTTTGTCAGCGGGCAAAAAGACCCAGGGAAGCACCTGCAGTATTGCTTCAACCACTAACCACACCACAAGGACCATGGGAAGCTGTAGCTATGGACTACATCACTGATCTGCCAGAGTCACTGCAGAAGACAGTGATCTGGGTGGGGGTAGACTTGTTCACAAAGATGGCTCACTTCGTGCCCTGTAAGGGGCTGCTGACCACACAAGAGATGGCACAACTCTTTGTAGAAAATGTATTTAATTCGCATGGGCTCCCCCTTAAAGTGATTTCAGATTGGGGGACCCAATTCACCTTGCAGGTCTGGAAGAAGCTCATGCCATTACTCCAGGTAGAAGTGTCCCTCACTCAGCCTGACACCCAGAGACTAATGGGGAGTTGGAAAGGGCTAACGCCATGTTAAGCAGGACCTCCGGTGTTATGTGAACTACCAGCAAGATGATTGGGTGTCCAAATTGCCCTTGGCAGTGTTTGCGTACAAGAGTGCACTTCATGCGTTAACTCGGCAGACCCCCCCCCTTTTATGCCAGTTACAGATACCATACATGTACTTTCCCATCACAGACCAACACCGTGTCAGTACCAGCAGCAGAGGACTTCATAGAAGACTTAACAGCCATCTGAAGTTTGCTAAGGAAATGCTTGGACTATGCTAAGGAGTTGTATAAGATAGCAGCAGATGCCCATAGACAACCAGGTAGTGAGTTAAAGGTGGGGGATCAGGTGTGGCTGTCTACACATGATTTGCCCTAGAGAGGTAGATGCAGGAAACTAGATCCTCAGCAGGTGGGGCCATTTGAAGTGTACTTTCAGACTCAGATTGCCAGTATCAATGAAGATACACACTGTATTCCAAAGATCCGTGCTGTCCCCAGTAGTGCTAGCACACACCTAACAAACTCTCAGGCAAGCACCCCCACTTCCTGTTCTGGTAGAGGGAGAGGAGGAGTATGAAGTAGAGCAGATTCTAGACTCACGCATGACACGAAAGAGACTGCAATACTTGATTGCATGGAAGGGTTATGGGCCCGAAGAAAGATCGTGGGAATATGCAGAACATGTTAATGCCCTGGAATTGCAAAGGGAGTTTCATAGGAACCACACCAACAGACCAATACCGAAGGGTTGGGGGGAGGAAGAAAGGGGGGGAGGAAAGCTCTGGATAGGGGTGTGATGTCAGGGACTGGACCAAACAGGAAGGCTGGGGAGTGTCCCCTCAGTCTGCTCGGCTCCACTTGGAAGAGGAGGGGGAGTGGGAAGCTTCACCCTCACCCTTTGTCTCCAGCAGTTTCTAGATGTCATGAACACAACTGTCCCAAGTTGAGAAACACAGCATGAGTTAGGAAGCAGTCAGACAGCTGGGAGCAGTCATCCTTCCCCTGATATGGAGTGGAATGTAGATAAGGCATTGGCAGAGAGTGGGAGGGAGAGAAGTCAGCTCGCTCAAGAAGCACAGGCAGCTTCAGAAAGCAGGAGGGGTAGCATTTCCTCACTGGAAGAGGTGGCAATAAATCCCCTGAGCCCAAAGAGTAGACGTATGGGAAAGGTATTACACAGGAAATAAACCCAGAAATTTAAGGGTCATAGGTTCAGGATATTCTGCAGAACCAGGAAGCACTCCTCAGAAGGGTCAACTGACTTGTAAGAGGTGGACGCTCAGTTAGACGTCCAAGGCTAATTGTTTGTATTGCAATAAATCTTCAAGCTAACTATGACTTGCGTGCTGCCTGGGCTCCTGACACTAGATGAGAAGGGGACAGGGTCGAATTACAGCTGAATGAAGAATTGCCTAGTTACGAGATTGTAGAGGAGGAGGGAGGAGGGAAGGAGCAGCAAGCAGAGACCTCCTTGAAGAGTCTGGGAGATCCTCCTTCCCCAAGGTCCTGTCAGCCCCTCTGAATTCAAGAACAGAGATTGCAGAGGAGTGTGACACCTGGGACTTTCCGTAGGTACTCAGGATGTTGTTGGGGACGGAAGAGGGGGGCTCAGAGTAGGCAACGTCTCCTTTGCATGGAGACATGGATTCTTTGTCTTGCTACCAGATGACTGAATAAAAACCATAAATACGAACATGCTTGTTCTTCTTGCCTTTGGTGCAACTGGGGGAGGAGAGGATTCTCCATGCCTGACACTACCTCTCTCTGCCAAGCGATAGCAAGAGCCCACGGGGTCCCAGACACTCACACAGTGTCTGTGCTCCTTTGGAGAACTGAAGACATGGCGGAGACTGTTGCAGCTTTAAGAAATATGATTTATTTACCTGGTCACACCTCTAGTCTACATGGAGGGAGTCCAGATCTTACGGCATACACATTTCCAGAGGCAGCAGCATAGGCAACCGTCTGCCAGCCTGCCCAAGATGCATCTCAGCTCTTCTCCCTTCTTCTCTTTCCCAACAGACCTTGCTCAAATATCTTCCTTTTCCTGTCCCCTCAAACACACACCATCACCTTGGTCAGGTCTCTCCCCCCAAGTGAAAGGATTCTCTCCAATGGCCTATTGACACTTTTTGTCATGTTAACAGGTTTGCTGTTCCCTAAGTCAGCCAGAAATTTCCTGTCTGGCACAGCTCTGCAGATTGTCCCTTTAACCCATATCCCAATTAATCAAAATCCCAGCCTTTATTCATTCCTAGGATTTGGGGGTGGGGTGTCAGTTTGCATTTCTTAGTGCAGAAAGTATTGATCTGATGTGTAGAGATCTTTCCTATTCTACTTAATTCAAGAGGGTTTTGGTAGCTTCAGAAGATTCATGATGTTTGGGTTATTCCTTCATAAAAGTTGAGTACAGCTGGCTTAAACAGGTTTTTTTATCTCTTCTTCAAGGTCATGCTGACTATAAGAGGAAGGACAGAAGGAGCCTAGGTTTCACTTTCTCTTTCTGTCTCTCTTCCTTCTAGTGTGGTGTTCTGTATACAGTGTTAAGGTTTAGACTTATAAGTTATTATAAGTTAAGTCTACAGCAACTGGATTTCTTATGGACAGTGAATGTATTGGATTTGTGACCATGATGTTCATTTGCCTTCCGTAGCAGTAAAGCTCTGCTGGATGAAATATTAATTGCCTCTGGTCTATTTTTTTGGAATCCTGCAAAGTGTTTAAGTTTTTACTCTGCTAACTATAGGTCAGAATTCTGCTCTGGATCAATATTGAGTAGAATTTATTGACAGGTTATGGGCCCAGAAAGTTCTTTTGATGTGCTGATGGGTTCCTGAGGCTTTGCAGAGTGCTGAGGAGATCTGGTTGTGCAGTGCCAGAGTGTTTGCTGTGAATGAGCAAAGGAGTAGCTGCACCAAAATGCTGGAGGGTGAGGAGGACCTGGAGAGTCTCCGTGCCTGGGGAGCGGCGGTGAAGCAGCTGGAGTGGATGCCGGCCGTGGTGATTTACGAGTTGGGTAGCTATTGTGGAACAGCCTTGCAGTGCCGAGAAGCTGGAAGAGGCTTGATTCCGGAGATGGTTGTCAGCGGTTGGTGCAGATGCAGCATTGGGAGGTATGGAGAACCTAGAGGGGCTGGGAGCTGGCAGCAGTTTTACTGGTATGCAGGGGACGTTTATATTTGCCTACTAACAGTGGTAAAATAAGCTGTAGTCCTATCTTAAAGGAGTAGGTGATTGATTAGGCCTGGGAGACTGGAAAGTGTCCTAATGGTTTTATAGCAGGTCATTTGCTGAGCCATGTTTCCTTTGGGTGAGCATCCCACGTTGCAAACTCTTTTGGGCTAATAAATTAACTGCAATAGTTTGGAGTATAAACTGTAAAATGTGAAATATAAAGTGTTCTAATTTGTTGTAAAATACATTTTGGAATTCTTAAACGTAGAATATCCTTCATCCTTCCCTTCCCTTCTTTCTTGTTTTCTTTTTCTTTTTTTCTACCACTTCCATTTAATGGAAAGAAAGATCTGGAGGAATTATGAACATAAGTAGGAGAATATGGCTCTGGATTTGGCCATTTCCCAACACATCTCTCTGAGATTTGGTGAGATGATGGCACGAAAGACACAAAGACCCATTGCCAAATCCCAAGGAGCTTGCTCAAACCATCTTCATTTTATTATTCTATAGAATATCCTATGCTTATCATGGTGGCCTCTAGCCTGGCCCCTCTGCCTCTAGCCTGTCCCCTGCCCCAGCTGCCCCTCTCAATCCTGCTCTCCTGAGGGCACAAGCAGATCGTAGTAGTCTTCGGAGCCAGGGTAGTACCCTGGTGGATCTGCGAACTGACTTCGAGGTGCCATCCGGGGCCCGGGCTGCTGCGGTCTGTACCTAGTCCTGCGGCCAGGCCTCCGGTTACCCCAAAAATAGTTCTCCCTCATCCAGGGAGGGAAGGAGGACCTTGTGGTCTGCACCTGGGGAGGAGGCCTCACACCCCACTGTGGGGGCCTCACCCAGGGAGGCCTGTGGGGTCTTGGCCTGGCCGCTGTAGGTAAAGTCCTCGGCTTGCGCATTGTTGTGGCCTGGGTCTGCGCCAGCAGCGGGGTATGTGTGGGAACCGACAGCTGCAGCTTAGAGGTCCTTTGGATCCAGTCCAGATAGTACTGCGTGGAAATGAAGACGCTTGGGATCTTCGCTGTGCCGCAGTACAAGGGTCCGAAACTGGCGACTCCAATCACCCAGTAGCGCTCAGACCTCTCTTCCCTGCACATCAGGGGGCCTCCGCTGTCACCCTGGGAGGGGGAAAAGAAGGTGGTGGAATGAGGTGCAGGCATGATGCTGTGGAGATCAAGGCAGAGGCAAATGGGGTAAGGATACAAGGCTCAGCCATCCTGTCAGGGGCAGCACAGCACATCAACTTCACTTATTCCCGGTGGAGTAGAGGGTCAGATTTAAGGGGCTCATTTTGACCTTTAAAGCCCTATGCGGCCTAGGACCCACGTACCTACGGGACCACCTCTCCTGGTATGCCCCGCGGAGGACCTTAAGGTCCACAAATGGCAATATCTTGGAGGTCCCAAGTCGCAAGGTGGTTAGATTGGTCTCAACTAGGGCCAGGGCCTTTTCAGTACTGGCCCCAACATGGTGGAATGCTCTGTCCCAAGAGACTAGGGCCCTGCAGGACTTGACATCTTTCTGCAGGGCCTGCAAGACAGAGCTGTTCCACCTGGCCTTTGGTTTGGACTCAGTCTGACCCTTATGTCTTCCCTCCCCTTACGGTTTTGATTTATGGGCTACTTTTAAAATGAGGCTGCTTTTTAAATTGCATTTTAACCTGTATTTTAAATTGGGTTGTTGTTGTTTTTCCCCCTATTATGTTTCCATTGTAATTTTACTGGTGTTAACTGCCCTGAGCCCGGCTTTGGGCGGGGAATAAATTATTATTATTATTATTATTATTATTATTATTAATTGCATCTAATTCCAGCCTTGCAGGGGGTTGGACTAGATGACCGCCCCGAGGTACATTCAACTCTACAATTCTAAACGTATACCCTGCTTGATTGTACAACAGCAACCTCAAGGCAGTTTACGAAGAGAGCGAAACAATAACGAGTAAAACCAACTCTTGAAAACATTCAGAAGATAAAACCAGCTACAAACTGAAAACGGATTGAAACATATACCAACATCCTACATTTAAAGTGTGTGACTCCCTTCCTCACAAGAATTGTGGGAACTGTAGTTTACTCCACATGGATATCTGATTCCAGGCACCCAAATTGCAGTTCCTCAAGATTCTTTTTTTTTTCCAGTGGCGGGGGGGGGGCAGCGGGAGTCCTGCACTTTGAATGTGCTTTGACCGTGTGGTGTGTAGACAGCCTTGGAGAGCAGCCTCAGCTCAGCTTGCCAAGCATTGAAACTTGGAGCATTGGTTGGCCACAAAAGAGCTCTGATGTGGAGCCATAGAGTGATACCCTTCATCAGGTGAGCACAAAATCCTGACCTTGGCTCCTGACCGTGGTTCACCCTACCCTGCAGATTGAAATGGTTCCTTCTTCGTGTCCGGCACAGACGTTCTGTGTAGGGATCCTCCTGCCCCACCGCATGCCACATTGGATTCTACTGTAGAGACTCGTCGCCCCTTCTTGCATGATGTCAGGAGGGGTGGAATCTGTGAGCAGAAAGCAGCAGGGTGGGAATGGAGATAGACAGCTGGACGCCTGACCAGGGGGTGCCTTGCCCGTGAATCCTAACTGGGGCAGGGGAAGGAGAGGGGAAAGGGGGAAACCCCTCAGAGCCACACCGAGAAAGCAGAAGTGTGGATAAGCACTAAGACCTGCATAACAGCTAGCTGCTCTCAGTCACTGGACCAGCAGTGCTATTTTTCTAAAAACGAGGTGCCGGAACTCACCACAAACGCCTTCCCTGGTCTCTTATAATGGCAATGGCACCCACCTGAGAGGTGCTGGAATGGAGTTTCAGTGAGTTCTGGCTGAAAAAATCCCTGCTAACCATGTTTTGATTTCATAAATAGTTGGTGTTGGTGTTGACCTTTAAAGCCCTAAACGGCCTCAGCCCAGTATACCTGAAGGAGTGTCTCCACCCCCATCGTTTAGCCTGGACACTGAGGTCCAGCTCCAAGGGCCTTCTGGCAGAAGTGAGGTTACAGGGAACCAGGCAGAGGGCCTTCTTGGTGGTGGCGGCGCCCGCCCTGTGGAATGCCCTCCCACCAGATGTCAAAGGAATAAACAACTATCTGACTTTTAGAAGATACCTGAGGGCAGCCCTGTTCAGTTAACTTTTTTAATGACTGGTGTTTTAACGTTTGTTAATCTGTTGGAAGCCACCCAGAGTGGCTGGGGAAGCCCAGCCAGTTGGGTGGGGTGCAAATTATTATTATTATTATTATTATTATTATTATTATTAGATATCCTGAGCCCAGTATATTATTAAAGCAGAATAATTACAGGCATGAATGGGGGGAAACTCATCCATGCAAGAGAGAGGGGATGTGAAACAGGGATGGAACACCCCGAAAGAAAACCTCTCCTGCAAAGAAGGAACCTTGTGCAGCCCAACCAGAAGCGTTTATTCATTCAGAACTAGGTATATTATTTGCCACGGTCATTTCCATTTTATTTATTAACTTTCCTCCCACTGGAAGGGCTTGTCCACACTTCCACTCGTCCCCTGCCTAGAAAGCATGAGTCCAAGAGGTTTGTGCCCCCTTGGCATGAGTCCGAGTGGTTTTCTGCTTGCCCTGTTACTTTCCCCAGGAAAACTCACTCTTGACTGCTGAATAGGAGCAAACAGCAATCTGCGGAGAACTCGACTGCAGGTTTTCCCCGGGGGGAAACAGCAGGATAAGCGGAAGTGCAGACAAGTCCTAAACCACCCTGGAAAATGCCAGCTGGCAGTGAAGGTACAGGTGATGAATTTATTTCAAACAGTCCTCCTGCTTTTCACAAGGTTGCTCTCACCTTTTGGCAGCAGGCCGCCCCAACCGCTGACGTAGCAATGGCTGAGTGTCAAAACCTCCATTCTTTCGTCAGGCAGGCAGGCTGGCTGGATGTAGTCGCTGCAGTTGACGGGCTCGTCCATCTCCAGCAAGGCGATGTCTGCAAACACCACCTCTCCTTGATTCAGCTGGTTGTCGTACTTCTCATGTTTCACCAGCCTCTTAATGAAGCGCTGCTCAGCCTCTGGGCCCAGCTTCTTGATCCGGTTGGAGCCAAGAACAAGCTTGTACTGGTCTCTGCAGGTGGGACCAAGAACAGGGATATATGGCTTGTGGGAGGCTATAGGGGAGTTCTGAGGTTTGGGGGGGCGGCACGCCCCAGGTGCCATTCCAAAGGGAGGGTGACTAAATGCCAACCCCCAATTGGTGGCACCACCCGGGACATGCACCATGCCCCTGGGTGGCATGCCACGCCCCTGGGTGGAGTTCCACACCCCCAGGATGCATGCCACGCCCCCCACGGGCAGCACGTCACGTCCCCTGGGACACACGCTGCTCTGGGTACCGGAGCAGGTTGCTTCGCCTCTGGAAGGCCGTTCTTGGATTCCCTGAATGTCAGAGAAAGGATGGAGAAAAAATCTTCCCTCCCTCTCTCACGAGGGTGGAATACCTGGATATCCAGTGAAGCTGGCCTCACCTGTGAAAGGATATTGCACAGCTGGAGAAGGTTCAGAAAAGGACCACCAAAATTATCAGGGGTGTGGAGGGATTTCCCTACGAGGAAGGACTGCAGCGCTTGGGACTTTTTAGTTTGGAGAAAAACTGGGTAAAAGGCGACATGGCTGAAGCCTGAGAGGTTTTATTATTTATTTGATTCGACTTGATTTCATTTGTATATTGCCTTCATCACAAGATCCCAGGGCAGTTCACAGGATAAAAATCCAAGGTAAAAACACAAGTAAATAGTCAAAACAAAAAATAACAAAACAATAACTCCGTTCCCACAAAAAAATCTGTAGAATATTAATCAGCTTTATAAAACAAAAACAAAAAAGACAAATACAAAATACCAGTTAACACAGAACACTTAAGAACAATAAACAACACCCACCCAAGTTAAAATATCACCCCATTAAAAGCACAATTTTAGCACAAGGGGGCTGTCCTACGCCCTTCCTCGTTTTTGTGCCTGGCCGCTTTCTCTGGGAAAACCTGCTGTTACATCTAAATTGGAGCAAACATGAATTCATAGAAAACTCAATTGATATTTGTTCTGATTCAGCTATGAACAGTGTGTTTTCCTGGGGAAAGCAGTGGGAGAAAGAAGAAGCCTCTCGGATCTCTGCCTACAGGTCTCAGGACAAATGGAATAGTTGGTTAGCCCTATATTCCTACGAACCAAATGGGACGGATTGGCCCGAGTGCCCAAGGTGGCGGAGCTAGCTGCTCTGGCACCCGGACGGGGATGGCATCCCGGGGGGGTGAGGTGAGCGTCCTGTGGGGTGCGCGTCCTGGGGGTGCGCTGCCCGCGATGAGTGTCCCAGGGCGGCAGCGTGGTGATGTCACCCCCCCCTCAGGGATAACACTCAGGGTGGGCCACACCCACCGCACCCACCTTACTCCACCTATGAGTGCCCAGCCCTCCTAGGTTCCCAATGGGACGCTGGACTAGCTGGACCTTAGTCCTGATCAGGTAGGGCAGTTCCTGGGCTGCAGACTCCACCATCCCAAGAGGACGGCTCTGTGTTCAGACAAACTGCAGTTCCTCCAAGTATCACCTGGAAGGCAGAAGAAGGGACTCTGCTTCCTTGAGATGCCCCCAGGGTGCTGGGCTTGCAGATTCCACAACCCTCCCCAGGAATGACCTTCTGCTAAGCAGATGTCCCCTTCTGCTTACTTTGGTTTTGGGAAGCAGTGGACTGCGCTGAGGACCCATTGGGGGCCAATGAGCGAACCTCCGCAGCTGGGAAAGTAGACGTTCCCTCGTACTTTTGTCTGGATGCTGACCATCCAGGGCCACGTCCCTGGAAGAACATTGCTGCCGCCCATAATACGCATCAACTTATGGCTGCTTGCCATCGGTCGTCTTCCGCAGATGCCACTGAAAAAGATAGAGAGCATCAACAGATCATGCGCACGACGTGGGTGGATTGTGCAGCTCTTGAATATTGTGATCGCACATTTTACCTTTTTTACTGACACGGGCTCCTCAGATATCATCTGGTATTTTGCAGGTCTTTTATATAGTTCAACAAATTTTATTTTTTGGGGGGGGGGGGAATTCTACTATTATTATTTTTTAAAAAAAATCCAGCCTTGTCAGTTTTATGTAATTCATGATAGTAACCTTGGGAGATCTGTTCGGATGCCATGGCTATAGGTGGTAATCAACAAGACTTGACTCAGAGTACATCCACCAAAAGTAATGGACCTAACTTGTTTGTGTTCATTGCTTTCAATCGGTCTACTTCAGAGGGTTGGCTGAAATGCCACTAAATTTCATGAGACCCTTAAGGCAAAATGGAAGGAGAGCAACCCTCAAGGTAAAATGGAAGGAGAGCAATGGTAGATGGACAAGCAGACAGAAGACCACCTGGGGTCTTTTTCCAGGAAAAAAACTTCTTCCCTATTTTGTCTTTCCTTACAAAATGCCACCCATCAACCCAATGGCCTCTTACTCGCAATTGCTGACGGTTGCGTTATGGGTGGGCTGGAATGCAGCAAGGACCAGAACAGAGAGGACCAACCATCTCATCCTTCGGGCAGCTCCCAAGGCTACAAGATCCACCACACCACCTTTCCTTAGAATTCATGACATCATAAAACACATGAATCCAGGTTCTGTCCAGAGAGCATGTGGGCAGCCTAACATCATTGCTGCTTTTGCTCCTCCTCCTCCTCCTCTCTTTTTTTGAGACAGACAAATGTTATTAATATTAACAGAAGCACCAGGGCAAGATGCCAAAACGAGGATAATAATAGTAACAACAATAATAATTTTATTATTTATACCCCACCCATCTGGCTGGGTGTCCCAAGCCACTCTGGGCAACTTACAGAATATATAAAACATAATAAAGCAGCAAACATTAAAAGCTTCCCAATACAGGGCTGCCTTCAGATGTGTTCTAAAAGCTGTATAGTTCTTTATCTCCTTGACATATGAAGGGAGGGTGTTCCATAGGGAGGGTGCCACCACTGAGAAGGCCCTCTGCCTCGTTCCCTGATTCCTGGACTCTGCTCTTTAGCCATGCTGGCATCCTCTTGGCCCGGGTGGTATTTTTTCCTGAAGTGCAATATACATTATAGTTGAGAACTCCTTATTGTGATTTTGAATAACCCCTAAGTGTTCTGCAGGGTTTTTGCCTTTCACCTTCCTTTCTACCAGATCCCTCATTTTTGGGAAGTCCCTTTCTTTGAAGTCAAAGGTGACTACAATGAATTTACTTGGCAATTGTCCATTACATATATAAATTGAATTTGATAGCACTGTGGTCACTCTTCCCAATTAGTTCAGCAACACTTTCATCTCTAACCAGATCCTGGCTGTCACTTGAGATAAAACCCAGAGTTTATGTTCTTCTGGTCAATTCCATTACTAACTGAACTAGGACAGTCATTTAGTGTATCTATAAATGTTAGCTCTTTGCTGTGTTTCGAAGACATATGCAGCCAGTCTACAATATCTCCTCTTTGATTGCATTCTCCATCGAAAGCTCACTGTATATACAGTATCTGAAAGACTGGGGGGGATTCCTGGTCACGTCACATCCCGGCCAGCCAATTGGCTGGCTCTGGGGGCGTGTCCTGCCTTATTTAAACCAGGATGCGGCCGGGGATCTCCCTCTTTGCCGCCTACCAGCTGTTCCTGCTTTTCCCACCCTCCTGGCCTATAAGGTTTTCGTTCTTTGACCTTGCTATGGACCTTGGTTGGTCGCCATTGAGGGGCCTGGTAGGAATTTTTCCACTTGGCAAATTGGCACCAGCCACATGGTTTTCGCCTACCTCGTAGCAAATCGTCACAACTTTCTTGGTATTGGCGGTTAGGCATTGGTATTGCTCTGTAGTTGGAAGAGGGGAGGTAGCGCCATCACCTGCCCTGCATTTTGAAGGGAAGTCTGGTAAAGGATTCAGGGGGCGTGGCCCTGTCCGAAGCCTATGGAGGTGAGGGCCTAAGGCACGCCCCCTAGCGGTGACCCCGGGGGAGTTCCTAGTTGATGTGCATCAGCAGGACTCCCCCTACTGGTGGTTAACCCTTCCCGGACTTCAAGCGGATGGGCTGAAGTCGGATATAGTTGGTTAGGACCAGTGCCTATGCCAATACCGCTCATCACAAGTAACCAATAAAAGTTGTGGCCTGATTTAGCCCATTAACCTTAATAATTGTGTCATGTGTCATTATTTCCACTGGGGGGGGGGGGGACTCGCCACGCAATAGCAAAGATCTCTACACATCAGATCAATACTTTCTGCTCTACAAAATGCAAACTGACAAAGCCAGCCCAGAAATTCCCTGTCTGGCACAGCACTGCAGCTTGTGCTTTAATCCATATCCCAGTTAATCAAAATCTTAGACTTTGTTCATTCCTAGGGTTTGGAGAGGGGGTGTCCCTAAACCTTGTCAGACAAACAGATGGCACTGCTACCAACCAATATCGTTTTCTAAATATTACCTTAGGGAGGGGAGATGGCATTTTAACCTTAACAACATCCATTCTGGCTAGAAAATCCTGCATTCCTGGACTTTTTTTGTCTCCAAAAACATGACTGGGGGCTCATGCGCATTTCCACTTCCCTTCCACTTTCTGATAGGAAAACTTGCTCAACCACAGCAAACGGCAGTTGGGTTTCTGCAGATTTAGCACTAAAGAGTAGGTTTTCTGGGAGAAAGCGGTGGGACAAAGGCAAAGCAACTTGGACCTGTGCCTGGAAAACATTGGACAAGTTGGAAAACTGCCCAAGCCTGTGCTTTCTAGCAAGTGGAAGAAGCATGGACGAGCCCAGAGACTTATTCTAAGGACAACAGGATCAGAATGTTGGGGTGAAGAGGCAGTGAAACAACTCGCAACCAACAACATAAAGAAAACTCGCATGCTTGTACTTAGGCTTGACCAGCCTCGTGCTCTCCAGCAGTTTAGGACTACAAATCCCATGAGTCTCAGCTGGGAAGGCTGTGTCAATTGACGCTGATGGGAGCAGCAACCCAAAGCAACTGGAGTGGAGCCAGATTAGCCAACGCTGCTGTAACTAAAGCAGGAGTGGGAAATCTCAGGCAGGGGGCCAAATGGGGTGCTCCAAGCCTTAGTCACTGGCCCTCACTTGCTCCCAGCCACACCCGGTCTCCACAGACCATGCCCCATGTCATCCCTGCTTCCCAACATCCTTGGAGCTTTCACCTGGATGGAAGGTATCCTTGGACTCTGATAATGCCCCTCACTTGAGCGGTAGAGAGGGTTGGGGTGTAGAACCCAAGGCAAGCTTTAGAATTGTTGCTCCACCAACTTTTGCCCTGGACCCGCCCACCATGGGCAAGATTATTTGGAAGGGAATGTGGTCACTCCGGACAAAGAAGGTTCCCCACTCACCGACCCCTGAACTAATGTCCAAACCCATCCTAACTTCCTCTCTCCACAATTGGCCATTGAGTTTGCAGGCTCTGTAGACAGCTGCCTTCTGCTATGGATACTTTGAATTTTTCTGGGATTGTTGCATTGACGCCATTGCGATATTTTGGTAACGACCTTGGGATTTCTAAGGGAGGGTGGTGTAAAAATGTTTTAGTAAAATAAATGCTGCTAAGTCATGCTCCCTGCCTCCACACACAAATTGCCTCCATGCACAAATACACACAACTTAGATGAAGTCCTCCTCGTGACTTCCAGTTAGTTCTCGGCTTTCTGCCCAGGTTTCCCTGATGCCACAAATCATCCTCTCTCTTCCCTAACCCTGTATTGCAAGGGGTTGGACTAGATGGTCCTTCGGGTCCCTTCTGGCTTGACAATTCTTTGATTCCAGCTGTCCATTGCCGTTTCCTCCCCTTTCTCTTCCTGCTCGCCAAGTGCTGAGTTTCACACTGGCTTCTTCTGTTCTTGCACCTTTGCCAAAGCCAGCTGTGTGATGTCAGAACCCTGGGCACACCTGGTTTGTGACGTCATGGATTCCAGGAAAACATGGTGGAGGAATCAGCGCCCGGAGCTGGCAGAAGGATGAGCAGGTGGCTTCTCCTCATTCTGGCCCTCGCTGATTTCCGGCCCACCCATGCCGGAGACCCTACCTGCAAGTAAGTGCCAAAATGGACCAATGTAGCAAGGAGGTAGCACAGAGGCATCTCCCTCTGGATGTGGCCTCCATGGCAGTGGAGGCACCACTGAGCCCAAGTGGCCTTTTCCTCCCCAATCTATATCCCCTGCGGTCCACTCAGTGTGCTGACATCTACTAAGGAAATTCAAACCCTGTTCTTGGAGAGGACACAGGTGCTTGGCATCTTTTGCCTTTGACAGAAATGTTTGCAGATCCCTGGCATTTAGATCAACTGTGAGTTGCCCAGGTCACTAGGCAAAGTGAAATCTCCCACAGGTTTATTCTAGACTAAACAGGTATATTATACAATCATAAAACTGTGGAGTTGGAAAGGACCCCAAATGGTGTAGCATGGGGGGGCAGGCACAGGGGCAGCTGCCCTGGATGCAAAATTTGTTAAGGGCACAACATTTCAACACTCTGTGATGCTTCAGTACAGCTGTGTGCTTTTGTCACTGGGCTCAGCTGAAAACGGCTTCTCCATGTGAAGCAGGAAGCGATCTCTCCAGAATGACTCTTCGTATCTCTGCAGCTGTGATCTCCTGGGTGACACGCCTTACAGTTGTATGCACATGTGCACTCTGTCTGTTTCCTGCCCACCCCACCCCCTCTGTGTGGTCCCGGGTGATGGCAACCCATGCTATGCCACTGATCTAATCCAAGCCCTTGCAATGTAGGAACCACAGCTAAAGAATTCCGGGCAAAGGCTATCCGACCTCTGTTTACAAAGGAAGGAGAGTCCACCACCTTCTGAGCTTATCAGTTCTACTCTTGAGCAGCTCTCAAGAAAGCTCTTCCTAGTGTATAGTCAGAATCTCCTTTCTAGCAGTTTGAATCCATTGGTTCAGGTCCTCCCCATTGGAGCAACAGAAAATAAGCTTGCTCTGTCTTCCATGTGGCACTAAGCACCACAGTTTGGTGGCATTGCATTTTAAAAGAATACAACACACAGGACCCTCAGCAACTATCTATTGGGCATCAAAACAAGCAGGTAGCACATAGTGTGAAAAGCATAAGAAAGGAAGTAAATTCCTTGAGGGATGGAGCCTCCAATCTCCTTTCGGTTCTACAGTGGCAGCAATACATGTGCGGCTGAAAACTAATGGAAATGTTCCTTTCCAGGGGAGCCTGTGGAAGACGTCCGCTGGCGGTCAGTCAGTACTTGAGGAAGGCCATGAGTGGCACTGACGTCCTGCCAGGAACATGGCCCTGGCAAGTCAGCTTCCAGTACCCAAGCCAAGCTGGGCACTGGGTCCATTTCTGCGGAGGTTCGCTCATCAGCTCTCGCTGGGTCCTCAGTGCAGCCCACTGCTTGAAGATCAAGACGTAAGCCAAAGGAGCAGCTGCTCCTCGGGTAGGAGAACATGGCAGGGTCTACAAAGCAGGCAGCCTGGGGGCATCTCATGGAAGCAGAGTCCCATCTTCTGCCTCTGCCCAACATGGAGCATGAAGGTCTCTTTAGTTGTGATGAGTGAAAGCCACTGCTAGATCAGTCCTTGGGGGATCTGTCTCAGTTTTGACATTCTGAAAGCAAGCATCTTGTCTTTAGGGCTGCTAAAAGTGCAGTCCAACCAGGAAGAGTCCTCTCTCCTCCTGCAGCTTCCAGCAAATGGTTTTCAGAAGGATTGCAGCCTCCAACCGTGGAGACAGAGCAGAGCCATCATGTGCTTTAAATGTATGGCATTTATGCAGCCCTTAGAGTGACCCAGGAGATGACCTTGCCAGACAATGAGCTGGTTCCTTCTACCCTTTTACAAACCCCTCCCTTTCCCCTTTCTAGCCCCTTTAATCTGATGCCCCTTCCCACCTGGGTCACAAAAGATGTGAAAAAGGGTCCCTGGCCAGACAGCTGGACCAAACTCCTTGGCTCTGACTTGCCTCTCCATCTTATTCCTCCATCAGCTGAGCTCCAGGCCTTTCACGGGAGCATCCAGACTTCTTTGGGTAACCTTTGTGCGGTCCAAGAACCTTGTCCCACCAGCAATGAACCTATTCTTCCCTTCCAGATTGAGAAAAGTCTTTAAGGTGGTGGTTGGCATCACCAAGCTCTCACAGCCTGGTCCTGATGCCCAGCAGCGCCGGATAAAGAGGGTGGTGGACTACAAACTCTATGAGGACGACGAGTCGCTTCGCTACGGCCTCTCCGTGGTGGAGCTGGTGGAGCCGGTCCGCTGCAGCGACTACGTCCAGCCAGCCTGTTTGCCTGACGACAGCGTGGTACTTTCGATGCTCACTCATTGCTATATCAGTGGCTGGGGCGACATGGGTGAGGAAAGTGAGAGCCCCAGGACCTCCCCACGAAAGCAGCCCCCTGCGAGGACTGACCCCACCCTGGGAGATCAGAGTGCAAATATGTCCCATGCCTTCAAAGCCAAGAGTAACAAACACACAAGAATCACAACAATGGTTGTGAACAAATGTCTGGTCACAGAAGTTGGTGGACTCTCCTTCCTTGCTGAGGATGGGTGGCCTTCTATTCCCGCATCGCAGGGGGTTGGACTAGATGACCCAGGACCCTTCCAATTCTAGGATTCTAGGATTGGAATGCCCATTTCCTTCTTTCAGGAGCTGTGTTCAAATCCCAAAGTCTTACCATCCTCCACCCAGCCCATGATAGAAAAACACCGTATAACAAGACCATATGTCCCTTCACATATTTGGGGAAAACACTGCTGCTCATGGGAGGAGCTTCTGCTATCTTCTCTTCCCTCCTTGCTGCCTTGCTTGCACTGAGAAGGCCCTGGCCCTGGTGGAGGATAGTCTGACTTCCTTAGGGCCCGGGACCTCTAAACTATGGTTATTCGTGGACCTTAAGGTCCTCTGCGGGGCAGACCAGGAGACGCGGTCCCGTAAATATGCAGATGACCAAAAATAGCTTTAGCATGTATAATGAAACAAGAATCCACTATATCTGTTCAGACCAGGTCTCTCCATAGTTTTCAGTTTAGTAATAAGTTGTAATTCAGCAACTTCTCTTTCAAGTCTATTTCTGAAATTCTTTTGTAATAAGACAGCTGCTTTGAGATCCTGTACTGAATGTCCTGGGAGATTGAAGTGTTCTCCTACTGGCTTCTCTGTCTTGTGATTCCTGATGTCCATTTATCATTTGGCATAGGGTTTGGCCTGTTTGTCCAAGATAGAGAGCTAAAAGGCACTGCTGGCACTTGATGGCAGACACAATGTTAGAAGATGAGCAATTAAATAAGCCTAAAATGGTATATTTATGTTGTTGGGTCCAGTGATGGTGTTGTCTGGATGTCTGTGGCAGCAAAGTTGGCATTTGGGTTTATTGCAGGCTCTGGTACCAGTGTCCATGTTAAGTCTGGTTGCTGTATTGTTGTGGGTGAGGAGTTGTTTAAGATTGGGTGGCTGTCTGTAGGCAATGAAAGGTCTTCCTCCCAGACAATGACAGTTCTCTTTCTCAAGCTCTGGGAGGAAGACCTTATACTCAGAACAATCTTAGTTGGTCTCTAAGGACAAAAAAAAATCTATTTATTTCAGCTGCGTCAGACCAACATGGCTACCTACCTGAATTTATTTACTGCTTAGGTTTATATCCCAAGTTTTCTACAAGGAGCTCAAGGTGGCAAACATAGGTCTCCACCCCTTTTCATCATCAGGACCAGCCCTGTTAGGTAGGTTAGCCTGAGAGTGAGAGACAGCAAAATAAATATTGTTCCATAATCCTCAGGCTATCTCTGAGGGCTTGGAGGGCAGTCATCTCGACAGCTGCCTTTGCTACGTGGCATTGATCGAAGGGTCATAAATCAACATTCTCCGTAAATATCTCTCATTTAATTCCTGGATGCAACTGAACGCTTCTTCCTGCCTTCCACTCACAGAGCATAAAACATCTGGCATCCTGCAAGAATCAAAGGTGGAACTCCTTTCCCTAAAAAACTGCGGCAGCAAGAGCTGGTGGAAGCGGAAGGTGGCCGATGAGATCCTGTGTGCTGGATACGAGGAAGAAGGAGGCAACAGCCCCTGTGAGGTAGGCAAGGGCCAAAGCCTTCCAGGGCTACTGCTGGAGAGGAGAAGGGAGAACTGGATTTGCTGCCCCCTGAGGAGGCTACAGCTTGCACCTCTGAGCACTGACTTTGCACACTGGCTGAGCTGAGCAGGCATGGTGCAAGTGCGATACAGAGCCAGGCAGACTGCAATCGTGTAGCCTCCAAAATCCCGGTGATGAAAACCAGGAGATGCAAGCCCAACCTTCCTCTCCCCATCAAATGTCCCTCTTGCAGGAGCAGATTCATGCGTGCCCCACAACACAAACTCACACCCCTCCTGTTACGGAAAAATCTAGGTGCAAGGCTGCTCAGTCCCCCAGCTCATCGGGCAGAGCCCGCGGGTCCCTGCAGAATAAAGGAAGTAGTTCAGCCACCAGCAAATAGCTGTAGACCAAAGTTTATTGCGCAACAGGTTCAAGGAGGAATTTTGAACCCCGAGGATGGGGTGACAAGGACTTTTAAAAGTTTCCCACCATATCCCAGAATACAGTTCATACAGCATCATTGCTACATCACTGACATGTCACAAAACGGGAGGGGTAGACAGGGGTTACACTAGTTTAGCCTTGCCAAACATGTCCAGACAAGTCCTTGGTACAAGATTAGCATAAAGGCAAGAACCAGGTATAAGATTAGCATAGGGAAACACCTCTGAAGTCCCACCACCCAAAGTACAATAGAATTTCCTTTGCACGTCTGGCCCCTTGTCAAGTCTGGTGATGGGATTTGGCTTTCCGTGGCCAACAATCAACTCAGCAATTGTCACCTCTGGGCACTTCCTGGAGTCCTTTTTCAAGGGGAAAATAGCTTTGGAATGGAGGAAACTGGCAAAGGAGTTGATTTTATATTATTTTTAAAGGTAGGTAGCTTCCCTGAGCTGTCGTTGAAAAGATACATTCAGGCATAATATTTGTAACATTTAACATCTTGCAGGATGCCAGATATTTTAAAGATGTGCCCACCCCCGTAATTTCCGTAACACCGCCCAATCCAGACCACCACCCACAAGCCCATTTTCTTCATTCCCCTCTGCACCCGACTTTGCAGGACTGCTCGCCACCCCCCATGCCAAGTCCCCTTTGTCAATGCCACCAATCTGCCCACCCCATCCCTCCCCTTTCCCAGCTGCTGAGGACCCCATTCAGCTCCAGCCCCACCTTCCTCCTTCACTCTTCATCTCCCCCATCTTCCTCTCTAGTGAATGCTCCAGCCACCAGCCACCTCCCTCCCTTACAAATCACCCAATGCCCCACTTGAGCCGCCCGCCTCCCTCTCAGGAAGGCCATAGCTCAGCAGGAGAGCAAGCACCTGCCTTGCATGCAAATCCCAGGATCAGGCCCTGCTGGCATCTCCAGATCTAGCTGGGAGAGAGCCCTGCCTGGAGTCCTGGAGAGCCACTGCTGCCAGTCAGTGTCAAGAATATTCCGCTGGATGGAACGAATGATCTGACCCAGCTTTTCTCCATATTCCTAGTCCATCTTCTACAGACCCACAGCTCTCTATTGAGCTATGCTGAGGAACCAGCAGCTGCGTTTTGGTGGCGCTATCCTTCTCCAAAAGTGGCCGGCTGCTCCTTAGGGCTTCCTTTCCCCCGAATGCCCATCTGCCCACCTGCTGACCGCCTCCCGCCATCCTTTGTTCTCCCCACACACAGACCGACGTTGGTGCCCCGCTTATGTGCCGGGAAGCAAGGTCCGAGCGCTACTGGGTGATTGGCGTCGCCAGCTTGGGGGCGCCCATCTGCGGCCATGCAAAGCGGCCGGGCATCTACATCTCCACGCAGCACTACCTCCACTGGATTGAAAGGACCACCCGGGAGAGGCTCTCTGCGCCCAGCCGCCAACCACTCCTGGCACAGAGCCAGGCATCAGATGCAGCCACACCCAGCCCAAAGCAGGACCGTAGGGCTTTGCCCATGCCCACTGGCAGGCCTTGGCCCAGGCCCACAAGACTGCACGCAGCTCCCTGCACCAGGCCCACCCGGCAGAGTCCTCCAACACCACCTGGGTGGCTGAGACACACAAGGTTGCACCCCAAGAAGGGAAGGCCCCCAGGCCAGGCCAGGCCTAGTGCCAAGCCAAACCGGGGGGCATCACCTCCAGGCTATGGGGATTTTTACAGCTGGGATCAGGGGTACATTAACCCCAGGCCTCAAGCACAGCCACCAGTTCTGCTGCCAGGGCAGCTGCCGCCATGAGGGGAGCATGGCATAAAGTCAAAGCAGCCAGGACACCACTGATATGTATAATGTACCTATGAAGATATGTGAATGAAGGCAAATTGATGAGACTTTTTGGATTTTGGGAAGTGGGCACCAATGGGTTTTGTGCCATCGCTGGACCCAATAGGTTTTTGTGCTGTCGCCAGACCCAGATTTGTTGAAAAAAGACCCAATCCAGGACCATTATTTGCCGTTTGTTCTTTGTGTCCCCTTTCTTTGAGTGGTTTAAAATATCTGATGCAATTGCAGCGAGGTTTCTCTTTCAACTTTTTTTGCAAACCGTTGGCGTCTATACCCAGTTAGGGGGTGTCACATTTAAATCTCCCGCTCTGTGATCTAAGACACCATCCATCTACGCATGTCTCTTCCTGGAAAGCAAGGTTTCCATACAGCACAAATGTAAGAAGGGCTGCTGTTCCCCCCAGTGCTAGTCCTACTCAGAGGAAAGCTACTGAAATTAATGGGCCTAAGTCACGTTGGCACTGGGCAACAGAATCATAGAGCGGTAGAATTGGAAGGGATCCCCAGGGGTCATCTAGTCCAACCCCCTGCAGTGCAGGGATCTCAGCTAAAGCATCAGTGACAGATGGCAACCAAGTTTTATGGAAATTTATTCTTGATTAGTCCCCCTTCAGTGTCCAGCTGCGGTTTGCCAATAGAGCCAAATGCAGACTTGTTTTAGGAGCTGAATGAGGCCCACAGAAGGCCCACGTATCCCTGGTCGAGGGATCCCACACCTGCCCACTGGCTTATAGGATTCAGGACCAGCTTTCAGCAACAAAGATAAGCAGTGGGTCTTTCCCCCCACCCCATCCCCTTGACCTGTTGCACTGGGTAGATGAAGCAGGCAAGGAGTTTCTTTGGTGTAACCCCTTTGACCTCAGTGGAGTTTACTGGTGAACAGACGTAAGAACCTAAGAAGAGGCTGCTGGATCCGGCCCATGGCCCATCTGGTCCAGCATCCTGTTCTCACAGCGCATACCCCTCAACCGTCACACTTTGAGCAGGACGTCCCAGAATTACAAAAGCCCTTCCAGCTTCTGTTTGGATCCCAGGATGTCCCAATTTTCAGAAATTGCGCCTGGATGCTATTTTCAACAGACAAATCACAGCTATGTCTTCTAAAATTGTATAGTTACTTATCTCTTTGGCCCGGGGTGTGTGTGTCCCATAACTCCTTACCTTTCTCTGATGAAAAAAGGGACATCCTAAGGAAAAGCGGGACATTCCGGGATCAAATCAAAACCTGTGTCAGATCCTGTAAATCCAGGACTGTCCTTGGAAAATGGGGGTCCAAGAGGGTCCACTGTTGTACACAATTTGAGTGTGCATGGGTAATGCAGGGAGAAAGGGGCACATGGAACAGAAAGGAGCCCTTTGCACACACAACTTGTCTCTGGAACATAGGCTTTAGAGCACAGTGACAGTGCTTCTCTTTCTAGGACTATAATGGGTGCCTTGCCTTGGCACTCTGGCACTCTCATAGGCATGAGGAAGGAAACCCTGTGCTGCAAAGAATGGATGTTGCAGTTGGCCAACGCCTGCAGGGGTAAGCATGACAGGATGCCCACTCCATGGGGCAGAAAGTCGGGTGCAAGCCTTACTCTTTCCATGCTTCTGGGCACATAAACATTTTTCTCAAACGGAAGGGTTGTTCAAGAGAAGAGAAGAGAAGAGAAGAGAACTTGTGATGATGTCAGACTCTCCACCTGCTGATCTGACAGATCTTCCGTTTTGTGATGTCATGGATTCCAGGGAAACATGGAAGAAGCAGCAGCACCCGGAGCCGGCAGAAGGATGGGGTGGTGGCTCCTCCCTGTTCTGGCACTAGCTACTTTCTGCCCCACCGATGCCGAGGAAACCACCTGCGAGTAAGTGGGGGGAGAGGCCAGACATGGTGAGGAGGCAGGAGGGGGAATCCCATCCACCAACTCCTTCTGGATGTTGTCTTGAAGAGGACCATGGCTGACCCATGGCTGACCCATGGCTGCTCGCACTCCCCTTCATTGTGGTGGGTCAAAACTAGCATGTAAAGACAGAGTCTGTTCTCAGAGGGCATGTTCCTCCCTCTCTCAGAATACTAGAATCCATCTGGGTCACACAAGGAAGCGGAATGGGGGACCAGTCAGGGGGACAGACAAAAGGAAATATTTCTTTTCTAGAAAGAGGACAGAGGGAGGGTGGGAGAGAGAGGTAGAAAATAGCTTACTAATTTGGATTTGCTGAACAGTCCATTTTTGCCTTTGGCCCCACCCACCACTGAGATGTGGCCCTCAGAAGACAATGTGGCCCCTGGCCTGGAAAAAGTTCCCTCCTCCCTGGGAGTGATGGGCATTTGGGAGGCATCCAGAAGTGCAGCTGGACACCTCCAGTTTCATCCCTCTCTTCCCAAGATGGCCGAGAGGAGGGGCAAAGTGGGGGGAGGTGGTATATATGCAATGTCTCTGATCCTCTTTAGATGGCAATCTGTGTCTTGCTTTCCAGCGGAGTCTGCGGAAGGCGTCCCATGGCGGGCACCCATACCCTCCTCCGGATTGTGGGTGGCAGCAACGTTCTCCCTGGAACGTGGCCCTGGATGGTCAGCTTCCAAGTCGTTACACGGAAAGGATACGTCAGTTTCTGTGGAGGCTCCCTGATCAGCCCTCGATGGGTCCTCAGTGCAGCCCACTGCTTTCAGAAACCAAAGTAAGCAAAGGGTTCCCAAGAAGTGTTGTCATGGGGTCTGCAAACCTGGCACCCAGGGCGGGGGCATCTCATGGGAGCAGAGTCTCGCCTTCTGCCTTCAGAGGGGTGGCTGCTGTCAGCATCGCAGGGCGTCAAAACTCAGAGTCATCCTCTTAGGACAATGGAATCGGAAGCCCAGGAAAAGCCCTGCTGGATCAGAACTCAAGGTCCAGTTAGTCTATTGCAGGCATGTCCAACAGGTCAATCGCAATTGACTGATCTTGGTCGATCGTGGGCTGAAACAAAGCAGCCTCGAACAAAGCAGCAGCTGTTGCTGCTGCCACCATTCTCATGCAAGCCTGAGCTCCTCCTTCTCCAGCCGAGCCTTCTTCCTCCAAAGTCAGCTTGCCTCCCTTCCCCACCACCCGCTCTGCGCTTTAGGGGTGGGGGAGAAAGGGCTGCTTTGGAAGCGGGGAGAGAGAATGCCCTGTGTGCTTCTACTATCTCCTCTGATCCATGTAAAGTAATGTAAAAACACACTGTATTTTTCACTCTATAGGACGCACCGGACCATAGGACGCACCTTGTTTTAGAGGGGGAGAACAGGGGAAAAAAATCCTCCCCCTCTCTGCTCAACGCCCCTTCAGCGAAGCGGCAGGAGAAACAGAGCCCCTTCCATTTCTCCTCCTGCTTCGTTGAAGGGGAAAACTTTGCAGCGCCTCTCCAGCAAAGCGAAGCCTGGAGAGCAAGAGGGATTGCTGTGCACCGACCCCTCTCGCTCTCCAGGCTTCAGTGAAGGCAACCCGAAGCCTTCGGAGCGCAGCAGGAGTTTCCACTGCGCTCCGGAGACTTCAGGCGGCTTCAGCGAAAGTAACGTGAAGCCTCCGGAGCGTGGCAGGAGCACTCCCTCTTAGCTTCGGAGGCTTCACGTTGCTATCGCTGAAGCCAAGGAGCCTGCATTCACTCCATAAGACGCACACACATTTCCCATTAATTTTTGAAGGGGAAAAGGTGCGTCTTATAGAGCGGAACATACAGTAGTTTGACTTTTCTCACTTGTTTAGTTACTTGTCCATCTGGTAACTATTTGGGTCTGTCATTATGATATCCAAACATAACTACTGCATTTGTGAAATAGAGATTCATTCATTTATTTCTTTATTTCATAAACTTAAATGACTTTGGAGGGTGGTAAATCACTGCCAGTTTTTGATAGTGGATAGTAGATCACAACCGACTTGAAGCTGGACATGCCTGGTCCAGCGGTTCTCCTGCAAAACTTGAAAGGACAATGGGACTAAGCTGACCCCCTACTCTTTGATTCATGTTTCCGGGACTCATCCTATAGGTTCTTTCAACTATGAAGTGTTACTGAAGTTTTCAGTTTCAGGCCCACAAATCTGCAAACTGGACAGGCCTTTCTGGAGTTCTTTTGAGAAACTTTTGCTCCAGAATTTGCCACTCCAGAGTTTAACGAAAACAGCAGAGGTAGATGAAAAGTCAAATTTATTACACTTTAAAAAAGGAGAGTAATTGGCATATTTACTAGAGGTTTTAAACAGAATTAATGAATAGCAATGTTTGTAAGAATGCATGCGTTGGGGTAAAGTGTCCTGTAAAATGCAATATTTCATGAAAAGAGTGTACATAAGCAATTGGTTTGGGGGCAAATTGCTCTGCAAAAATGTGTACATTAAGAGAAATTTACAGTAAAACAATGATGAATTTTTATGAGGACTTTTTTTAAAAATGATGCGGAGAAGATTAGAAACATGGTAGGAACCAAAACCAACACCCTGTCAGGGAACTGACATCGGAGCGAGAGGCGAAGGGGAGGCTCCTAGATGATGCTGGAGAAGGACCCAGCAGCAGGGGGAGAAACAGCTCAGTTGAGGGGGAAGCATTTAAGGGCAACACCAGGGATAAAGGTGGGCAGATGGGGGAATCGGAGAGAGGGCTCCAGGACTCTTCACTGGAACTCAGTGAGGAGGGGACAGGTCCTCCGCTACCCACGCCCTCCCTGCGCAGAAGACTCCCGCGCAGTAAGAGGAGGAGGAGACTGGGTGTCAAACAACTTTTATGTTGGAAGAGGTTCAAGAAACGCCCACTGACGGATTCTGCCAGCGACTGAGGCAGTCACAATTAGAAAGGGCTGTGCAGTCAGAAAGGTTTAACAAGGCAAATTAGCCTAGAGAGGCACCAGTTTACGCACGAGTAACTCATACTCATCACAGCAATCCGTCAGTCCCTGAAAGTTGCTCGTGCGCAGCAGCAGGCAGGCAGCATCATGAGCAAACCCGGAGAAGCAAGCACCCAGGGGGGAGCAGCTGGAGGGCAAACGCTGGTGGAGAGGAACCGAGAGTTGGAGCAGCATGTGGCCATTCTGACAGCGCGGCTGGACGAAAGGCGGTCTCAAGATGCACAGGTCAGGCCCACCCCCATAGCAAGGAAGGTACCGGGACTGGTGCACAAATTTGGGGGGAAGCCGCAGGAATATAGTGCGTTTCGAACGGAAATAGAGTACACATTGGAACTGCAGCATGACGATTTTGAAGACGACGCGGCGCGGGTGGCATATATTGTGGGTCACCTGCAGGACGGGGCCAGGGAATGGGTCAGGCCCCTTATGGCTGTGAGGAGAACCTGAGCTTACAGGGTTAAACAGCTCAGAGTGTACGCTCTGCCTACTAGTGGGAGGGGGGAAATGCTACGTCAGTTCCGAGAGACTAAAGTCTTTGTTCTGTCTCTCTACTTTCGCTTTTGAGGAGAGAGGACGTGTTTTCGCAATGCTGTTCGCTGTGATAGATAATGGATAGTCTGCTGTAAATAAAACTGCTTTTAGCTGCTAAGATCCTGTGTGGACTTTATTTAAGCACACTGAAGAATGCACTGGAGTTTTTTTTGCAGCTTCCTCTAGCCGCTGTTGATCTCAACTCTGCTATGCTCAGATGTCGGACCATTGGAATGCAGAGGCCTGTGATGGGGGAAGCGTGCTGGACCTCACGCTTATCTGAGCAATAAATCAATTTATCTAACAGGTTATGGGGGCAGTAATTGCAATTAGAGGAAGCCTGCTTTGATGTGCTGTGTGCTTAAGAAGGCTGGAAACTGAGAAGCTGTTGTTTTTGCTGCCGGAAAGCAAAAGTCCTGTTTTGAGGCTTCGCCTGGGAGAAAGCAGGGAAGCTGGCTGCAAGCTGTGTGCTGCAAAGCTGGATGCAATGCTGTGTGCTGCAAAGAGCCACTGGAGGCCTCTCCTTTGAAGCTGGCTGGTACGCGTGAGTACTTCAAAGCCCCAATGGGAGCACTGGGGGAGGAGATGGCTGAGCTCCAGGACTTTTATGATGTCCCGTTTGAAAAGCTCACAACCCAGTCCTGGGATATCTGGGTTAGAAGAGTCAGGGGGTGGTTTTGGCCACAGGGTTCTGGGATATAGCCCAGAAGGAGCCGGCCCCACCCATGCCAGTTGCTGCTGAAGAAGGAGGAGCAGAACTGGAGGCTGCACTCCTGGAAGATAGAGAGCTGAGAATGCAAAGGGAGCTCTGCATGTTGAGAGCAAGCGTGGACGCTATGCTGTTGCCCCACCTGGAGGGCATTGAGTCGGCTCAGGCCGCCTGGCAGGTGCTGAGGAGTCTGTGTGAGAGCTCAGCAGGAGCCCAGGGCCGGGAGAAAGCCGAGAGCAGGGAGGAAGCCGAGAGCCCAGAGGGGGCTGCTGGCCATGTTCCTGAAGTTACAGCTGGGAGTAGCTGCTTTGTCTCCGAGGGGCCGTGTGATGTTGAGGCCTACAACCAGAGTGCTGGGGAGCGTGCAGGCCCAGGCTGTGCACCCAAAGGTGGGGGTGCTGGGAACAAAGGAATGGCTGAAGAGGGAGCTGTGAGAGCTGTTGCTACGCGTCGCCGCTGTTATCGCTGTGGCTCCCCTCCCATCTGGTGAGAGAATGTCCAGTGGAGGAACAGCCGAAGGCCGTCTCCCGTAGCAACCAGATAAAGAGCTCTTCTTCAAAGCGTGGGAAAGGCAAGCCGAAGGCAGCTGGCAGAGACACTGAACGTAAACATTTGGCTGCCTCTATGGCTGTAGTCAAGAGTTGTCAACAGGATGCTGTGCTAGCTTTTGTGGTCGACAGTGGAGCCTCTCATCACCTAGTGCCATCTGGTGGATTCCTGGAGAACTGCACCTCTGTAAAATCTGGGAAGACTGTCTGTTTAGCAGATGGGACTCGACACCCACTCACGCAGAGTGGCTCACTGTTTTGTTCTTTCTTGCAGGACTCAATCCAGGCTTTTGTTGTTCCAGGACTGTCCTGCGCGTTGCTGTCTGTCAGTGCACTTCTTGCTGAGAACTACAGAGTGTGTTTTGAGAACAATAAGTGTTCTATTTCTAAGAATGGACAGCACCTAGTCAGTGTTGAATGTAAAGACAGGTTGTTTGTGATAAATGCTTCTTTTGCAGGTCCAGATGACACGGATGACACGGAGGAGGCTCAAGCGCAGTGTGCCAATGTTCCAGTTCATGATGCGTGTCCCCATCTCTGGCACAGACGTATGGCACACGTGTCGTGGGGGTCGGTGAGAAGGATCCCAGAGTATACGCAAGGGTGCAAAATGAAATCATGTGCTAAGTTTCTAGATTGCAGAGCGTGCAAGTCCGCAAAGGTGAAAATGTGCACATACCCTAGGTCTGAGAGGGTGACCACTAGGGCTTTCAAATTAATTCATGCAGATTTGTGTGGACCGTTTTCTGTGAGCAGTTTGGGCGGAGCCAAATATTCGCTGGTTCTGATTGATGACCATACGAGGAATTCTTGGTGTTTTTTGCTTCAACGCAAAGATGAAGCTGCGCCGCTAATCAAAGACTGGATTGCGGCTGTGGAACTGCAGTTTTCCACACGGGTGCAAAACTTTCAGAGCGATCGCGGTGGGGAGTTCACCGGGTCTGCACTGCAAAGTTTCTTCCGCAAAAAGGGGATTCAACACAGGTTGACTTCTCCACACAGTCCCCAACAGAATGGGATCGCGGAACGCAGGAATAGGACTCTAGGGGAGATGTCCGCAGCGCTTTTGTTTGATGCCGGGCTCCCACAGCGCTTTTGGGGGGAGGCTTGGCGAACGGCCAACTTGGTTCTGAACAGGTCGTTCAATTCAGTGGTAGGTGACACACCGTATTTCTTGCTCCATGGCAAGAAACCGAAAGTGCACTACTTCCGCGTTTTTGGCTGTGAGGCTTGGGTCCTCATACCAAAGGCCAAACGCAAGAAAGGTGAACCCAGGTCCCAAAAGATGATTTTTTTGTGGGTATGAGCCAGGGACCAAGGGGTGGAGGTTTGCGTATCCGTCAGGGAATCAGTCCAGGATTCTGCTCAGCAACAGTGCTGAATTCTGTGAGCAGAGTGGCTGGGCAAGGATACATGGGAACCCTGACATCCTGTCAGAGAGTCTGCTTGACTCTGCTGATGAAGGAGAGGAAGAGGTTGAACCTGCTACTGAGGCTCAGAGTCCAGGCCCAGTGCAGGCAGAGGGGAGAACTTCTCCCAAGGCTGTGAAGAGTGAGCAACGCAGTGCTCCATCTTCCCCACAGGTTCGGCTGAGAAGTCCAGGAGGCGCAGTAAGTCAGAGGGGAGCTCTCTGATGCCAAGGACGTTCTGGCTGGCCCTAGTGGGTCAGAGGGGGTTCCTGAAGTAGTGCTGCGCCGTTCAACACGGACGACCAAGGGGAAACCTCCTGAAAGGTTTGCCGTCACTAGTGTGTGGGTCGGAATGGCACAGTGTGAACCCAAGAGTTTTGAGGATGTTCAGAAACTGCCTCAGGAAGAAGCCAGGAAATGGCATGAGGCGATGCAGAAGGAGATGAACTCAATGGAGTCTCTAGGTGTGTTCTCCCTCACGAAGTTGCCGGTGGGTGAAAAGGCAGTGGGTAGCCGCTGGGTTTACCGTCTTAAGCCCACAGCGACAGGAGAACCGCAGTATAAGGCCAGATTAGTGGCGAGAGGATTCACGCAGCAGAGGGGGTTGCATTATACGGAGATTTATGCGCCCACGTGTAGGAGTGAGTCTCTACGCTTGGTCTTGGCCATCGCTGCACAAAGAGGTTTGCTGGTGCATCACTTTGATGTGGATGTTGCTTACTTGAACTCAGACCTCCAGGAGGATCTGTACATGCTTCCTCCTCCTGGGTTTGAGGGCAATGAGCGAGGTACTGTGTGGAAACTTCACAAGTCAATTTACGGCCTGAAGCAGTCGGCCAGGAATTGGGACTTGTGCCTGAATGAAGCTTTGGAGAAGCTAGGTTTCAGGAAGAGTCTTGCTGACAGTTGCCTGTTCCTTAGAGGATCAGGAGACTCACAGGAACTGGTGTTGTTTTATGTTGATGACATCATCCATGTTGGAAAGGCAGACAAACAGGTGCAGAAGTTTGCCAAAGAGCTTGGGAAACGGTTTCAGCTCAAGGACCTGGGTGCAGTAAAGATCTACCTAGGCGTCCAGATAGCGAGAACTGAGGATGGTAGCTTCTTGCTAAGTCAGAAAGGCAAGATTGAGCAGTTGCTGGAGAAGTTCAGAATGTCCGATTGTGCAGGAGTTCGGACACCCATGGAGACGAACTTCGTGAAAGATAGCCAGCAAGCAGAAAGTGCTGAGTTTGAGAATGCTGAGCTCTTTCAGTCAGCTCTAGGTAGTCTGTTGTATCTGTCCCAATGGAGCAGACCAGACATTGCCTTTGCTACCAACCTGCTAAGTAGGGAAGCGTCAAAGCCCAGTGTGAGTGCTTGGCACGGTATCAAGCGGGTACTGCGTTACCTGCAGCATACCAAAGACTTCTGTCTTAAGCTGCCAGCTGAAGGTGAGGCGAAGCTCACATGCTATGCGGACAGTGACTGGGCGAATTCGCAGGACCGCAAGTCTGTGTCTGGGTTGGTGATAAAGTTTGGGAAGTCACTGGTTGGGTGGAAGTCCCGGAAGCAAAGTCTCATTGCGCTGTCTTCTACTGAGGCTGAATTCAGTGCACTGTCAGACTTGTGCCGAGAACTAGAGTTCTATAGATGCTTGGTGCAAGAGATCTATGGGGATTGTAGCTTGCCCATCACGGTTTGGGAAGACAATCAGCCTTGTTTGAAGTTGGCTGAATCTGCGCAATTTAAAGCGAGAACCAAGCATCTGGACATACGTTTCCAAAATGTGTGTCAGAGTGTTCAGTCAGGTGTGATACGACTGAAGTACTGTGCCAGTCACAGTAACCTGGCCGATGGATTTACCAAACCTTTAAGCTTCCAGCGTCATGGGGAGTTTTGTGGTGGTTTGGAGTTGGGGGTAAGTTCTGTACTTACTGTCCCCACAGTAGCGCAGAGCGAGAGGGGGTGTGAGGAGAACCTGAGCTTACAGGGTTAAACAGCTCAGAGTGTACGCTCTGCCTACTAGTGGGAGGGGGGAAATGCTACGTCAGTTCCGAGAGACTAAAGTCTTTGTTCTGTCTCTCTACTTTCGCTTTTGAGGAGAGAGGACGTGTTTTCGCAATGCTGTTCGCTGTGATAGATAATGGATAGTCTGCTGTAAATAAAACTGCTTTTAGCTGCTAAGATCCTGTGTGGACTTTATTTAAGCACACTGAAGAATGCACTGGAGTTTTTTGCAGCTTCCTCTAGCCGCTGTTGATCTCAACTCTGCTATGCTCAGATGTCGGACCATTGGAATGCAGAGGCCTGTGATGGGGGAAGCGTGCCGGACCTCACGCTTATCTGAGCAATAAATCAATTTATCTAACAATGGCGACGCAGAATGCTGCCATGCAGGACCTGAGGAAATTCTTCCGGGGAATGGACGCAATGTTTTCCAGTGATGTACAACAAAGTGTGACAAAGCGGGAACTGATGAACTGTAAACAGGGGAGCCAGTCAGTTAGGGACTACTGGTCGCGCTTTGCCATGATAGTTCACCGCCTCGGGTGGCAACTGGACTCCGAACCCATACAGATGTTATTCGAGGAGGGGTTGTCCCCAACGGTTAAGGATGAACTTTCCCGCGCACCCCGCCCACAGGGTATGGATCAGCTGACCAAGGCTGTGCTTGCGATTGGCGTGCGGCAGGAAGCGCGGGCCCAGGAGAGGCGGGAAGGGAGAGAGCAACGTTGCCATGACTATCGCATTCCTGAAATACCAAGGCAGCCTTCCCCGCCAGCAGAGCCAATGGAAATAGATGGGGCACGGGAAGTTTCAAGCGCCAGCGAAGGGCGCAAAAAGGAGGGAAAGGATTGGAAAACCTCCAAGAAGTGTTTCCTTTGCCAGCGGCCAGGACATGTTGCCAGAGCCTGCCCTCAAAGAAAGGCCTGGCAAGGAATGGTGGGAGCCGCAGGGGGTGAGGAGGAGGTGGTAAAGGAACAGGAACAGGGAAACGGGAACGCTTGGCTGCCAATCAAGGGGCACAGCAGCCAGGCCAGCCACCAGTAAAAGTGCCCCAACCAGACCCCCCCCAAGGCGGCAATAGCCATCGAAGTGGTGCTAGAACTCCCGAACAGGCACCCAGTCAAGGTGAAAGGGATGCTAGATTCAGGCAGCTCATGTAATTTCTTCAGCAAAGACTTTGCATTAGAGCACCAGCTCCACTTACTGCCTTTGGATTTTCCCTTGCAAGTGACCACCATTGATGGCAGGGAGCTTCTAGGAGGGGAAGTGACACACCAGACCCCACCAATGAGAATGAGGGTGTCCAGGCACTCGGAGACCATCGCCTTTCATGTCGCCTCACTAGCAGGGCCCCCAATAATATTAGGGATGAGCTGGCTAGCACAACATGATCCAGTGGTGGCGTGGCATCAGAGGACAGTCATCTTTGGGTCAGCTTACTGCCTGGAACACTGTCTAGGGGGGGAAGCCCCAAGAATGACCGTGGCCAGGGTGGCTGGGATGGCTGTGGAGCAGAAAGGGGAGGTGCCGCCGCAATACGCAGATCTGCGGGAGGTCTTCAGTGAGAAGGAGGCAGATAGACTGCCACCCCATAGGCCCTTTGACTATGGGGCCAGATCAACTTGCTTCCGGGGGCTCAGCTGCCAGTGGGTAAGCTGTATGCCATGTCTGACAGGGAGATGAAGGAGTTGCGAGAATTTATTGACAAGAACCTGAAAAGAGGCTTCATAAGAGAATCAACAGCGGTGGGGGGCAGTCCGGTGTTCTTTGTGGACAAAAAGGACACAAATAAACCCAGGCTCGTAGTGGACTATAGGGCTGTCAATTTGGTGTCAGAACCCGTGACCTTCCCAATGCCCAGGATTGACGACATTTTAACGCGAGTGAGGAAAGGCAAAATTTTTACCAAGCTGGACCTCAGGGGCGCATACAATTTGATCAGGATGAGGGAGGGGGACGAATGGAAGACCACAATGTTCACACCCCTAGGTGCCTTTGAGTACTTAGTTATGCCTTTTGGATTACAGTCGGGCTCCGCCTGTTTTCAAGCTTTCATGCACCACGTGTTGGGGTCTCTGCTGTACAAGAACTGCGTAGCCTTCTTGGACGACGTCTTAATTTATTCGGACAACGAGGAGCAACATGTTAGAGACATCAGGGAAGTGTTATAATGACTGCAGAAGCACCAGTTGTGGGTCAAGCTGGAAAAATGTCAGTTTCACGCCAGAGAAGTCGAGTTTCTGGGGTACAAGTTGTCTGACAAAGGCTTAGCGATGGACCCAAGCAAGGTGCAGGCAGTGCTGGAGTGGAAGGCTCCCAAAACATGGAAGGACGTACAGAGGTTCCTAGGGTTCAGCAACTTCTACAGGAATCATAGAATCATAGAATCATAGAATCATAGAGTTGGAAGAGACCACAAGGGCCATCGAGTCCAACCCCCTACCAAGCAGGAAACACCATCAGAGCACTCCTGACATATGGTTGTCAAGCCTCTGCTTAAAGACCTCCAAAGAAGGAGACTCCACCACACTCCTTGGCAGCAAATTCCACTGTCGAACAGCTCTTACTGTCAGGAAGTTCTTCCTAATGTTTAGGTGGAATCTTCTTTCTTGTAGTTTGGATCCATTGCTCCGTGTCCGCTTCTCTGGAGCAGCAGAAAACAACCTTTCTCCCTCCTCTATGTGACATCCTTTTATATATTTGAACATGGCTATCATATCTCCCCTTAACCTCCTCTTCTCCAGGCTAAACATGCCCAGCTCCCTTAGCCGTTCCTCATAAGGCATCGTTTCCAGGCCTTTGACCATTTTGGTTGCCCTCCTCTGGACACGTTCCAGTTTGTCAGTGTCCTTCTTGAACTGTGGTGCCCAGAACTGGACACAGTACTCCAGGTGAGGTCTGACCAGAGCAGAATACAGTGGCACTATTACTTCCCTTGATCTAGATGCTATACTCCTATTGATGCAGCCCAGAATTGCATTGGCTTTTTTAGCTGCCATGTCACACTGTTGGCTCATGTCAAGTTTGTGGTCAACCAAGACTCCTAGATCCTTCATCAAGAACTTCGCCCACTTGACAGTGCCCATCACGGATTGTCTCAGTAGCAAAAAGAAGTTTGTGTGGACAGAAGAGGCCCAGCAATCCTTTGAAAAACTGAAGAAGGCGTTCGCATCGGAAGAGCAACTCCTGCACGTAGATCTGGAGAAACCCCTGAGGCTAGAGACCGACGCGTCCGACAGAGCCGTAGGGGCGGTCCTTTTGCAGCCAGGGAGGGGCAAGCAGGAATGGAAACCGTGTGCCTTTTTCTCGAGAAAACTGAGCAAGTCGGAGCAAAACTATACAGTGTATGACCGCGAACTGCTGGCAATCTACGTGGCCTTTCGTCGTTGGCGTCATCTACTGATAGGGGCGCAACAACAGATCCAGGTTTGCACAGATCACAAGAACTTGGAGTACTGGAGAACCGCACGAGTACTCAACCAGAGACAGATTCGATGGGCACAGGAGTTCTCCAAGTTTTTCTTTGAAATCCGATACGTGCCCGGAGAGGAAAACGTAAGAGCAGACGCTCTCTCGCGTAAACCGGAGTACCTGGAAGGAGAGGGGCCGCCGGAGAAACGACACGTGATCCCCGAGGACCGATGGGTGTGTGGGGTAACTTTGGTGGGGAAACGAGAACTAGCCGGGCTGACCAGAAACGACGTGTTCGCGCAAACTAAAATCCGGGAACTACGAGACGGAAGAGGGACCCAAGAAGGGTTTGAGGAGAAGGAAGGGGTACTGTACTATAGGGGAGCGCTGTACGTACCGGGGGAGACCCTGAGGGGAAAGGTACTCAAACAACTCCACGACAACCCCACAGCAGGGCACTTTGGACAGCACAAAACCATGATGCTCGTGACCAGGCAGTTCTGGTGGCCCAGGGTGAGGGAGAATGTACAGGAATATGTACGGGGGTGCGACCGCTGCCAAAGGGCAAAGGGGGAGCGGGCTGCCCCCGCAGGATTACTGGAACCCTTACCCACGCCGGGGAAACCCTGGGAGGTGGTATCCATTGATTTTATGACAGATTTGCCCAAGTCCCAGGGAAAGACAGCGGTCATGGTAGTGGTCGACCTACTGACAAAAATGTGCCATTTTATAGCTTGCTCACATGCTGTAACGGCAGAGGAAACAGCCCGGTTGTTTGTGGAGCACATATTCCGGCTGCATGGCGCCCCCTTGAGGGTTATCTCCGACCGCGGAAAACAATTTACTTCCCGGTTCTGGAGGAAGCTCATGAGCTTGCTGCAGGTGGAGGTGGGTTTCTCGACGGCGAGACACCCAGAGACCAACGGGCAAGCAGAAAGAGCGAACAGTGTACTCCAGCAATACCTACGCTGCTACGTCAGCGAGAGGCAGAACGATTGGGTAGAAAAACTTGCCCTGGCTGAATTCGCGTACAACAACGCGGAACACGTGTCCACAGGAATGAGCCCATTCATGGCCAACCATGGGTGTCATCCCAGGGCCTTCCCGGGGAGTGTGGAGGAAAGCTGGAGCGTACCCGCTGCAGAGCAGTTTGTGGAAGAAATGGAGGCCCTGCACCAGCAACTTAAGATGAACTTGGAGCGGGCCAAGGAAACTTACAAGAGGCAGGCAGACAAGCACCGCAGGGAAGGGGAGACCATACGGGTGGGGGACCGGGTGTGGTTGTCCACCCAAGGGCTACCTTTCAAAGGGGGGTGCAAGAAGTTGCAGCCCAGACGGCTGACACCTTTTGAGGTAACACAGCAAGTTAATCCCGTGGCATTTAAGCTCAAGTTGCCTGATAGCGTGAAAATACACCCGGTTTTCCACAGGTCCCTGCTCTCACCGCATAGGGAAGGGCGGGAATTCCAGGGGCAAGAGGGAGAAGTCACCACACACCCGCAGGTAGAAGAAAGGGAACACCATCACAGGGCCACGGTAATACTGGACTCAAGGTGGCAAGGGCGCCGGGTGGAGTATTTGGTAGCGTGGGAGGGGGAACCCAGGTCCGAAAACACGTGGGTTCCCACGGAAGCCTTCGAGGACAGGTATCTGGTGGAGGTATTCCACCGCCGGTTCCCGGACAAACCCAAACCCCTGGAGAGATTATGGGAGGAGCAATTTGGAACCACAGATGATGAAGAGGTTTTTGAGGGATTTTCTGACTCCGAGGAGGAGGGAGGAGAGGTTTCGGAGGAAGAAGAATCAGACTGGGAGGACCACCCCTTTGGCAGGTGGAAGAGCGGGTGGGAAGCGGGTTTCGAATCCACAGAAGATGGTGACAGTGCCTTCCGGGGGTTCCCCGCCTCGTCGGCTGACGAAGGGGACAAAGTTGATCCCACAGGTCGGTCCAGGGGTGGAAGGGATTCTGGGGGGGGAGGTGGATGTCAGGGAACTGACATCGGAGCGAGAGGCGAAGGGGAGGCTCCTAGATGATGCTGGAGAAGGACCCAGCAGCAGGGGGAGAAACAGCTCAGTTGAGGGGGAAGCATTTAAGCGCAACACCAGGGATAAAGGTGGGCAGATGGGGGAATCGGAGAGAGGGGTCCAGGACTCTTCACTGGAACTTTTTTTTTGGGTTAAGAGAATGGATTACATTGGATAATACAGACATCCTTGACCTAGAGAGACATGATATAAAATTTGGCTGGCATTCATGCCTCCGGTATGGGAAGGCAAAAATTTACAAAAGTTTTATGAACCATATTCTAAGGAAGAATCTGTATAGAGTTTTGGAGAAACACAAAAATTTGCTGGAAAGGAAAACACCTTTATGGTTATCTCCAATTAAGGCTATCACAATTAAGAGAGTTAAAAAGGGTAGACAATGGGCTACATATAGGGAATTGCTGTACTTTACAGAGGGGGGGGGCGGACCCAAATTCAATGGACAGTGTAAGGAGTCATGTTACAGGTTGGGTACATGTCAGGGAACTGACATCGGAGCGGGAGGCGAAGGGGAGGCTCCTAGATGATGCTGGAGAAGGACCCAGCAGCAGGGGGAGAAGCAGCTCAGTGGAGGGGGAAGCATTTAAGCGCAACACCAGGAATAAAGGTGGGCAGATGGGGGAATCGGAGAGAGGGCTCCAGGACTCTTCACTGGAACTCAGTGAGGAGGGGACAGGTCCTCCGCTACCCACGCCCTCCCTGCGCAGAAGGCTCCCGCGCGGTGAGAGGAGGAGGAGACTGGGTGTCAAACAACTCTTATGTTGGAAGAGATTCAAGAAACGCCCACTGACGGATTCTGCCAGTGACTGAGGCAGTCATGATTAGAAAGGGCTGTGCAGTCAGAAAGGTTTAACAAGGCAAATTAGCCTAGAGAGGCACCAGTTTACGCACGAGTAACTCATACTCATCACACACCCCAAATGTAATTTCCAAAGATTTCACTCCACCCCTTCAGCAAAGTCATGGATCAAACCAACTCTTCATCGCTCCACTCATAACGTCGCCCCAGTTTGATCAGGGACCACCAATGAGTAAGTTGATTGTGTTTGGTTTTCCAGATCCACCTGGTGGCATTATGCGAGAAGGGAGATGTGCAGGTCAGAACCAAATTGGGGAAGGGGAATGAGGCAAGGGAGGTGAGGCCTGCCTGCTCCCCTCTCTCCTCAGACCCAGCTGTGCTCCCTGTACTCCAACATCCAGTCAACTTCGGCTGACCTTCATTTTGTTCAGGAGCACAGTCCCCCACCCTGTGCGTATTCTTTGTTCCAGGGACATACCATGGATAAGACTGTCGATTGGTGCCAACCGCATCTCCAGCCCCGGTCCCGATGCCCAGAGGCGCTCGATCAAGAGGCTGGTGAACCACAAGCTCTACAGGCGTGATTCCGGCAACAAAATACACAACGACATTTCCTTGGTGGAGCTGAATGAGCCAGTCAACTGCACGGACTATATTCAACCAGCCTGCTTGCCGGATGACAGCGTGGTGGTTTCCTTGCTCAAGCACTGCTATGTCAGCGGTTTTGGAACCATGGACCCGAAAAGTGAGATCTGCAGGGAAACCAGGCCCCCAGAAGGAGTGGCCTGGCTGTGTGCCTAAAGTAAATTTGCAGACCACACCTTCCCTGCCGATCAGTTTCGCCAAAGAAACATAATAGCAATGGTAGTCAGGGTGGAAAATTCAACTCCTGCGTTGTAGGGGGTTGTGCTGGATGCCCCTTGGGGGTCCCTTCCCATTCTAGGATTCTAAGTTGGTAGTTACACTTGGGTTGTGTACATCAGAAGCCCTGAGTCTTAGGGGTGAGGCAGGTGTGTGTGTGTTTCACAGGGCAGAAAAGGATGGAGATGGTTGGTTTTGAGAGCCATTCCACTTCACGGCTTCTGGGCAGATCACCTTCTCCAGACATAGATGCTTGCCCCCAGAACTCAGCTCAGTAATGATGGCTTTGCACGCAGAAAATTGAGTTTCAATCTCTAGGTAGGGCTGGTGGAAACTCCTGTCTACCTCTGCTGTCGCTCAGTGTACACAATACTAGGACAGATGGAGAGATAGGGAGGGAGGGATGTGGTTTCAGGAGGAAACGGAGAGTTTTGGGGTCTCTAAGGGCCCCTAGAAACCAGGAGCTCACCCTACACTGCAGCCTGACGTACCCTTGTCTCTGATCTCACCCCCAGTCCATCAACTAGGTTTTTTTGGGGGGGTGATATTGCTGCACCTGCCTTCATGTCTCTCTCCATTAGTCCTGGGGGTGCAAGTTGTGTGGAGAGTGAAATCTGAACTGAGACTCCCCCTTCCCCTACTTTCCCTTTCTGCTCTCAGCGGGGGAAAAGCCCGATATCATGCTGGAAGGTTCTGTTGACATCATCCCCACGGCGACTTGCAGCAGCCCAGTCTGGTGGTCCAAGCTGATCCTCGAGGAGAACATCTGCGCTGGACGCTTGGAAGGAGGCGTAGCTACTTGCAAGGTGGGTGAAGCTATGACAAAACCAAGGCTACGGGTTTGGCTTGGGAGAGAAACCTTCCGGTGCTCCTGGAACAGCAGAGCACTTGCTCTGAACATGCAAAACTTCCCTGCAATTCAGCCTCCAGCATCACAGGCATCAGCCGTGAGAGAAGGAAAAGGCCACTCCAAGGACAAATCTTTGGAGAGCTGCAACTGGCATGAGCAGAAAATGCAGGGCGAGATTCACCAGAGGAAAACTTGGCATAACCCCTTTGCCTTCAGCATCCCTCCAAGCTCTGCTCAAGAGGTCGCCACCCTTAGCATCTGGACTCAGAAGGCGTCACAACCCAACTAGGGGCCGTTGCCTCACTGGTGGATATGAGTCCTTTAATGCCCAAACCACCAAAAAGGTCAGCTCAATTTTACGTTAGATATGTTAGTTTCTGTTTGCCACTGTGCAGCTGCTCTGTTTACATTCCAGAGGCTCTGTTTACATTCCAGAGACAGTCCAGGCTGTTGGACGTCTCACGGGAGACGGGATGTGACTTTAGTGGTTTCCTGTTCCTTTGTTCCTTTGTTTGAGTTGCTCTCTACTCTCACAGAGAGAGGATGTATTTTTCTTTGCTCTCTGCGTAGCTTAGTAATAGAGCACAGCATGTAGCCATAAATCTCATCACTTCTGTATGCTGCTGGAATCTCTGCTGGATGCAAATGTGCCTGAGGCCTCCTCAAAGGCTCAGGTCGTTAATTATTCGTCAGGAGGAAAATGAGCTTTATCAGCTTGGCCAAGCGGAGATCCCGACAAGATATTTGCCAAAAGAGAAAATCCCACAGTGGAAGGGTGTCACCAACAGTGGCCACATTTCTGGAGATACTGCAAGAGACTGACGGTGGTGTTTTAGTGGTGAGCATAGCTGCACTCCAAACAGCTGACCTTGGTTTGGTTTTCGGCAGACACAAAAAGCCCTTCTTTTTCCTGGTTGGTTCGATGTGGTGCTGAGAAATCTAAGGTTGCTGGTTCGATCCCCATATGGGACAGCTCCAAAGAGTTGGACTAGAGAAGGGGTAGGCAACCTAAGGCCCGGGGGCCGGATGCGGCCCAATCGCCTTCTCAATTCAGCCCACGGACGGTCCAGCAATCAGCATGTTTTTACATGAGTAGAATGTGTGCTTTATTTAAAATGCATCTCTGGGTTATTTGTGGGTCATAGGAATTTGTTCATTTTTATTTTAATATAGTCTGGCCCACCACATGGTCTGAGGGACGGTGGACCAGCCCATGGCTGAAAAAGGTAGCTGACCCCTGGACTAAATGATTCTCAGGGACCCTTCCATCTCTGCGATTCTATGACCCTCAATATGCAGAGCAGGGGCTCTGTTTCTGAGCTACAGCCTTCCCTTAGATTAGATGAGCTTCCTTGGAAGTTCACTTAGGCCAACCATCGGCTCAATGGATGGTCCAGGGTGCAGGATGCAACTCTGTGATGCTTCCAGCTCTTTGATTTTGCAGCTCCCAACACCTTCCAAAGCACCAGTCCTTACACATTGCTTCATCCTGCCAACAGCAACAGATTATTTGCACAAGCGAAAGTGCTGTTACAGGTCCAACACCACAGCCGGAGTTTTCATATGACATCTTCACAAACCTTTCCTCTTACAAAGCTACACTTCTGAACCATCTGGCTGTCAGCACGCTCCTCCTCACAGGAGCCTTTTCTCTCCCGCTTGCAGGGCGACAGCGGTGGCCCCCTCATGTGCCGGGAGCAAAGGTCCGAACGCTACTGGTTGGTTGGAATCACCAGCTGGGGACCGTCCTTCTGCGGCCAGGAAAAGAGGCCAGGGGTCTACACCTCCACACAGTTCTACCTCGACTGGATCAGGAAGACGACCAAGGAGGACTTTTCCCTACCCAGCCACACACCGCTAATGGCAGTGCCCCAGGCTACGCCACGGCCGTACCCACCTCCAAGGCCACAGCCCCAACCGGGACAAAATGGGAATTTGCTATATCCCAGGCCCCCTCCAGCAGCCTGGTACACGAACAGGCCTTGGCCACCCCCCAAGACCCGCCCTCAGCGTGGTCCTACGCTCTGGTATACGAACAGACCTAACTCCCGCCGTACACGGTATAGGCGGCCAGTAAGGTGGCGTCTGAGGACAAGGGCCCCAGCTTTGCACGCACACATTTACAGGCCGTGGGTCATGATTCACACACCCCCACCATGGATTGAGTTCCAGGCGCAGGAGCCACCCGGGAGCCAAGTTTCTTACAATGGAAATGGTCCCTAGCTCAGCCGCTGGAAGAGTAGAAGTCGAGGGCTGATAAGGACTGCTAGGCTTGGGTGGCAATGCCAGGGGTGCCCATGGGCATGGTGGGTGGGCTGCCCCTGACAGATCTCAGAGCCCACAACCCGTCCTTTGCTGGTCCTGGCTTGAATATGAAGTTGCATCCAAATGGGGACTTAATGCTGCAAACAGCTTGTTGGTGACACTTTTTAACAAAATCAAAATATCAATGTTCTCAAAATGAATAAAACCACGAATGAATGGACAAACAGGTGAGTGTTGGTGTGCTGCTTTTCGCAACCCAAAGCAACAGCTCTCCTGAAACATGCTTGGGAGGCTGTAAGGTGAATTATTTGTGTCACTTGCTGTCATCTACTTCTGCTATTTCAGCTGCAGATCCAGGCTGTTCCCAGGGTGCTGCAATGCTCTATTGGCTAAGCCAGGCCTACCTGCACCAGGTGAAAGGGATTCCTGAAGCCATGGTGCTCCCTGGAGTTGCAGCCAAACCTCATTTTCCAGCCACAGGTGCATGCTTGAAAGCTCCAGGTCCAAACAGTTTTGTTTCTCTCCCAGCTCCTTCCCGGGCAAAATCTGCATTTGACCACTGAATTGGAGGCAATTGTTTCCACCAATTCAACGGTAAAATGAGGGAGAACCAGGACAAAAACCCCTGCTTGGACACGGAGCTTTAAAGCCCGACCGTAACGCATCGCCAAAGGAAGTCAGGAGGTGGCCTGAATACCCTTGAGCCAGTCACTGCCCCTCAGCTTAAGCCTACTTCAAAAGGCTGTTTTGTGGGTTAAGGGTGGAAAGGGAGAATCATGTCTGCCACCATGAGCAACATGGGGGTAGGCGGGAGTGGGATAAAAATGCAATAAATAAAGATATTGTTATGTTCTGAGCTTGGATCCTAGAGCAATAGGCAGGTAGGGTATGTGAGATAAGAAATGAGTCTCGTGCGCTTCTGCTGCCACTCAGCTTGCAGGACTTGTAGCAGAGTAAACACAGCGTACGCTCTTGTGTGCAAGCATGCAGGAAAAAAGAGTCTGCACGCGGCTTCTCCTCTAATCTAAGAAGCTTTATTTATGTACAGCAGCAATAAATCAGAATCTCCGGAAACGGCATCATGTCTCCCTTCGTCTCAGTCAAAACCGAAAGCAGACTAAACATAGAACAAAGAACAGATCCCCAGATGGAGACCACACACACCCCAGTGGGCAGGACGCAGACTCTGAGCTGTTTAACCCTGTAAGCTCCTCACACCCCCTCTCGTCCTGCACAGCTGGGGGCATGTAAGCATACCACTTACCCCAAAAGCAACCCTGCACAGAACTCACTCTGTCTCTGGAAGCTCAAAGGTTTAGTAAACCCATCTGCCACATTCTGCTGGCTTGGACAGTACTTCAGATTCACCAAGCCTGTCTGGACACTCTGACACACATTTTGGAAACGTATGTCCAAATGTTTGGTTCTGGACTTGAACTGTCCAGACTCTGCCAACTTCAGACAGGGTTGATTGTCTTCCCAAACAGTGGTGGGCTAACAACACTCCCCACAGATTTCTTGGACCAAACAAGTGTAAAACTCTAGTTCCCTACAAAGCTCTGACAAGGCACTGAACTCAGCTTCTGTAGAGGAAAGCACAATGAGACTTTGCTTTCAGGACTTCCACCCAACTAGAGATTCCCCAAACTTTATTACCATCCCAGACACGGACTTCCTGTCTTCCAGATTCGCCCAATCACTGTCAGTCCAGCAGGTGAGCTGTGCTTCACCCTCAGCTGACAGTTCGAGACAGAAATCTTTGGTATCCTGCAGGTAACGCAGGTAACCCTCTTGATACCATTCCAGGCACTCACATTTGGCTTTGTAGCCTCCCTGCTGAGCAGATTGGTAGCAAATGCTATGTCAGGTCTGCTCCACTGGGAGAGATACAACAGACTACCCAGAGCTGACTGAAAGATCTCAGCGTTTTCGAACTCAGCACATTCCCCAAGCTGACTGTCTTTCATGTAGCTCATCTCCATGGGTGTTCTGACCCCTGCACATTCAGACATTCTGAACTTCTCAAGCAACTGCTCAATCTTGCCTTTCTGACTGAGCAAGAAGCTTCCATCCTGGTTTGTATCAAACTGGACACCTAGGTAAATTTTCACTGGACTAGGTTTTTGAGTCGAAAATGTTTTCCAAGCTCTTTGGCAAAACCTTGAACCTGCTTCTTGGTCCTGGCTACGTAGATTATATCACCCACAAACACCGAAACTAGCTCCTGTGACTCTCCTGACCCCTTCAGGTACAGGCAGCGATCAGCAAGACTCCTCTTGAAACCCATGCTCTGCAAGGCTTCGTTCAGACTCAAGTTCCAGTTCCCGGCCGATTGTTTCAGACCATAAATGGACTTGTGGAAACCTCTGGCTACTAGTCTAGCCTTGTACTGTGGTTCTCCAGTTGCCGTGGGTTTAAGATGGTAAACCCAACGACTGCTCATGGCCTGCTTGCCTGCTGGCAGCGTCATGATGGAGAACATGCCTAGAGACTCCATTGAGCTCAGCTCTTTCTTCATTGCCACTTGCCATTTTCTGGCTCAGGCAATTTCTGAACTTCCTCAAAGCTCTCTGGTTCACATTGAGCCAGACCAACCCACACGCTAGTGACCTCAAACCTTTCGGGTGGTTTTCCCTTTGTAGTGCAAGCTGACCGCCTGAGCGCTACTTCAGGTACCCCCTCTGACCCACTAGGGCCAGCTAGAGCGTCCTTGCCCACAGAGGACTCCCCCTCTTACTGCATCTTCTGGACTTCTCAACTGGACCTGTGGGTGATGAAGGTGCACTCCTTTGCACTAGCTTAACAGCTTTAGGAGATGCCCTTTCCTGTTCTTGCCCTTGGTCAGGGATCTGATCCTCAGCTGCAGGATCAGTTTCAGCTTCTTCCTCCTCAGCAGAGTCAAGCAGACTTTCTGAGAGGATGTCAGGATTCCCATGGATATGTGTCCATCCACTTTGCTCACAGAACTCAGCACTCCTGCTAACTAGAATCCTAGACTGATTACCTTCGGGATAGGCAAACCTCCACCCCTTGGTCCCTGGCTCATACCCACAAAAGATCATTCTTTGGGGAGCCACCCTTTCTACGCTTGGCCTTTGGTACAAGGACCAAAGCCTCGCACCCAAACACACAAAAGAAATGCACCTTGGGCTTCTTACTATGCAGCAGAAAATAGGGCGTGTCCCCTACTACAGAACTGTACGAGCGGTTCAAAGTGAAAGATGCAGCCTTCCATGCTTCTGCCCAAAAGCGCTGAGGCAACCCTGTGTCAAAAAGCATGGCTTCTGTTGCCTCCTGCAGCGTGCGGTTCCGACATTCTGTCACCCCATTCTCCTGAGGAGAATGCATGACTGTCAACCTGTAGCATATCCCTTTCCGGCGGAAGAAGTTCTGCAGCGCAGACTGGGGGAACTCCCCACCACGATCTGATTGAAATCTCCTGACCTGCAGTGAGAACTGTAGTTCAACTGCAGTGATCCAGTCTTTCACCAAGGCAACAGCCTCTCCCTGTGCTTCAGGGAGAACAACCACCCATTTTGGGAAGAAATCATCCACCAGAGATAACACAAATTTTGCCCCACCCAGACTGGCAACTTGCATAGGGCCGCAAAGGTCTGCATGAACTAGCTCAAAAGGTTTTGTGGTTACCCTGTCAGACCTAGGATAAGTGCACATTTGAACCTTAGCTTTCTTGCAGGCCCTGCAATCCAGGTATTTGGCACATGCCTTCATCTTGCATCCCTCAGTGCAACTTGGGATCTTCTTCACATACCCCCAGTTAACGTGTGACAGTCTCCTGTGCCACCCATCGTGGATGGGAATGTTAGCACACTGTGCTTGTGCTGGCTCAGTGGGACCTTTACCTGCAATAGACGTTTCCAGAACAAACAGCCTGTTTTTGCACTCAACACTGACCAGTTGTTGCCCACCTCTGGAAATGGAACACACATTATTTTCAAAACACACTTTGTAGCCATCATTGACAAGAGAAGAAACAGACAGCAAACAGCACTGCATCTCTGGCATGACGTGGGCCTCAATCTCCGCCTGTAAAAAAAGAAGCGAAAACAGAGCCTGAAACAGTTAGTTTACGCTTGAAACCATCTACAAGAGTCACACTTTTTCCTGTCATCACAGCCCTGCAGTTCCTCAGAAGACCAGCAGAGGGCATCAGATAGTGACTGGCACCATTGTCAATCACCCAGCTCAGCACTTGGCCTTGATCGCAGCTTTTCACTGTTGCCATAGAAGCGGCCAGGTGGTGGTGTGACGATATGTCTCTGTCGGTTCTCTTGGGGCCTCTCTGAGCCTTCCCATGCTTGGCAGCACCTCTAATCTGGTTGCCCTGGGAAACGGCCTTGGAGGCTTCCTGTGGCTCCACTGGACACTGTCTAACCAGATGGGAATCAGAGCCACAATGAAAACAATGACAAGGTGAAAAAAAACTTTCACTGTTTCTTCACTTCTCCCTGCACCCCCCCCCCCCACACCTGGTTGCAGGACAGCCCTCCATCTTTCTGCCAGCATTGTTCCTCATCACACAGCCTACCCGAGATAAACTCTAACATCAGCTGCCCCACTGGCATGGTCTCCAAGGTCTAACACAAATTCTCATAGCTTTTATCCAATGAGCTCAGAAGAATGTAAACTTTTAATTCTTCAGGGAAGGCCACATTGAGCTGCCACAGTTTACTGAACGCAGCCAGCATACCCGTAATGTGGTCTCTAACAGGTTCGCTAGGACGTAGTTTCATCTCAAAAAGAGTCCTTGTCACATGAATCTTGGCCCCTGCTGTAGTGCGTAGGTGCACTCTCTCCAGAGCCTGCCAGATTGCCTGTGAAGTCCCTAGCCCATCAACATGGGGCAATTGGGAAGAGTCCAAACTGAGCACCAGTAGACCCATCATTCTCTGGTCTCTCCTCAATGCAGCAGTGGCTGTTACTCTTGCAGCTGCAGCTGCACCAGCTGGTGCAGGGACTGGGGCATTCTGTGTACAGTTCCAGAGCCCCTTGCCTGTAAGCCAGGCCCTGACTCTTCGGGACCAATTGTGCTGGGGAGGTTACCGTGGGGCAAGGTCCAGGACCTGAGTCAAGGGTCGGCAGACAGTCCTCCACGGGCGAAGCGGGGTCCAGGGCGAGGAGCAGGGCAAGGACAGGAATTCTTGAGGAACAGGAGAGGGTGCTGGCCGAAACAGCTCTTCAACGATGTTGCTCCCGCCACCTGGGACCAGGCTGACTCGCCTTTATCTTCTCTGAGGCCAGGGGCGGTCCCGGCCCCCAGGAGACCCGCCTCTCCTGGCCTTAAGGCGAGCACTCCTCCTGGGAGAAACCAGTTCCCTCCGCCTCTGTGCCCTGAGCCTCTGCAGCTCAGGAGAGGCTGGAGAGTTACTGGACCCAGGGGGAGACTCACCTTCCCCTGACAGGGCTGGGAGAGGCGCACCTGTAGGCACTGTGCCTTCAATCACCTCCGGAGCCAGAGAGGATTCACCTGGTGCCTGCTCCTGAGGATCCGGCACAGGTGCAGGTGCTTCAGAATCAAGGCCCTGCCCCAGTTCATCCGGCCCTGGAGGCGGAGACTCCTGTGCAGGCTGGGGTTCCTCCGGTTCAGCCTCTGAATCGGATTCCCAGGCCATCACACCAATCTTCCCAGTTGTGCCCATTGAGCCCCTCAAATGGGACATTGAAGGTCTCTTGAGCCTCTGCCTTCTTCTCCCCCGGAGCTTAGCCTACTCATGCTCCTGCCAGCCAGTCCTTGAAGAGGCGATCTCCAGCAAGGTCCTTCTTCACCAGCGAGTTTCACTGCCTTGCGTTAAGCACACAGCATGGCAGGATCTCTAGCTGGACTTCTCTGCAGCTCTTCACACACAGACACAGCACAGGCATGACTGAAAACCTCCATAACCTGGAAGGTTAGCCCCCATAACCTGTGAGATAAAGAATGAATCCAGTGCACTTCTGCTGCCACTCAGCTTGCCAGACTTGTAGCAGAGTAAACGCAGCATGTGCCCTTGTGTGCGCATGCAGGAAATAGGAGTCTGTACGCAGCTTCTCCTCCCCGTCCCTTTAAACCACTATACAACACGGACACTGAATGTATGAATGAAGTTTGTATCTGCATACTACCGGCTGCCGCCCAATCAGGAGAGCTCAATTTTGACAGCTAGCCAATGGTGGGTATCGAACAGCAGCCCCTAGCGGCAAGAAGCTCAACCGGCAGGGAGCTTCTTTTACCATGCCTTTGCAAAATTGTCCAGCTCAGCTCTGCAAAACTGTTCAGCTTCATTAAGCCCCCTGCCGAGCTAACGATGGGTTCAATGTATTAAAAGGTTATTAATTGGTTTCAATCACTCAAAGGTTGTTACAATGTATATCTGCTGCTATCAAACCACCGTAGCTTTTATTTAGCAGCTTGGAAAAAAGGACTGAGCTTTGGAAATTCATATGAAATCCATTTCTTAGCCAATTCCTTTAATTCCAATGCTGTTTTCCTCCATGTAGAAAGCATTTTCACCCCTTCACCCACTACCATTACCCGAGGGATTGGAAGTCACGTTGGCAGAGAGGCTTGAACTGTCCGCCATAACCCTCAAGCCTGAGATCACATACACATTGCCCCAACCTCGAGAGAACACCCCAGGGTGACATTAGCAAGGTTATCAGGCTTGCCTAAGTATCAGGCTGCACATCTCTGGACTAGCCCATGGACAAAGATGTTTCCCAAGTGCCATTGTTCTCTTGGTGATGGGTACTTAAGAGGTGTTTAGAACATGCTTGTCTATGCTAACCTTGTACTTGAGGACTTGACCTGACATGTCTGTTTATGTTAATCATATATAACCCTTCACCTTTTGACATTTTATTGATGTAAAAATGACGTTTTAGTGACACTGTATGCAATGTCATATGGGGAACCGTGGGAAGTTTTAAAAGTGAATGTCACCCCATGCTCAGGGTTCTTACTGACCTTTGAACCTGTTGCGCAACAAATAAATATCTCTGTCTACTGACGGCAATTTCGCTCCGGTTTGTGGCTGGAATCTCCTTCCTTTCTGACCGGGAGCACCCGTGGACTCTACCCGACGAGCTGGGGTGTTGAGTAACTTCACAACCCGGAATTTTCCCTTTCAGTTTCGATGTTCTGACCGCATATTTATCTACACATTTCCATTCTTTCTTAAGTTTTTGATTAGATTGTAATCTAATTGCTGCCGTCATTCTTGCTAGTTCAATAAATTCAGAAAATTTAAATTGCCAATCTGCCACTGATGGTACTTCCTCTCCTTTCTAGTTTTTGGCAACAAATATCCTGGCAACAGCTGTTATTGGCAAAAAGTGGAGGATGCCCACTCCATGGGGCAGAAAGTCGGGTGCAAGCCTTACTCTTTCCATGCTTCTGGGCACATAAACATTTTTCTCAAATGGAAGGGTTGTTCAAGAGAAGAGAAGAGAAGAGAAGAGAAGAGAACTTGTGATGATGTCAGACTCTCCACCTGCTGATCTGACAGATCTTCCGTTTTGTGATGTCATGGATTCCAGGGAAACATGGAGGAAGCAGCAACACCTGGAGCCGGCAGAAGGATGGGGTGGTGGCTCCTCCCTGTTCTGGCCCTTGCTGCTTTCCGCCCCACCCATGCTGAGGAAAGCACCTGCGAGTAAGTGGGGGGAGAGGCCAGACATGGGGAGGAGGCAGGAGGGGGAATCCCAACCACCAACTCCTTCTGGATGTGGTCTTGAAGAGGAGGGAGGCCCAACTGACCCCATGGCTGCTCTCACTCCCTTTCATTGTGGTGGGTTAAAACTAGCATGTAAAGACAGAGTCTGTTCTCAGAGGGCATGTTCCTCCCTCTCTCAGAATACTAGAATCCCTCTGGGTCACACAAGGAAGCGGAATGGGGGACCAGTCAGGGGGACAGACAAAAGGAAATATTTCTTTTCTAGAAAGAGGACAGAGGGAGGGTGGGAGAGAGAGGTAGAAAATAGCTTACTAATTTGGATTTGCTGAACAGTCCATTTTTGCCTCTGGCCCCACCCACCACTGAGATGTGGCCCTCAGAAGACAATGTGGCCCCTGGCCTGGAAAAAGTTCCCTCCTCCCTGGGAGTGATGGGCATTTGGGAGGCATCCAGAGGTGCAGCTGGGCATATCCAGTTTCATCTCTCTCTTCCCAAGATGGCCAAGAGGAGGAGACTGACCAGTATTTGGGGCAAACTGGGGAGAGGTGATATATATTCAATGGCTCTGATCTTCTGTAGATGGCAATCTGTGTCTTGCTTTCCAGTGGAGTCTGCGGAAGGCGTCCCCTGGCGGGCAGCCATAACCTCCTCCGGGTTGTGGGCGGCAGCAACGTTCTCCCCGGAACGTGGCCCTGGACGGTCAGCTTCCAAATACTTACTTATACGGGATACTTCAGTATCTGTGGCGGCTCCCTGATCAGCCCTCGATGGGTCCTCAGTGCAGCCCACTGCTTTCAAGAACCAAAGTAAGCAAAGGGTTCCCAAGAAGTGTGGTCACGGGGTCTGCAAACCTGGCACCCAGGGCGGGGGCATCTCATGGGAGCAGAGTCCCACCTTCTTGACAACCATATGTCAGGAGTGCTCTGATGGTGTTTCCTGCTTGGCAGGGGGTTGGACTCGATGGCCCTTGTGGTCTCTTCCAACTCTATGATTCTATTATTCTGCCTTCAGAGGGGTGGCTGCTGTCAGCATCGCAGGGTGTCAAAGAGCCATCCTCCAGTGCTATCCAAAGAAGTTGTTGACCTTTTTTTAGGATTGAAGTTGTTGGGCTGTTTTATGATTTTACCCCAAAGTTAGTTGTTGAGCTCTTTTTTTTTAGAATTCAGAAGCCCAGTAACAACCCTCATCAATGGCAGGACTGATCTGAAATAGAGATCAATTTGTTTGTTTGTTTGTTTGCTTGCTTGCTTGCTTGCTTGCTTATTTATTTCATAAACTTAATTGACTTCGGAGGGTGGTAGATCCCCGGCAGTTTTTGATTATGGATAGTAGATCACAACCAACTTGAAGTTGGACATGCCTGGTCCAGCAGTTCTCCTGCAAAACTTGAAAGAAGGACACTGGGACTAAGCTGGCACCCTACTCTTTGATTCATGTTTCTGAGACTCATCCTATAGGCTCTTTCGACTATGAAGTGTTACTGAAGTTTTCAGTTCATACGCAGGCCCACAAATCTGCAAACTGGACAAGCCTTTTGGAGTTCTTTTGAGAAACTTTTGCTCCAGAATTTGCCACTCCAGGGTTTAATGAAAACAGCAGAGGTAGATGAAAAGTCAAATTTATTACGTTAAAAAAAAGGAGAGCAATTGGCATATTTACTAGAGGTTTTAAACAGAATTAATGAATAGCAATGTGTGTAAGAATGCATGCGTTGGGGTAAAGCGTCCCTTAAAATCCAATATTTCATGAAAAGAGTGTACAAAAAAAAATTGTTTGGGGGCAAATTGCTCTGCAAATATGTGTACATTAAGTGCAATTTACACTAAAACAATGATGAATTTTTACGAGAACTTTTTTAAAAAATGACGCGGAGAAGATTAAAAACATGATAGGAACCAAAACCAACACCCCAAATGTAATTTCCAAAGATTTCCCTCCACCCCATGGATCAAAGCAACTCTTCATCGCTTCATCACTTTACTTAAAACTTTGCCCCAGTTTGATGAGGGACCACCAATGAGTAAGTTGTTTGCGTTTGGTTTTCCAGATCCACCTGGTGGCATTATGCGAGAAGGGAGATGTGCAGCTCAGAACCAAATTGGGGGAGGGGAATGAGGCAAAGGGCGGTGAGGCCTGCCTGCTCCCCTCTCTCCTCAGACCCAGCTGTGCTCCCTGTACTCCAACATCCAGTCAACTTTGGCTGACCTTCATTTTGTTCAGGAGCACAGTCCCCACCCTGTGCGTATTCTTTGTTCCAGGGAAATACCAAATATCACTCTGTCGATTGGTGCCAACCGCATCTCCGACCCCGGTCCCGATGCCCAGAGGCGCTCGATCAAGAGGCTGCTGAACCACAAGCAATACGAGCGCTTCTGGAACAAAACCTACAGCAAAATACACAACGACATTTCCTTGGTGGAGCTGAACGAGCCAGTCAACTGCACGGACTATATTCAGCCAGCCTGCTTGCCAGACGAAAGCGTGGCGGTTTCCAAGCTCGGGCACTGCTATATCAGCGGTTTTGGCATCATGGACGCGACAAGTGAGATCTGCAGGGAAACCAGGCCCCCAGAAGGAGTGGCCTGGCTGTGTGCCTAAAGTAAATTTGCAGACCACACCTTTCCTGCCCATTAGTTTCGCCAAAGAAACGTAATAGCAATGGTAGTCAGGGTGGAAATTACAGTGGCTGCATTTGTGGTCCTGAATCTTGATTCCTGCATTGCAGGGGGTTAGGCTGGATGACCCTTAGAGTCCCTTCCCACTCTAGGATTCTAAGTTGGTAGTTACGGTTGGGCTGTGTTTGTTTTGAGAGCCATTCCATTTCTTGGCTTCTGGGCAGATCGCCTTCTCCAGACATAGATGCTTGCCCCCAGAACTCAGCTCAGTAATGATGGCTTTGCACGCAGAAGATTGAGTTTCAATCTCTGGATAGGGCTGGTGGAAACTCCTGTCTACCTCTGCTGTCGCTCAGTGTATGCAATACTAGGACAGATGGAGAGATAGGGAGGGAGGGATGTGGTTTCAGGAGGAAACAGAGAGTTTTGGGGTGCATTATAAAACTTCTGTATTTGTGAAAATAATGTACAAAAATGCATTATATTAGAGGAAATGGCTTTGCAGAAAGGTTTCTCTTAGGAGAAATTCGTATCCAAATGCCTGGTGAGTTTTTTAAAAAATTCAGAAAGCGATGCATGAACAGGGAGATCCAAACTAAAAATAGAAAAATAATGAGGAAAACAGCAGTTGACAGGTTAACCCATCACAAGTGAACCCCAACAAATTCCCTGGGATTTACTCTGGAAACAATAGAGGAACGAGTGAAACACTAAAAACTGCATTTTCTTGAGACCCCAGGGGTTTGCCATATTGGTCCCAATGTGTTTTGTTCTAAAGGGGGAGGAGGGATGTGGTTTCAGGTGGAAACGGAGTCTTGGGGTCTCCAGGACCACCCAGAAACCTGGAGCTAACCCTACTCTGCAGCCTGACATACCCTTGTCTCTGATCTCACCCTCAGAGATTAGGGGGGGTTAGGGGGGGTGATATTGCTGCACCTGCCTTCATGTCTCTCTCCTTTAGTCCTGGGGGTGCAGGTGGGGTGGGGAGTGAAATCTGAACTGAGCCTCCCCCTCCCCCCACTTTCCCTTTCTGCTCTCAGCGAAAAAAATGCCCGACATCATGCAGGAGGGGGCTGTTGACATCATCCCCAGGGCGACTTGCAGCAGCCCGGACTGGTGGTACCACTATATTCTCGAGGAGAACATCTGTGCTGAAAATTTGGAAAAAGGCACTACTATGTGCCAGGTGGGTGAAGCTATGACAAAATCAAGGCTATGGGTTTGGTTTGGGGGTGAAACCTTCTCATGCTCCTGGAACAGCAGAGCTCTTGCTCTGAACATGCAAAACTTACCTGCAATTCAGCTTCCAGCATCTCAGGCAGTAGCCGTGAGAGAAGGGGAAGGCCACTCCAGGGACAAATCTTTGGAGAGCTGCAACTGGCAATGAGCAGAAAATGCAGGGCGAGATTTACCAGTGGAAAACTTGGCATAAGGCATTCGCATAAACATGAATGCCCTCCTTGGAGTTCAGGGGTCTTCCTTAACAGACACAGGGCAGATGAAGATGATCCCCTTTGCCCTCAGCATCCCTCCAAGCTCTGCTCAAAAGGTCGCCACCCTTAGCATCTGGACTCAGAAGGCGGCACAACCCAAGTAGGGGCCGTTGCCTCACTGGTGGATATGAGTCCTTTACTGCCCAAACCACCAAAAAGGTCAGCTCAATTTTACGTTAGATATTTGCCAAAAGAGAAAATCCCACAGTGTAAGGGTGTCACCAACAGTTGCCACATTTCTGGAGATGCTGCAAGAGACTGACAGTGGTGTTTTAGTGGTGAGCATAGCTGCACTCCAAACAGCTGACCTCGGTTCGGTTTTCAGCAGACACAAAAAGCCCTACTTTGTCCTGGTTGGCTCGAGCGTGGTGCTGAGAAACCCAGGGTTGCTGGTTCGATCCCCGTATGGGACAACTGCAAAGAGTTGGACTAGGGGATTCTCAGGGACCCTTCCAACTCCGCAATTCTATGACTTTCAAGATGCAGAGCAGGGGCTCTGTTTCTGAGCTACAGCCTTCCCTTAGATTAGATGAGCTTCCTTGGAAGTTCACCTAGGCCAACCATCGGCTCAATGGATGGTCCAGGGTGCAGGATGCAACTCTGTGGTGCTTCCAGCCAGAGTTTGCATATGACATCTTCACAAACCTTTCCTCTTACACAGCTCCACTTCTGACCCATAGGGCTGTCAACACGCTCCTTCTCACAGGAGCCTTTTCTCTTCCGCTTGCAGGGCGACAGCGGTGGCCCCCTCATGTGCCGGGAGCAGAGGTCCGAACGCTACTGGGTGATTGGAATCACCAGCTGGGGACCACCATTCTGCGGCCAGAAAAAGAAGCCGGGGGTCTACGCCTCCACGCAGTTCTACATCGACTGGATCAGGAAGATGACCAAGGAGGACTTTTCTCCACCCAAAAAACCACCGCTAATGGCACAGCCCCGGCCTACGCCACGTCCACGCCCACCTCCAAGGCCACAGGCCCAACCAGGACAAAATGGGAATGTGCCATATCCCAGGCCCCCTAAAGCAGACTGGGTCACCAGGCCATGGCCACCCCCCAAGACCACTTCCCAGACCCCTCCTGTGGTCTGGCCCACCACCAGACCTTGGCCACCCCCCAAGACCACCTCCCAGACCCATCCTGTGGTCTGGACCACGACCAGACCTTCACCACCCCACAAGACCACTCCCCAGACCCCTCCTGTGGTCGGGCCCACGACCAGACCTTGGGGACCCCCCAAGACCACCCCCCAGACTCATCCCACATCCTGGTCCACTCCCAGGACCAACTCCCATCCCACATGGTGGACCAAAGGAGGGCGTCCCAGGCCCATTATATGGTACATGCCTCCTGGAACGAGGCCCACGGGACTTGGCGCCTCGACTCCCCCCCAGCGCCCAATCTGGGGCCTAACACCTCCTCCGTGGTCCATGAGGCCAATAAGGTGGCATATGAGGACAAGTGCCAACATTCAGCATTGGCATGGGCAGATTTACAGGCCGTGGGTCTCAATTCGCAGGCCCTGGGTCACAATTCGCACACCCGCACAAGGGATTGAGTCCAGGTCGCTGAAGCCACTGCAAAGGCAAGTTCCGGCGCCACCCGGGAGCCAAGTGGAAGTGGTCCCTAGCTCAGCCGAGGGCTGATAAGGACTGCCAGGCTTGGGTGGCAATGCCAGGGGTGGGCATGGTGGGTGAGCTGCCCCTGCCAGATCTCAGAGCCCATAACCCGTCCTTTGCTGGTAACAAACTAAATGCATCTTCTCCCCATTTGATTTTCTTCTTCTAACATCGCCCATAATGGATCACGTGCGCAAAATTCATCTCATTGCCTCGCCACCATTTCCTCGGAGTTTCTCAACCTGAATATGAAGTTGCATCCAAATGGGGACTTAATGCTGTGAACAGCTTGTTGGTGACACTTTTTAACAAACAAAAAAACCGAAGTTGTCAAAATGAATAAAACCACGAATGAATGGATAAACGGGAGTGTTGGTGTGCTGCTTTTCACAACCCAAAGCAACAGCTCTCCTGAAACATGCTTGGGAGGCTGTAAGGTGAATTATTTGTGTCACCTGCTGTGATCTGCTTCTGTTATTTCAGCTGCAGATCCAGGCTGTTCCCTGGAAGCTGCAAGGCTCTATTGCAAACTTTCTTCAAAGAGGGCCAGATTTGATGCAGTGAACATGCATGAGGGCCGACCAAAGTTGTTGAGCCTTTTTTTAGGATTGAAGTTGTTGAGCTTTTTAGGGCTTTCCCCCAGGAAATAAACTGCAACAGGGGCCAGATTAAACCGACCGGTGGAGTGGATTAGGCCAGACTTTGCACGTGCCTGCTCTATAGGCTAAGACAGGCCTACCTGCACCAGGTGAAAGGGAATCCTGATTCCATGGTGTTCTCTAGAGATGCAGCTAAACCTTGTTTTCCAGTCGCAGCTGCATGCTTGAAAGCTCCAGTTCCAAACAGTTTTCTTTCTGAGCCGGTGTGGTGGTGTGGTTAAGAGCGGTGGACTCGTAATCTGGGGAACCGGGTTCGCATCTCCGCTCCTCCACATGCAGCTGCTCGGTGACCTTGGGCCAGTCACACTTCTCTGAAGTCTCTCAGCCCCATTCACCTCACAGAGTGTTTGTTGTGAGGGAGGAAGGGAAAGGAGATTGTTAGCCGCTTTGAGACTCCTTAGGGTAGTGATAAAGCGGGATGTCAAACCCCAACTCTTCTTTTGTTGTTCTTCTTCTTTCTGCCCCAGCTCTTTATCGGGCAAAATGTGCATTTTACCACTGAATTGGAGGCAATTGTTCCCACCAATTCAATGGTAAAATGAGGGTTTTCCCGGAGGAAGGAGCTAGGACAAAACCCCCCAAAACCGTGCTTAGACACGGAGCTTTAAAGCCCCGACTGAGACACAGCAGCAAAGGAAGTCCCTTGAGCCAGTCACTGCCCCTCAGCTTAAACCTACCTCATAAAGCTGTTGTGTGGGTTAAGGGTGGAAAGGGAGAACCATTGTCACCACCTTGAACAACATGGGGGCGGGGTGGGATAAAAACTGAAATATACTGGGAGTCGAGAGTGGATTTCATGCTCTTCATTCAGCTCATAGTGGTGAGGAGGAATGGAAGTTCCCCAGAATGTCTGCTTTATATACATTATTTACACAATGGGCCCCACGTGATTGGCTAATTCTGGGATTCTCCTATAGGCCAATCAGGTTGCGGATTCACTTCCACCTGGAGCTGGATTGGGTGGCTCCTGTGGACCAATCAGACTGCTGCATTCTGGATCTATTGTTCTAGGACCAATCAGACTGCTGCCTTTGGGATCCTATTCAACTCAGTACATAACAGAAACACAATAAATAAAGGTATCAAGGCATTTATACCCCATCCCGCTTTGCTTCCTGCTAGTGCCTGCACTGCAGCTTCCTGATAATGAAATTCTGCAGTTTTAAACATCCCAATTATTCCATGTTTTGGTTGTTTCAGCAAAAGGCAGCAGGAGGAAGATGGCATTGCAATCCTCTGCTCACCTCTGGACAGCTGCTGCACTAAGCAGTGATCCAGTTTAAAGATGCAAAGCAGAAAGGATGTGGGTTTGGGGGAAGGCAGGACAGGAAAAGGGTGAAGATCTTTCAGATGGGATTTTGAAGAAATAAAAAAGCATTGGTCACAAATCCAAGAGAGCCAGTGTTGTTAGAGTGTGGCATAGAGTGTGGATTCCCTGCCAGCAGAGCGCAATGCACACCTGTCTGCAGGCTTCTCACCTGTGGATCGCCACAGCTCTGTGGGATGTAAAACACAAGAGCAGTCAAGTACAACCTTCCTAGAGTGAACAACACTTCCTAGAGTGTTGGGATACTGCCAGGGAGACAGAGGCCATCATGGTTCCACGTCTCCGGACGATCCATCGATCTCCCGTAGATACAGTATCAGTCAATTAGCGACACGAAGCCTCAGAAATAGCTTGCCACATTCCAGAGCTCGTGCACGCTCTATCAGCAGAGTTCGCACAACGAAAGATGCACTCAGGAGAGCATATTTACAACTTTTATTCAGCGTTGATCAGAACAAAGAAAAAACATGACTGCCTGCTTCGATGTCTCAGGCACAGAGAGAGAAAATGAAAGCAAATACAAAACGTAAGCTTCCTGTGAACAGGAAATATGCAGACTCTGTGACTCACAAAGCCTGCTCCCTTTTAAGGTGGAACAGAAATATCCTAATAGTTTGCACATGGGGAGGAATGTTTGTCCAGCCAGCAGGTCAACTTCCTGTTTCCTTCTGGGCTGGGACAGACTTCCTCTGCATGTGACTAGAGGTGGGCGTGGCCTCACCTGTGCAGGTAACGACAAAAGCACAGGCAGGGCAGCCATCTCTCTCTCTTTCACCACATGCATCGAAGAAACAACATCTGCTTAGCCAAACATGCCCTCTTGGCTTCCAGCCAAGAAAGGACAAAGGGACTGTGGAATAGCTGCCTGTCTGGTACGTTCACTCTGCACAAAACCTCTGTGGAAAACCTCTTCAGGCAGCAGCAGAGCTGAGCAGCAGTTGCCTCCATGTGAGAAGAAGGAAAGGAAAGTCCATGCACTGTTCTTGCTCTCTAACAGTGTCTTATCTTGGACACATCTCGCTCTCTCTCGCTCTCGGCGAAAAGTGAAACTATCTTTCACACAGACAAAGAAACTGCAGCTTCCGTTAGAAGCTCCTCCCCAGATACAGGACACTCAGGAGGTTTATTTTTTTAAAAAAATAATATTTATTAATAATTTCAGAATTACAAAAAAAAAGAAAAAATACAAAACAGCACTACAATACAAAAAAAGAGAAAAACGAAAAACATAAAAACCAATGCAACAATACAGCAGAAGAAAATAAAAAAGAGGAGAAAAAAAAGAGACACAAATCCCAAATTGCATATCTATAATTTCCATTTGCTTGTTTCATTGACCTCCTCACACCTCCCTTTTTGTATTCTAGTTTAATTAATTGTTTCAGCAAATTCTTTCCATCTTTCTCAATTTTTGTTAAAAAATTTATCTTAACAATTTAACCTAATAATTAACTCAACAAATTATTTCCATCTTTCCCCATATTCTGTTATTCAAATTACCTTAATTTATTTAACCTTATCTAACCCCAAAATACCTTAAAGCTTAAATCTTAATTTTCAAATATACATAGCTCCTGATATCATTTCTGCTAGAGTCATATAGTTTCATTCCAACATTTTCCCTAATATTCATAAAGCTAATTCTAAATAAAAAGTTTCCTTTAATAAATTTTCTTCCAATCATCATCCAGCGTCTCTTCTTCCTGGTCTCGGATCGTGTCAGTCCTTACTGCCCATTCCATCTAGTCCATCAACCTGGAAGCCTTATGTCCGAGGCCCTTAAGTCTCTTCCATGTCCCTTCTGCAGTTCTTCTTCTTCTTGTTTGTACTTGCCCTTTTCCTTGTCTTTTGTTAGTCTCTTTCTTAATTTCTTTCCTTTCTCATTGAGGAGTAGATCTCTGGGGGATTCCAACCCAAAATTGTCTCCATCTCCCTTCATCCAGCCCGCCCATTCCCCACAGTCCCACTCCCCACAGTCCTCGATATAATCCAAAAAGTATTTAAAGTCATATTTCAAGGTCTCTCCAAGGTTAAGGACCTCCTCAGCTCCAAACTCCCCCTGGCCCACTCCAACTTCAATCTTCAATGACAGCAGCTTATGCTCCTGTAGGGCCTCGGGTCTCTCCATTTGTATTATTTGAGGTGCAGCCGCATCCTCCTCCATTGTCATCTGCACTTGCCCAGTCAGTACAGATTCATAGGTTGGTCCCTGGATGATTTCTGTATCAATGTTCCCTGTTTGTCCACAGTTATTAACCACAACAGTCAAATCCATTTTCTCATTCATCAAGTCCATCTTCTCGTGCATCTGTTCCAGCAAGGCATTTGTCTTGCATAAAGCAAGCACCCAATCTTCCTCCCAACTCATCTTTGGTCAAGGTCAGAAAAGACTGTTCCCACGATCTTAATCTCACAGATGTTGGGTCCTCAAGTATACTGCAGCAACTATTTAACAAGCTCCCTCTAGAGGAGACAATTTCTGTTTGTATCCATTTTTTTTTTTTTAAGGCAAAAGAAAGTTACTTTCATTTTTCAGTTATTTCAGATGTTTTTCAGATATTTTGTTTCTTTAAAATGCAAAAGGCAACATTAGAATCAACTTGTTTCTCTTCATTGGCTATCTGTCAAAATATTCCATTCACAGTCAATGAACCTCTCCAACAGTTTCTGTCTCTGACACCCCGTTCCCAGGTTAGAGACGGTGGAAACTTATCCTTCTTCACTCCCTCTCCTGCTAGGGTTAAACAGAGTCCCCCCCCCTTCTCCTGCTTCCAGGGGAGTTTCAGGAATTCTGAATGAAGGAAATTTAGGCTTTTTTGACAGCTTTCCTGGCTTTAGCTTACAGAGTTTTTGCTTTAGTCTATATACAAAAAGCAGAAGGTAGACTTCCTGTTTTGCACCTTCCCGCTTCGATACCAAATTAAGCAATTTCTTGATCCAATTTTCCGTTTCT